AACAGCTGCTCTAGGATGGCCATTCGATGAAATTGAATTCAGGTGTCAAATTGAATTGTGACCGTAGCTAGGTGTGGAAGGCTGGAGTGATTCAATAAGCGTCCCCCAGGACGCTAGGAGCGCACCGAATGAGAATGCGCTAGGGTCAGGGAGGTAAAAATGACCAAAATATTTTTTTGTCGAGTTTCCATTGCGCGACTTGGATTTATAGGTAATCAAGCATGGGGAGCTCAATAGTGAAAGAATTAGGTCGAAATTCGTCAAAATGAAAGAAAAAAGTGCCCGCCCAGTTCGCGCGTTTCTAGATGGCGCGTACTGTAAATGGTGTGAGTTTAGCCTATACACATGATTTCACATACCTGGCTTCATTGATCACCTCATGTGGAAGCCACCTGTTTGATATAAAACAGAGGACATCCATAGCACAATGGAGGTTCAATGATCTCTGTCATATGTGGGGCAACGCTTCCTTGGGACAATCAGTGAGCTTGAATCTCTATCTAGTGAGAATATCTACTACTCTCCTGTATGGCGATGAATGCTGGTGGATCGACAAATTCATCTTTCAAACCCTTCGGGGTTTCCGCAGTCGCTGTCTCTCTCGTATCCTCAAATTAGACCCTAAGTCTATACTTCATAAACCTGATCTACCCGATGTTATGAGGATATTATGGAAGAAACGATGGTTGTGCCACAACCGTTGTGGCTTGGCCATCTTCTTCGGATGGATAAAGACGAAGTGGTCTCTAAGGTCTTCCATGCCTCACTCCCTCAAAGTCTTCCCTACCCTTATGGTTCTCTATGGGGAATATGTCCGTTTGATTACCAGACTGCCTTCTTTCATGCTCAATCCCGTTCTGGTTGGGAGAAACAGTTTGACTCGTGCTTTGACTCATCATCTGTCCTATTTTGATTTCTATGTATTGGCTCTACTAGGGCTATAGCTGTATTATTATAATTATTATTACTGTATGACTATACCAGTGTGACCTAGTTAGTTATGAAATGTAACCAATCATATAAACGAAAGGAATATTTCCGAGGGAATAGTACGCTCGAATGGGAGGTAATGAGCTTCTGCCTTAATCGTTGATAGAACCTCCTTTTCATTTCCGCTCTATATAGAGCTTAGTAACACAAATATTAAAACAACAAACGTTAGAAAAAGCACACGAATATTGAAGGCACACATCAAGTCATTATCATCATTGTCATCCTCGTGGGTTATAATCATCATCATTGTCGATTCCCTTCTTCTTCTTCCCCTCCTCGTCGTCGGCCAAACATTACAGTATGTATAGTAAGCTCCTGTTGACATAGAGAGAGGGCTCTAGCCTTAACTAGATCTGATATAGCATAGTAGAGTATTGACCAATGATTACGCCATGCTGTTAGACTCTTCATCAATGTTGCATGGCTTTGGGGGAACTTGTGCCATAAAGTTGGATGGGCATATCTAATCATAACTTGATAAAATAATGGCAGGGTCTAGGAGGGATAGTAGAAGTAGAAGAACCTACGTGCATTGTCGACTATTGAGCCATTTCTTATCATAGAGAAGTTCACACAAACAGCTGTAGCTACTGCTCTGACTATTATTATTAACATCACAGGCCGGATCTAATCCTCTTTCAGTAGCCAGAGCACACATAACAACTGACTTCAGTCCGGAGGTACCTACATGATATATATATTCCTCATCATCTTGTTGTTGTTCTTTCGGTGCAGGAATGAGTATTGTCGTGGGTAATGCTGTTGTTATCACCTGGTAATGTCATGATACGGTTCTCTTCCTGGAGGGAGATTCCTCGACATTGTACGAAGTCCTTTGGTTCGGACAGGACAAATTGCATCCATCCTCCAATATCGGATGACGAGCTCTCATACATCCTAAACCATAATAATAACGATAAAAATACTCAATAAATCACTACAACAACGGGAAGTAATACATTACTACTACTACTACTACTACTACAACGAGTAGTGATAATGATAATAATAATAATACCGTGGTCCATCTAGACTCCAATTATGCTCCCATTCCTCTCTTGTACAACTAGGTGGGATACCTCTCCTTGTCTTCTCAGCTAAATGACTGAATGGGCATGCCGCCATATCCCCACCGAACCTAATTATAATAACACCATTACAGGAAAAGGGAATTATCCATAAACTACTACTACTGTCATCACTTACACAACATCTGTACGAGATATGGTCCATTTCCGCATTACATACCTACCCAATCTATCAATACTAGCCAGATCATCTCTACCTGATAAACCGTATCTAAACAATGAGATGAACATCAGAAGCAGCAGCAACATGATAATCATTATTATAGGTGATAGTAGTAGTAGTAGTACTTGTATAATTCCTTTTCAAATTTGATCATGAGACTGTTATGAAGTCCTGCATAGATGATTAAGCATCCCGCGCCTTCAACATGTAATTGGTAATAATCCCCTTCACTATCAATGTGTATGAGATGAAAATACCTATGAATGATGATAATGGATTAATATTATTGTTATAATGATGATCATTGTGTTGGATATTACTGTGAATCCTTCTTTAATGGAGGTAGTGCATGACTAAACCATTGCCATAGTCTATGAACATGGCTTGGTAATATAGTAGGGAAAATGACAATACCATCAGGATTACTTTCCGGATCATATCTAACGATAATCAAGATCACCAATATATAGTGATGAAAGTATCGAAAGAGTATTACACTGATAACTGTTCGAGTGATGTCTGTAAATCAATACCAACACAACCATACCTATAAAGAGGATTGCTATTCTAGTGGTCCTCATTACAATCATCAAGACTACTACTACTTCCTCATTCCAAGTGCGTCATCCCTTGTCGAACTAGATAACCTCTCTTGCTCTATAATAGCTAGTTTTAATAGATATAACATCCTTTCTAATGGATCCTCACTAATACCATCATTTTCTACTAGATGTTGTAATACATCATCATTATCATCACGATGACCGAGTATTGTAGGTGGAGGATCCTCCTCGACCCTATAACAGCAACAACGACTTTATTATCGATAATATCACAGATGATATTATTACGTTATAAACCGTCTTGAAAGGAAATGTTGTATCTGGTATAAAAGCGTAAGATAGTAGTAATCGTGGTAGTAGTAGTGAGTATTCAACTCATTTTGTTGTTACCTTATCAAAGCATGGATGATTGAGTAATGCCTGTGTATCGAATGGTAGATCATGAATAGCATTATTAGGAGCTTTAATGGTATCATCAACTGCTGCATCCATGAATATATCTTGCAGTATACTATCCTCCTCTTCCTCTTCCTCTTCATCATTAGATTGAGTAGGTGTGCTGAGTATATAACCATGCGTTTAATCACAAGCACAATCACGACGTACCTTCCATTGTGCTGCATACCAATGATACCACTAATATCACTCTTGTTTCTATTATTATTGTTGAGATCATATACATCTTCATCTGGATCACGGAATTTAGTTAATTCATGATGAACAATTAACGGCTGATCAACAAGTATTGTTAACGACACCGATCCTGCTGCTACGTCATCATTATCGTAGCCGTTAACATCAGTAGTAGTAGTAGTAGTAGTAGTAGTAGTAGTAGTAATATTACATATAGACTAGATTCATAAGATGCACCATTATATGCAGTAGCATATACAGCCTGATACAATAGAGATAGTTCTTCCGATAACCTGAGTGACACTAGTAGTAGTAGAAGTTGCTGTTGTTAATATTGAAAGTACATCTTCTTAGCATTATCACGGACCAATATCCGATACTTGGCCTCTCTATTATTATCATCATCGGATATCATACGAATACCTTGTAATAGAGAGTATGGATAATAGTAATGATTAGTTTTTCACGTCACTACCACCACTAGACCCCACTACTACTACTATAACCTACTCTGCTTATGCTCATGCCCATAATCATCATCACAATGTTCTGCTAGTACATGTGCAGCTTGTTTCGTTCTTCTTGTATAGTCTGAATGCATTCGTAACTGAATATTGTAATAGAAAATAATAACAGTATAGAGTAGTACATCATCGTCTTTATTATTATTATTATCATCATCATAATCCATCAGTTCATCATCTGATAAGTCTCGATACTCAGTGAACATTGATTGATATGATGATAATGATGATCTTTTCCTCCCTTTTGTTGTTGGTAATGATGATAATGTAACTCCTTCTTCTTGTTGTTGTGGAATACTAAAATATTCCTCCTCTTCCTTCTCCCTTTCCTCATTGCATCCTATCCCCCCGACTAACTGCTGCTGCTTCTTCTTCTTCTTCATCATCATAACATTCTCCTTACAATGACCACCATTCCCTGCACATGGCTGCTCATGTTGATGGTGAGGATAGTCATCATCAGCAACAACATCAGTAGTAATAGTAGTATTATCAACCTGTATGCAATACTAATACCATCCTTCTTATTGGTGTTATTGTTATTACTACGACTGATGATAGATCGTATCCCTTCAATGCATCCATAATATAACCCATAAATATCTTTACTCGCAGACGTCTATTAGGAGGAGGAGGAGGAGGAGGAGGAGGAGGAACACCACTGCCACCACTCTTGCCAGCATGTACCGATCTTAAAGGAAAGTTATGGTAGAAGGATACCTGATATAATAGCAACAACAGAGTGGCATGAGTAATCGTTATGATATCATTACTTCAACACTATAACCAGATCTAGCTCTATTAACAAGGTCCTTCTTATCAAGAGCATCATAAGCAAATCTAAACATCATAATGAAGAGGAGGAACAACAAGGTTATCATGACGCTCGTAGTGTGTATAATGGTTCTTCTAGTAGTAGTAGTAGTAGTAGTAGTAGTAGTAGTAGTCGTATTATTACTTGATTATATTATCAATACGTGTCAATGCGTCATTAGTATTTAATGACCAGGACATACCACATATATTGTTATTACTATAACCAGCAGTATTTGCCTTTACTCCACCCATTATATCATTCATAAGGTAATAACCAATAACCTATGAGTATCATCATTAGTATAGTAATATTAATAATAATAGAGATATTACATCACATAAGGTCGATGGATGAACATGGAATACCTTAATAATAGCAATATGTATGGGATACCCTAATGGTATCCTATTATAAAGTCGATGATACATATTATCATAACCTAATGATGACGACGGTCCATGCTCTTCTTTATCATCATCATCACCTACCACATAATGATAATAATCATAAGTTATACCATATTCTTACCATCATCATCATCATCACCATCCTGTGTGATTACTACCCTACGACCTTCCACTTTATTTACCATATATTGTCGTATACTAAGAAGGAATACTCTTCTTAGGGATTTATTATTAATATTATTACCGGCATATATGATTAAAGTCTTGTGGTGATATAAAAGGTAATTCACCATTATTAGGTGATACCAACCCTTTCCATCTACCTATCTTACCACATACAAACTCCTTAATCTTATTATCCTTTACACTATAGAATGCATTAGTTTGAGCAGTAATACACTCTTTTATAGGATCATCATCATCATTATCATTACCAGGTTCGTCATGCAACCTTACTGAGTTAGTAATAGTACGAGGTAGAGTATTGCTAGTGTGATCATTTAATAATAATACTTCATCATTATATGATCCTACTACTACTTGTTGATGTTGTAAGTCACTCATATCCCTATCGTTCTCATCAATGACGACTCGATCCTCAGACCACCACCCACCGCTTTCGTGAAGAGTACCGGTGGGAGTAGTAGTAGTAGTAAGGACATTACTGGCTTCACCACATTGTTGTGTATTAGTAGTAGGAGAAAGAGTGGATATATTCTCAGTAGCATTATGATTATACTCTTCTCGTGACCCTGATGATGATGGTAACAGCATAGTGTTGATATAATAAATATCTATTAACCATTATTCATTTATCATCATAACCATTATTATACTATAATCATGTACACTAAACACGACTATAATGTATATAACGATGATGCTGCTACTACTCAACATGATGATGATGATTTATATACATGCTGATGTTAATATAACCATTAGTATGAGAAGAATGGTAGTTGGGATATATACTATCGTCGTCGTCGTTATTATGGTCGTTATCGTTGAATTATTGTACAATGCATTGTTGTATACATTTACGATGATGATGGTGATGATGATGTCTCTCATCATCAGCACTAGCAGCAGCAGCAGTAGTAGTAGTAGCATCTAAAGTAGTAGTCTTCTTATTAGATAAGTTCCTATCATCCCCACCGTCATAGTCTGTATTACGGACTTCAATGTTATTATCACTATTACTACTACAAGTAGGAGAGGATACTCCTTCTTGATGTTGTTGATGATGATGATGCTGATCATTATTATTATTATCCAAACCAAGCCGAGGAGCTGTACGGAATACGACGACGTTGTCGTTAGTTGTAGTAGTAGTCGTAGTCGGAGAAAAGGAAGAGGAAGAAGTGGTGATGATCGATAGCATATCATTGACATGTATAGAGGATGGATCAGGTTGTTGTTGTTGTTGATGATGATGCTGTTCCATGATAGATGATGCAGGACATCCTCCAGATTGGCGGTTAATGGAAGATAATACATTTGAAAGGTGTAGTAGTTGAGGATGATTATATATATATTCACTTACTACATTATCATCATGATCTATGTTCATTCCAATATCATCATCATCATCTTCCTTATCAAGAGGTGTAGAATCATCATCATGATGATGATCATCTTGAGTTATGATGGTTAATATCTTGCCATACATTCTATCAAATGACCTGATACACAACGAACATGATGATAATGACTACTACTACTAGTAATGGTAGTAATGGTAGTAGTATATGATGATGATGATCATATTATTATTATTACTGTCTTATATAATGATCATTAGATATTCTATTAGATAATAATATAGCATGACCGCCATGAACTCTATCCCACAATTTACGCCTTTCTATTTCATAACGACGACAATCAGACCAACATGATGATGATGATCCAACCATTAACAACATATTATCCATACAAGCTCCATCAAGACAAGCACCAGAAGCAACAGCAGCAGCAGCAGAAGCAACAACAGGGGTAGTAGTAGCTGGTGGTGGTGGTGGTCGAGTATTCATACTAGCTTGTTCTTGTTGTTGTTGTTGATAATGATGATGAAAATAACCCTTGTTGTTCTTGTTAAATTGATCATGATCATGATATATAATAGAGGATTGATGATAATAAGGAGGAGGAGGAGTGGAGTAGGAGGGTCTCTCCATGATGATACTCATTCTTGTTGTTGCTACTATTACTAATACAACAACAACATCAACAAGTATTACCACTAGTTATTCACATAGTACAGTGTCATCAGTGAGGTGGTGGTGGTGACCCTATAGTAATAATAATGGATTATGGAATAATCATCATCATTGTGTTAATTGAAACAACTACTAACACCACAAACACTGGGCTACGATGATGATGATGTGATTGACATCAGATCATCAACAATTGTAACAGAACAACAACAAAAACAACAACAAGAATGACAACAAAAAGAACGACACGAAGAATCACTAATAATAATAAGAGAAGTAGTAGTAGCAATGGTGGTAGTAGTAGTAGATAAATGTTGAATGTACTTCTTCCCTCCTTGTTCCCTTATGATCTATTATTATGAGTACCATATACTCTAAGTAGCTCCTTTTCCAAGCAGGTAACCTAAATAATAATAGTAAGGATGATGATGATGATACTAATAGGTCGATATTAGTGATGTGTTATTGTTGTTATTACAAATTTAACAGTATTCCTTATCCCTAATGTATTAACTGGTAAATATTTAGGGATATTATTCAAATCCAATACATAAGTAAAATGGGTAGTAGTAGTACTACTACTAGTAGTAGTCTTACTCTTAGTGCTACTACTATTACTACTACCATAACCATCACCATTATTATTAATAATACTAGTACTTGTACTACTACCACTGACCATTTGTACACTTAAATGGACATATGTTGGAGTTCTACCCTTATCATAAGGCATATCATATAATGCTTTGTAATCAGCTGAGCATAACAATAACAATAATAATAATAGCTAGTTCTTGTTGTTGTTATTACATGAAGCTATTATGTAATGTTTCATAATCCCCCTGTCCACCTCTTCTCCCTTATTATCCTTATGTGGTGGTAGTGGTGGTGGTGGAGTTATACATGATCTCAATTCCCTCAATTCTGGTTTGAAGTATGGTATTGGACTATAGTATTTAGTAGCTACTGCATGACACTCAATATCATCATCATGATCATAATTATCATTGTCATTCCCTGTAGTAGTAGTACTACTACTAGTCCTTGTTATACTAGGCATTGTTATATCATCATCAATATAACATACTGATTCTACCAATTTATTCCATTCCTTCTGTTTCCGTTTATCATACAGTACATTATATCTACAATAGTAGGATAGTATTAGTAATGATGATGTTGATGATACTCATCATCAGACAGGTTTAGCTCAATATTACACTTCTTGGACCGTATATTCTGGGAAATCACAATCGAGACGACATAATTTACCACCATTCAATTCATCACGCATGTATGCCTAAGAATAATAAGGATATTAATGATGATGATGATGATGATGATGGTATTAGTACTGTAAGATTCCTTTTCTCATCGAATACATTGTTAACGTGTTGTGGTATCCAAGCACTACTACTAGTAGTAGTATTATCATCGGCATCAGTTGATAATGGTTTACAATACTGTACAGCCTTATCATATGCAGATATTATAAAATCATCATAACCATTAAGAAAGGAGTATGATGATGATGATGATGATGATGATGATGTTGCCCTGGTGGTTGTCGTGATAACAAGTTTGTTATCAATATTATTACTACCTATACGACGACATTATTATATAGTATATTGTCCGTAATATTATTACTATGATGATCGTGATGATGATGATGTGTATAACCCTTTTTTCCCTCCTCTTCCTCCTCATCCTCTTCTCCCTCCTCACATGTTTCATAACAACAACAACTTCCTCCTCCTCCTTGTTCTTCTTCTTGAGTAGAAGTATTATTATTATTATCATCATCATTCTGTTGTCCATCACTACATGTAGTATAGTCACTTTTATCATCATGACAACTGCTACTACTACTATCATCATCAATACTAGTAGTAATATTAGACAATGATGAGAAGTATGGTACTGCTGATCTATGACTTATAGATCGTGATACTCTGACAACAATAACAATGATAATAATAATAAACATACTACTAGGAGTTATTATATCACTATTACCTATTAACGTTCCATTCTGTTGCTTTCTTTAACCCTTCTTCATCTTCTTCATCATTATTATCAAATACTATCAATTCCCCAACAGACATCCTATGATGCTGCTTATTAATACAAGGAGATGATAACGCTTTTTGATGAGATAATGATGATGGTAGTATATGACTGACAATAACAACAAATCTACTATTACTGGTAGTAATACTCCCTCAATATACTCACTATTATTACCAGTCACTACTACTACTATTGGTAGTCGTAGTAGTCATCATCATATTCTTCCTCCTACTTCCACCAAGTGCACTACTACTACATGTATTATATAATATAGAGGACAGACTCCTACCATAATAACTAGTACGGCTTGTAGTGCGTAGTACAACATTATCATCTATAATATAGTAATAGGGATTATTACTCCTCAATATACACTTACTCTCTGGGGTATTATCTAATACAGCTATCTCTCCTCTTATCTCATCATCATCATGTTGATGTTGAGTGTCTTCTTCTTGATGATGAGTATTATTCTTGTATTGTGACATAGTATTGGTATACATGCCCCCTAGAATTAAATCACTAATAACACAAGAAGAATAAGAATGGTGGGCAAAAAGTAATACTTCCTACTACGGAGGGCAATGACAACCATGATGATGATGATGATCAATAGTGTTGATAATAGTGAAGCCATATAGGCAACACTTGTACGACGAAGACGACTATTAATAGTATTGTTACTATTAGTTGTTGTTAATAGACCGTCTTAGTAAAGTCAATACGTCTAGTCTTGATCATAGTCCATACATGCCTATTCCATACACTAATACTGAATAACCATACCAATGCAGCTGTTGACATCTTTAATCCCTAAACATAATCAGCATCATCAATACTCACATTGAGTAATAGTATTATTACAATAAGCTTCCTTTCATCATGTTGAGGATCTTGTGCCCAAGTTAGGAATTGTGAAACATCCTTAGCCATTTGTGATGCTACAGCTGGTGTACCATCTTCATATTCAATAGCACCATCATTAAGTGGTGGTGGCATTGATATAGCTCCTCCTGGGAAATATGTATTGTAGTATAATCCAGAACGTAGACTTACTCCAGCTGGTGGATCACGATAACCTACAAGACTACTACTACCATTACTATACCTACTCCTAGTAGTACTACCTGTTAGTAAGGACATAATATAATCACAGCCACCATGATGAGCAGCAGCTTGTTGTGATAGATCTGGCGGAGATGCTCCTTGATTAGCAAACCTAGCAGCCTCCTCATTAGGATAAGGTGATGGGAAAGGATCTAGAAGGTTACCAGGTCTGGTAAACATCTCACCTAATACAAGTAATAGTTATTAAACATTATTACTACTACTAGTAGTACCTCTATCATTAGGACCATCTTCATAATCAAAACTAGCTGCCAATTGTTTAACTCTATTCTCAGGGTATATCTAATATTATGTATTGATTACTACTGCTATTGTTATCAATATTACCGTATTAACCATATGCCTAAAGCATACAAACCTAGCTGCATGGCAAGTAGCACATACTTGTCTATATACTTCATAACCTCTTCTACATGATGGTATATCATGACAATGGGAAAATGCCTAATTACACAACATCATACAATAAGGTAATACTCTTATCATAATTACCTTAAACCAGAAGGGCCAATCAGGTGGTGATGGTGGATCCTTCTCAGCACATCTCAGACTATTATCATCATTAATAAGGTATATATAACCAGTTATACCTCCTATACCATACCAAGATAACCACTTCATAATATTACTACCATTATTCATCATATTCTTGGAGTGTCTTAGTATCATCATCATCATTATAGATAATAATAAAACAAGTCCTACTCACTCACGTTCATGGTATCTTTTATCGATTAGAATGGCGTAGCGATATCAGTGTTCATCATCATCTGTCGACGTCGTCCCTAATCTCATCATTATGAATGCTACTGATAATACTCTCGATGATGAGGATGATGTTATTATTAATAATCAATGGAGTTGTTGGGAACTCGATCCAAAGGAAATAACGGTAATAATAACTCTACTACTAATATTGTACTAATAATGCTTATCATTATCATTGATAGCAGATGGAATATAAGTGTGGTAGTGGGGTTACAGCTGAGGTCTATCATGGTATATGGAGAGGTACTGCAGTTGCTGTTAAACAGATTAAATTAGGTGGTAAGAGGACATCTAAGTTGTTAAGGGTAATACTCATTATAATGATGATGCTTGTTGTTATTATTATCATAGTAATAGCAGTACTAATATTATTAGGCATTCAAAAGGGAATTGGCTATTATGGTTAGATGTAGGCATCCTAATTTAGTATTATTTATGGGTGCTGTAACGGTGGAAGAACCTATTAAAGGTAATAATAATAATCTTATCATAATCATTATCATACTTTATTGTTTAGTTGTTTTTGAATTCTGTGAAGGTGGTAATCTATTCGATCTACTACATAATGGTGATGATGATATAGAATTATCATTGCCACAGAAATTAAAGATATTATTAGATATAGCTAAAGGTCTTACCTATTTACATGCATCTAATATTGTTCATCGAGATCTCAAATCATTAAATCTATTATTAACAGAGAGAATAGAAGATGAACATGATAAACCAATAATTAAAATAGCTGATTTTGGTATGGCTAAAATTAAACAACAAGATCAAGATGATATGACGGCTAATGCTGGTACTTATCATTGGATGGCACCTGAAGTCTTGAATGGCAATCAGTAATATACAACAACAGCAGGGCATAGTAGTAGGATATGTGATGATGGTGATGATAGTAGGTACTCTGAGAAGGTAGATATATATAGTTATGGTATTGTTATGTATGAGATATTATGTCGTACTATACCATATGAAGAGACTGGTTTAGAGGCTATGAAGATAGTATTAGCAGTAAGTAGAGGTAGAAGACCCGATTTAAGTAGATATCCTACTAAAACATATCTAGATGATAATGAAGATATTCATAAAGGACTTATCGATATTATGACTAAATGTTGGGATCATTTACCTAACAATAGGCCATCTATCACTGAGGTTTGTGATAAATTGAAAACATACCGTATACGTTGACTATGATGAGTAGTAGCATACATGCCATTACAATCATTATTGGTGTACTTGTCGTCGTCTTCCTATTATCATGTAGTGTTACTCTTCAATACTAGGAGGTCCCGGTTATACATGGAAATGCCGATGATTATGATGATGACCACTACTCTTACCATTATCATAGTGGTCATAGCATCATCATCAACAACTTGAGTAGTGTTTATTATAATTGTGTAGCGAGCGGGCCTATTGTACACTGCGAATTATTGTGTACATACGTAGGGGTTATTCCACCATAACCATAGAGAGTTCGAATACGACGGAAGGAGTAATTAGGAGCTGATTGGACGACGGCTATACCCACAAGAATATGGAAATCTTTATGTAACCCATCCTTGACAATATATACACTAAAAACATATTATGCATTCGGAAAAATACCCAACCTGGGATTCGAACCGGAGACCTGCTGGCACTTGCACGAAAGTGGGAACACCAGTGGCGAAACATACCATTGATACCTACGATCACCACGACTGCTCATTACCGTCCTGGGTGTTATTAATACTATCGATTATGTGATGCTCATCACAATGCATCATTGAAAGTGATATATCTAATAATATTAGATGATGATTCTAATATTGATGTTGGCATTGGTGTAGATATTCGAATCATTATCATTATTCCAACCTTGTACGATTATAGAACCTATATAGTATTACATGCTCATTGTATTATGATATAATCTTCATCATCATCATTACTATACTCCTATATTTATCATCACCTTCAATGTAGTCGTGATATTATAGTAATAATAACTACTTCTAATAACCCCAATGTGTTAATAGTAACAATGATCATCAATACCACATCAATACCTACTATACAGTGGTTATTATTATTATCATCCTTATTATTATACCATGCCTTCATCATCATCATCATCATCACATCATACACCTAGACAAGCTACATCATCATCATCATCATCAACATCTAGTAACAGTAAGATAGCAGATTATTATAGTTTACTAGGAGTATCACACGATGCATCAGTAGATGATATTAGGCATGCTTTCTATGATATATGCAGGTATGATGATCATCATCATGATGATAATGGATAATACTTCTAATAGTATTGTTATTGTATGTAGGAGATATCATCCTGATAAAGTGAAGACGACGACACCTAATGATGACATAAAGTCGACTACTACAACTACGACCACGAGCTCTATTACCGCGATGAATAAGGAAAAGAAGGAGAATAATACCATACATAGCAATGCCGATAAGAAAAAGCAGAAGGATGATGATGATGTTACCGCTACTACTTCTCAACAACAAGAGCAACAAAAACTACGACAAGAAGAGCAACGACAACAACAACATGTAGTAGCAGCATCATCATTACAACATTGGACAGCTATACAAGCAGCATGGAAGTGTCTATCTAATGATACTAAACGTATTATATATGATATAAAGATGGAAGGGAGAATGGTTACTATAGAGGATAGTAATAGATTATTAACATTACTAAAAGCTCAAGCTGATAGGGATATTGATAATATGCAACATGAATATGTGAGAATATTAAATAAGGAGAAGAAACGTCATGGTATTATTATCATCAAAGTAATAACAACAACAACAACAAAAGAAGAAACACCTAATAGTAATTATTATACTACTATAGGCATTATTTGGTAACTTAAATGGAGATCATAATGGGGATATAGAAGGACCTTATATAGATGTTACTATACCATTACAATGTACAGTAGATACACATAAGGTAATAATAATACCTGTTCTTATTAATAATACTACCAATCACTATTGTAGTAGTAGTAGGTTATATTGGCCGCTGGATTAGCTAAATCTGATATACCTGGGTTCTATAATCCAATACCATTACATCTTCAACAACAGTATTATCATAGGGGGATACAGGGTGGTGATACTAATAATAATAATGATGATGTGGATATCATGGAGGCGTCTCTATATGTTGTGTAATATGATGATATATCATCAATGATACACTATTAATATTAGGTATGAATTCAAAGGTAGATTACACGAAGTCATTGTTAATGATACCGATCCATTATGGTTACCATTAAAGTCTCATTTACTACCACAAGGAGCTGATCTAAGAGGCCCTATACTACTATTACAGGCTAATACAGGAAATAATAATACACAGGAAATGGATGATGATAGTAATAATGATGATGATGACTATATAGCAGTATTTACACAGATAATAATAATGCTACTACTCCCCGGGAAGTTACTACTACTGTTGGTGGTGATGATGATACAGTTGGTAATAGATTGATACATTTCTATGATGGAGCTAGAGATTACTTGATATCATTGGCATCTGGTACAACTACCCTACCCTTTATGGTATTAAGTGTAGCAGTGATTATGATGATAGCTGGAGGGCGTCGGAAGTGGAGGAATAATAATAATATAGGTAATAATAATAAAGGAAGTAGTATAGTAGTAGTGATGATGATGATGGGTATGTGTAGGTGGTAGTGATGGAGGTGGTTACAATGATGGCCTTACAATATTAAGTAGATGGTATAACAGATAATGATAATGATCATTATTGGATACTAACGATGATTATGACAACATATATGCAAGTACTTTCCTATTCTTACTATTCTACTGTGTTATAAATACAACATCACCAAATCATATTCAGTTTTCCCATCATCATTTATTGCTATGCGTGCTGATCCAAGATGTTTCCTATCTACAGTAACTGGTAATAGACAGCAACATAAAGTGAGAGAGAGATTCTCTGCTAAGGTAGTTATAAGCTATTAACAACAATACAGGAGGCTCTCACTATTATTATTAGGATAATAATGATGGTCATCGAGCATTCGATGAATTGGGTAAATTCACAATACCACCTGGGGCTGGATTCCCACCTAAAGGGAAATTCATATTGAAGGTATATGAAGTTACTACAACTCAACAACAACAAGAAGAAGGAAAAGGAAAAGGAAAAGGAGGAGACTGCCAATCTGTGTTAGTAGGAAAACAGGTAGTAGTAATGTTATGATGATTGTTATGGTCTTTATGCTGATGATGTTTATGGTATTAGTTATCTCAATTACCTCTAGATGATCATAGAGGTTTAATATTTGGTAGTGAATTTGAGAATATTGCTGAAGATAATCTAATATTGGATCGTGGTATTGGAGTACAGAATCAACATGTTGCTATATGGTATTCAACAAATAGACAACGTATGATGATACAACCTATTAATGGTACTACTACTATACATAGTATAACTACTGCTGGTAAAGGTTTAATAAATAGTGATAAATATCTATTATCAACCAAGACACCTAATACATTAAAAGTAATAATAGTAGTAGTATCATTACTATAGTATATGTAATAATGAGGGTTTTAGTTACAAATAACACCATTGGATGGTAAGAAAGCTCTTACTGCTGATAAATGCTTATTTACTATATCAACTCCAACAACATCATCATCTACCAAGAAACGCCAACAACAAGAAGAAGCAGGCGGCCAACAGTCTATGAAGCTCTACTTTGTAGAAGGTCCTCATTGTGGTACTATAATGGGGTCATGTTTGTGCTAATGATGATTATTATTACTATACTACTACAATAGGTCCTGATAAACGTACAGCTGAGAGGTTACAACAACAAGAGGCTATGGCTAGAGGCAGCTTACAACATGATAATAGCAATAATAGTAGTAAAATGAGATCAGGTAGCAGGTTGCAACATCAATGCTATTCACAATAACAACATGTATTATAATACAGGTATTAATGGTAGTAGTAGTACTGCTACTAGAGTACTGCCACGGCAACCTAGAGATGATATAGTATTACAACGTCATGGTAGTAGGGGAGACTACGACGATGATGATGGAAGGCGTAGTAGAAGAACAAGGAGAAGGAGAAGTCGATCTCGAGATAGAAATCGTACATCATCATCATCACATCATCATCATTATCATCATCATCGTAGTCGAGGTGATCGAGGTGATCATAATAGATCATCACCACCACCACCACCACGACGAGGAGGAGGAGGGGGAGGACGCTAATATTATATCCTTACTTATCCTAATCAATAGTACGTTCTTGTGTTATAGTATATGTGACTTTATTGGTCTTATATACAGTCTTATACTCCTTCTTATGAAGAGGGCTAGAGAAGATATCAAAGAAGAAGAAGAAGAAGTCATTTGTAGGGATGACAAAGTTAATATAGGACCACGACTAGGATTAGGACTTGGACTTGGACGTTATGTTAATAATACTAATAAGATGCATCCACGTAATAAACATATAAATCCAATAGATTACAAGGAGTTATCGAGTGTAGTGGGATGCGAGGAATTGGCACAATATGTGTACCGTAATAGGTATGGTACTTATAGTATCAATTATCATGATCGTAATGCTGTTAAGTGTCTTACTAGATGTATATTATTACATTTATATAATATTAAAGGATGGACTGTACCCGATGGATCTCTTATACCACCAGTACCAACTAGGGAAAACTATATACACCATATTGCTGATCTTATAGGTTGTCAACAATCTATAGATAATAATAGTAATAGGATAGTAGTTAAGGGTATTGATATTGGTATTGGTGGTAATGCTATTTATTCATTACTTGCTGCTACAATATATGGATGGCATATGATCGGTACTGATGTATCACAATCATCTATTGATAATGCTCAAAGGATTATTGATAATAATCCTCATATCAAGAGTATTATTACCATTAAAAAACAATATGATAAAATGAAGATATTCGAAGGAGGCTGTATAGATCTACAAGATACCTACACTTTCTCTATGTGTAATCCACCTTTCTATGATCTTACTAATACTACTACTGATGATGATGATATGAATAGGAATCCTTATAAAGACTATGGTGGATCTGAAGTGGAGATGAGATGTGAAGGAGGGGAAGTAGGATTCCTAACAAGGTAGTATGCATGTAGTAGTGTCTGGGGTATTATGATATTATAGGATGCTTAAGGAGTCAGAAGATCATCCTCATTTATGTATTTGGTTTACCAGTCTTTGTGCTAGAAGGACTACATTGAAGAAGATGGAAAAGTTAATGAATAAAAGTAAGCAATATAATACTAGTGCTTGATTATTATGTTCATCATTATGCGTTATGTAGACCCACGTATAGTAGAAGTAAAGACAATTGCCCTTTATCAAGGTAGGCAAACACGATGGGTTATATGCTGGACATTTCTCAATACAATACAACGTGCAATACGACTAACCTCTACATCTACTACTACTACGCTCATCGACGAGGGAGAAGTCAACGAACGTGAACGATCAGTGTCTTCAACGTCACCTTTCTATACGTTTTGATATCTGACTAGTACTATTATGTTCTTACTGTCGTCATTCTTCCAAAATTATTAACAACAATGTAATAATTCCTTGTAAATTACGTTACTGTTGTGTATATAATTACTCCTCTTGTTGGTATTAAAGGTTTATACTAATTCACTTGAGTTAGTGATGGCAAAGGAATGTATGCCCTAGAACATCTCTACACAACGACTATCTATGACAACACAACATATCAGAACCATCATGAACATCCCAAGTAGACATCTCCATAGATCATAATACTATCTTTGCCAATAACGATACTCAGGAATACTACTTGATTATCAAAGGATGGCGCAACTGTATTATTCAAAATATAGCGTGTAGCATTACTCAGGATAATGACCTATTATTCATATTATTATTTAATGAAGGATGCAATTTACGCATGTATGTAAATAGTATCAGCCAATGTATAACGAAGGGAATCCACTATTATTAATATTATTAGTAGTAATAGTAGAGAATGTAGTACCACAGCACCGAAACTAGCGGATAGACCAGTAAAGAGTAAGCCTTTTAATAAGACCCAGAACGTCGTTGCTAAAGTAACTTATATGGATCCATGAATACAGAACTAAGAGCCCATGTAATGATGATAATATGAAGATTATTATCATCATTATTAATATTATTGTAGTCTGTATCCATAACATTATTCGCTCCAAGGAATATCGAAGCAAGAATAAAAAATATTTCTAGACCGATATTAGCCCAACCACCAATGAGATGACCGAACTTGTGTTAGGCGACATTGAATATTAGTGATAGATCGTAAAGTAGGTACTGGGACTGATGATATCTAATGTAACCATATATATTGATGGGAACATCAGTAGTTACGCCAATAGTATGCGGGAGAAAGATTGATGAACCTGATCATGCCAAGGTATAGTGATAATAATAAGGATGCGCATAATAGTGATAACAGTGTTAGGTGTAATGATGAAGATTGGCGATGACATAGTACTGGTGATAGTGAGGAGAGTTTACTACTTCACCACTTAAGGATGGGGATGACATATCGTATTAAAAATACTAATATGCATAGATAGTACACCATACACAATGATCATAATAATATTATGGAAATGTTATATAGAATGATGATGATAGTAGTAGTAGTTTCTTCTGCTATGATGATAGTTAGTTCGCCTCTTATGATCATCATAATAACTCATACAGGTGGAGGTAGTAGTAGTACTTGTTGTCTTGTGATAGGCTGTTCTCCTGGACACAATCTAAGACCGTAACTGAGGTAGTAGTAGTAACTATGATGATGGTCAAGGCAGCAGCAGCAGCAGTAGTAGGAGTAGTAGTAGATTTATTATTATTACTCATATCTAGGATCATCTCCAGTTAATGTTGATATCCAATCTGGTATTAATTCTTTAATCAATTTATAACATTTTACAACAAGATAAGTTTGTAATATTATACCACATATTATCAATAATATATTATCAACAACCCAATAGGTATAGTTAGAGCCACTAAGTCGAGACTTCCAGTTACTAGATGAAGTAGTAGTAGTAAAGTTGATATATAAGGAGAATAGATCAAACATGATACTAATAGGTCCCCATATACATGCTAACATTAACCAACTACCACTAGATTGACATCCACCTCTACGAAATAGTATTATTATTAATGCAGTTATTATATCATTCCATCCTAGAAAAGCTACATCATCAATAATACTACTGTATACTGTACATAGGGAGTATCGTATGATAGCCGAGAATAGTAGTATTGCATTACCTTGTACAAATAATAAGGCTTCTCTTGTTGAAGACATAGTCTCTGATATACGACGTGGTGGAATATATATACGTGGTAATGGTAGTGTACAACAACATGATATAAACATATCAAATACTCTACTACCTATTACTCTATTATCTCCAGAGTCTCGAGATGGTGTATTAGGAGGGATGATCCTATTGGCCATAATAACAGTAAATATAACTATAACAACATGATGATGGTAGTAGTAGTAGTACTAATAACACAATACAATAACTATTGTTGTTGTTGTTGACAGCAAAGGGCAGCAGCATGAATAGCATGTAGCATAAGCAGGACTAATACTCACAGCTGTTGTTGTGAGTTACTGTTATTACTGGTACTGTTCTTGTTCATCCTCCTATCAATCTGTATTGATCCTTGGTCTTTGGTACTCATGGATGGTGGTAGTGATGAGGTATTAGTTGTATATCCTACTATAGTAGGATGGGGTAATGTGTTGTTGTTGTTATGGACCCATATACCATCTACTACACTACTATGGGGTATACCCAATACTACACCATCATCCCCCAATATACTGTACCTGCTAATACAGATAGTGATGATGATGATATGAGTATTGGTATTAGTATTACAGTTTGTAACCATAATAGAAGCTAGCTGTATTGAATATAATAGATATGATAGGTAGTATGATAAGGATTAGTAGAGGGGAATCGAGCGTAGTAGGTCCAGTAATGTTATTAATATCATCACCTACAACAACAAGAAGAAGCTAATACAATGTTATTATCACTACTATTACTACATGATATGGACATATCCTTATCTGATATAGCATATTCCTCCTTATAACCAGTAATAGGATTAATCTGTTATCAACGAGTTCACTAACTATATAGTCGATAGTATATAGAACCTTCATATTGGTATCACCATGGACACATTCATCATACCAATCTCCAAAAATATTATGTAATACTATAATTCCAACAACACCTATAATGGTAAATACCTAAGCAGTAATATAATTAACAATCAGTATTGACGATAATAATGATACTACTATTACTTACCACACTACAGAGATTGCATCCACAAAAGCAACATATTAGGGTACGATTACTGAAGAGTAGTAGGAGTAGGACATGTTATGGTATAGCATTATTGATAATACCTTTGTTTAGCCCCCATCCATCCACAAGCAGGTACTAACAACCCTAATGATATAGACAGTAGTATGTATATGCTAGTAGTAGCAGCATGAGAACTTCTATTATGAATACCATTCCTAACCTAACGAGTATATGATAATAACAGTACTAGGATCACCACCACCAGCATCATCATCTTACTGAGTTGATAATAACAAAGAGTGCACCAATAGCTGATAATAATATGATCTTACGCACCAATACAGCATGATCTGAATAATGATGATGATATCATTACTACACTCAACATGATACTACCTCTATTAGGTATCTGTATACCATATACTACTACACCCTCCTCTTGAGGTGGTGATGATGATGATGATGAAATGGGTATCATACAAAATCTAATGATGATAGACTCAATATGCATATACTCAACATAATAGGAGTATATACATGTAATACATACAGCTTAACAAGCATTCATCTATAATGCTGCTCTGAATATCGACTCGTCTGCTGCTATAGATAAGAGCCTATTGAAAGGCCACATATGGAGGAGTTATGATAAATTACCCTACTTCCAATCTCATACTACTCATTAATGATGATAATAAGCCCTCATTGTATAATAACAAAACTACGGTATGCGCCGCCGCCGTAACATGGTGGTGGATATTATATAACAACAACATGATAGGGATTGATGGGCCTACTATCATCATACATTACTCATTAGAGTAATAATGACATGATTACTACTCATCATCATCATAGTCATTCAATTCGAATGAATAATCATACCTAATACCATTCCTTTTACAACTATACCCAATACTAATACTACGACCCTATAGCTTCCTCTCCTATACCATCACTGCTTGTCTCAACTGTCCTAGGAGTTGATGGAGTAGTACTGAGAGTAGTAGGATATATGTAGTATATAGTTATACTACTACTACTACCTGATCATGGTTGTTGTTGTTGGTGTAGTAGATGCCACTTGTTGTTGTTGATTATGATAAGCACCCCTTAAGGATGATACCACTCTAGAAGATCTCTCCTCAATGATGGTATCAATTAGATCTCTCATATCATCATGTATATTATATAATACAGTACTATCATCATATGCAGCAGGTTCATGACAAGGGATAGGACAATCTTCCTCATATGATTCGACTGTATCATCATATACATCATCACTATTACCACCATTACTACTATCATCATCATCATCATCATCATCATCATCATCATCGTATATGAGTATATTATTGACCTTGGGTTTAGATGTTTGCCTGCTATTAGAAAGATAATAATGATAGTGCTACTCTTCTTGAGCTTACCTTATAGTATGATGGTGCGGTAAGGATGATGATGATGTAGATACCCTCGTAGTAGTAGGGTAGGGTGTGGTAGAGGGTACTGCTACTGTTGATGTTGATGTTGTTGATGAAGTGTGATAGGGAGCGTCCATAGTGGGAGTAGGGGGATGGTAGGCATGATCATTACCGTAGTAGGGAATACTCCTCAACCCTACTGCTACTTGTGGAGTATTGGCGGCGCCGGCCTCCTCCTGATGCTGCTGATGCTCTTCTTGTTGGTGAATATACCTACAGAGGTTGTTGATGATATTGTGATGACAGAATATACCATCCTACACTGGCATTATTATGATAGGCTTCCTATCACCATCATCACTACTACTAGTTTTCTGTGGTGTGGTGGTGGTAGTAGTAGTAAGTGTAGGAGTTATGGTAGTAGTAGTAGGTTGTTGATGATTGATGCATGAAGGAAAGAAGAGTCCTAATATAGGGTATACTAGAGTAATGATTGTGGTAGTACTACTGAGTATGGTATCATATGCTTTATTAAAGGTTACCTCATCCCACATAGAATAAGCACCTACAACAACAAGAAGAAGAAGAATAATAATACTCTGGTTGATATACACTACTTACAATGATCATAATCTAGTATACTCCTTGTTGGTATAACCTCATCAACCACTCCCTCTCCTCCTTCTCCTACTACTCCATAACATGGTGTATAGTAGGGTAAGGGTGACCATATTGACCATGATGATAATAATAATGACGACGACGACCTAGAATACTAATACAAGTACTATATTAGGACAACTATGACTATTACCCTGTTGGCATGATAGGATATACCTCAATATCATTATTATTATTATTATCACTAGATATTATATCACAAGGAGAGCACTCTGGGGTATACCGGCCATCATAAGGTATGTGCCTAATATGGTCCTAATAGTAGTACTTGTAGTAGTGATAATAGTGTTGTTTACTGTAATATTAATTGTCCAGCATTATTAGGATCACATATTATCCTCCTAATACATGTAGTGGTATATGGTAATAGAGATCCCTCTAGTAATGATAATAGTAATAATAATACTATAAACCACGTCATAGAAGGATGAGGAAGAGGAGGAGCATTATAGTAGTAGTAATAATAATACCTGTAGTTTGATGATAATACCACCCCTCCCACTACCCTAACCCAACAGGTTAAACTTTTTACCATTACTATTACTCTTGTTGTTGTTGTTGTTGTCGTTGTTAAGTAGAGAGTTGTCGTAGTATTTGTGCTACCAATACACCATTAGTATGAGGATGGGTTGATTGTATGAAGTTGTAATAATATTTACTTGAATTGAAGTATCTATCACCATAATAGTAGTAATAACTGTAGATTATCAATATTCATAAGCATGTATGATCCTACTTATTATGAACACCTTGCTTTAGGAATTTACTCCTCATCTCAGCCTCATCCATAACCCCTTCACATGACCACTGTAGACCCGGTATTTTCCTACATACTTAGTCCTAATCATAGACCTTATCATAATATTACTATTACTTAGCATTCTGAAGGTCATCTGATGATAACTCTGATTTTGATACCTTACCTGATGATGATGATGATAATAATGATACTACTATCAGTAGTAGTAGTAGGACGAATAGTAGGACGAATAGTAGTAGCACTATTACCCTCTTGTATGAGCCTCTGTAACCTAGCCTTCCTCTTCTTCCCTAATACCACTACTACCCTATTACCTACTACTTCAGCCTTCTTAGGTGGGTGCTGCTGCTGCTTAGGCCGCCGCCTACCACTAGGTTTATCTACTACAGACCTTACTCTACTGGGGTATCGTCGTAATGGCGCTATACCAAACATTGACGATTTACATCGATGTTTGGCCATGTGATAATGGAGTGATAACAACAACAACTAGGATAAAGGTAACAACCTAGTAGTAGAAGAGGAAATACAACAACAACAGAAGTGATGATGATAGCAGAAACCAGCGGATAATGATGATGATGATGATGATATTGGCTAAGCCATAAGAGCCTTGACCACCTCATTTACTTGTAGTTTCCGTAGTTGGGTATACCTATATCATTATCATTCATCATTATGGTAGATCAATAATTATCATTACTTTTGTCCAGTACCAACAAAGACTATTGGTTCTCCAGTTATGTATACCATACTTAATGCAGCTCCTACCTTATCATCAACAGTATCATATTTAGTTAATAATATACCATCAATACCTCTAGGATTATGGCTATCATCACCTACTACTACCACTATTACAATCATTATCATCGTAGCTACCATTACTACTATCCTTATTACTCAATGAATAATCCATCAATGCTCTATCAAACTTGGTAAGTTGATCGATAGCATCATATCCTACTAATGCCTCTCCTACAAAGAGTATTAGATCAGGGTTATTAACTGCTACTAGTCTTGCCAAGGACTAAGGAAGAAGAAGAAGACTAGGAGTAGTAGTAGTAGTGTTGTTGTTGGTATTACCTTCATTAATGGTTCATTATCTTGCATTCTACCAGCAGTATCAATAAGTACAACATCATATGCATTGTGTTTAGCATAATATAATCCTTGTTTAGCTATCTCAGCAGCATCCTTACCATAACCCTTCTCAAATAGATCAACATTCAGGCATCTAGTAGTAATGATTATTAGTGGGTTAGTAAGCGGCGGCCATATTACTATTACCTAGCATGAGTCCTCAATTGTTCCACAGCTCCAGCACGGAAGGTATCACATGCACATATTAATACTCTTAGACCACCCTTCTTACGGAGGTAGTACGCAACCTGCCACATCAACATCATAGTAGTAGTAATAGTAGCTATGTTGGATGTTTACTACCTTAGATAGGTTAGTACTCTTACCAACACCATTTACTCCTAAGAATACTATACTATACCTATAATAATAATAGTCATAATACTGAGCATGGGGGGACCTTACACCTGTCCATTAGCCTTAGCTTGCATAGCTGCTCTTAATACATCTACTGATTTCTTAGGAGTAAGGATACGTGATATTGATTGAGTTAATGCATCCTTAACCGTAGTATGTACCGAAGTAAACTGTCCAGTACGAGTACCAACCTACAATACCATTAGTAACATCAACAACAGAAGGGGGTGGTATTATTATTATTACTAAAGATGAGCTAACACCATCTGCTATAGCATTAGCTACATCCATAGCTACATTCTTAGACATTAATTGTTCACAAAAGGTAGCCAATACAGGTTCTAGATCTCTATTGGTAAGGACCTAATACTATTACTACTACTACAGGAGAGTCAATAATACTATCGCATTACTTGATTTCCTGTTATATTCTTTAATTGTCTAGTAAGAGTAGCAAATATACCATTAGTAGTAGCCTTATCCTCTAGATCATCATCTAAGTGTGATGATAAGTATTCCTGATATTACTATAGATGTATTACCATCAACTATTACACTATCATCATCATCTGATGGTAGATAAGTCCTCCTAGCTGCCTCTAACCCTTCCTCCTCTTCACTACTAGTACCACCCTCTATTCTTTTAGACATATCCAAGGCATTCATAGCCTCAGTAGTAACCTTACTAGTATCCCATACTCTACCACTCTTCTTCTTATTACCTATTATCATATACACTACCCCACTTTACTATTACTACTACCCTTCTTATTGTGAGTCTTCCCTTCCCCCTTATCATCATCATTCTCCTCCTCTTCTTCACTAGACACCTTATTACCTATAAGTCTTAAGTATGTACTACACTCTAACAGTAGTATTACCCTTAAAAGGGCGTGATCCTTTTCTTAACATACCCATCTTCAACTTCCTCCTAGCCTCCATAATCAATTCTTCTTTACTAGCTTTCTCCTCCTTCTCCCCTTCACCTTCCTCCTCCTGTGTATCATGGACCCCTTCCTCCCCTAGTTTATTATTATCCTTCTTCTTCCCTTTCCTTTGTGCTGCTGACTTAACCTCTCTATCAGCCTTAACCAATATCTTATCAACCCGTACCTAGTAATACTACTATTACCCCCCTCCTTATAACCCTACTACTACCTTGAAGGCCTCCTTATTCTGTAATGGATGTAAATCCTCCATACTCTTAATACTACTATCAATAGCCGATAAAAACTCCTACGTAATAATCATCATACACCATTACTACCATCACTACTACCTTAGTTAACATATCCAATAAGTAGTTAAGGTAGAGCTGCTTTAATACCCCTTCATATGCTATTACCAATACTAAGAGGAGTAAGGATACTACTACTATTGGGTAGTAGTACGTATACTACCCAATCCTATATTATTTATATTCTTCCATTTCATGCAGTACCGCTCTATCTTATCCTCATATATACAGTCTACTCCTGCTCTATCCTCAATAAGGACTTCCTTAACCTATTACCAACCAATACCACTCCTCGAGTACATCATCATTACCAATTTATCAACACGCTTATTAAGTGTATCCTCCTGTACACCAGCATAGGTAGTACTCCATAGTACTATACCCCCTTTGGTGAAAATGGATATACCATCAATCATGATGATGAATGAGCATGTCAACGACGATGATAATAACAGCGACCTTTGACACTTGCACACTTGCTCTATCTTGCATTTCCTCAACTACACTCATAAACACTGCGCATCTGGTGTAGGCTGATTATGGTAGTAGTAGTCCATCTTGGATATGGTGTCGACTAAGAGTAAATTACCAATATGTGGATTCCAAGTGGAATGTACTAAGAAGGGTGCACCACCAATAAAGATAGAGAAAAGGAATAAGGGGAAGAAGGTAAGGAGGGTAAGGGTCTGTTGTTATTAACTACTACTACTAGGTAACTGTTATTACTAATGTTAATGGTGATAATAGGAAGTTAGTAACCCATCTTAAGACCATATTAGGTGTAGGAGGGACTACACAAGGGAATACTACGGTAGAGATACAGGTATGTTGGGGTAATAGTACTAATACTAAGAGCTCGTGGTATTAGGGTGATCATATTGATCAAGTAGTGGTTGAATTAAAACGATTACATGCTATTAAAGGAATGAAGACAACGGATGATAGTGATGATACTAGTAGTACTGATAAAAGGGGTAAGAAGAAGAAGACAGAAGGTAATAGTAGTTCATGAGTAGTAGTAGTAGTAAGGAGTTCTTGTTCTTATAGAGGTTACTACAGTATCTACCCATACTGGGTATGAGGATTTCCTTAAGGAGACATCTAGAGGCAAGAGTAGGAAAGTAGAGGATTACAACTATGATGCTGTAATGATAACAATAATGATTATCATAATACCATTATGAGGATAGTTACCTATGCCTGAGTCCTGTAAGAAGCTGCATGGTCTCGATTGGATATATTGTACACGTAATAATGCTGAGGAGGGTGAGGGTATATTATGAGTATACTATTAGGTGATTGCCATGATGTTGACTTATCTGATGTATTTGATGATTATGATCACTTCTATAATACAAAGAAGGGAACGGTAATATTATACATGAATCATATGGTACATTATACATACTATACAGGCCATCATGAGGATGAGGTTACTACTCCTACTGCTGCTGCTACTGTTAGTAGTAGTAGGATGACTGATAACGAATTAGATAAGGCCTATCATAATCTGGGTATGGCTGCGGAGACTGGTCCGGCTATATTCGATTTTGATGAGGAAAAGGTTAAAAGACGTAAGATGGTAATTAAGGAAGGTAATGATTATCGGTGTTGTTATTATGGTAGAGGAGAAGTTAATAGAGCAACAAGAGGAATTAAGGAAGAATAATCTAATAGCTAGAGAGGCTAGATTGGCTGAGATTGAGGTAATACTAACAATACTCATGATGATGATGGAGGTCTTAGGAGGAGGATAGAGTACATAAGGAGAGGATGCGATGGGAACAAAAGGAGAGGGAGAAGAGGATATTGGTAATGATAGTAATAGTAGTAGGGACACTCTAGTGATGGTGATAGGCACGATATGAACTAGAACAGAAAAGGAAGGCACAATGGAGGAAGACTATAGAGAAGTCAGCAGGAGCTAAGGAGTTAGCAGCTAGACAGGTACACTTTAGGTAGTAATGACTAGGGACAATGATACATCTTACATGATGTTTATAGATGGAGACGACAGTTTGACTTTGATCCCACTAAAGTACAAACAGTTGAATCTGGGAGGAAAGGGAGGTAATAAGAGTAGGGTAGTTGTAGTGGTAGTAGTAATGATGATTTGGCAGAGTTATGGTAGTATTGGATAAGACTAGTGATGACCCTACACGTGATGGTACAGGGGATAAGCTTACTCCAGAGAGTCTTGAGGCTTTGTAATAATAATACCATTCTATTATCTAACATCATTATGATTGTTATTATTATTGTTAGGTTCGAATTCGTATCAATGTTTGAAGGTGTAGAGTGTGTAACAGAATTGAGTAATGCAGTAGTAGCTACATTTAGAACATCAGAACAAGCTCAACAGTGTATACTAGTATCACAAGATAATGCTGATATACAAGTTACTAGAGCAGCTACTGCAGCTGTTACACAAGGTCTTAATGTTAGAAAGGTAATAGTAGTAATAGTGGTAGGTGTAATAGTAGTAAGGTGGTGTAGGTAAATCCAATGGTAGCAGCAGAGAGATATGGTGAAGTGGTTAAGATGAATGAGAAGGCTAGAAGGACAGCTCAGGAAAGGGAGATATTTAATACTCTATGTGAAGATAATAGTAATAATACTACTACTAGTAGTAATGATACTGATTATTATTATAGGAGCACTGTTACATGACCTAGGGCTAACCAGTGAGTCGCCAGTATTGGCTTCGACATTCTTCTCATTCCTGGATGCTATGGATGATGATGTCATAACTCCATCATCGTAATAATATTAAGGTATAGACATAGGGATGGTATGGTAGGTATAAAGAGGTATTCAAAGAGGCATTACAGACAGCATCATCATTAGATAATACTAATGGAATGCTTAATACTACCAGTAATAATAATAATCATATCTACTCCATCTACCATTGATATTACAGGTAGTAGTAGTAGCAGTAACGTTATCCCTACATCATCATCATCACCACTTTATTATCGTGATAAGAAGAGTGTTGCCCAAGCCAAGCCTAGTCAAGGTAGTAGTATTAGTAGTGATCGACCTTAGTGTTATCACCCCTCTACCTATATACTATAGATACAGCAGAAGGTACAATAGACTTTAGTGGTTACCAACTAATGATACCTGCTGGCATTAAGGATGAACTAGTCTATGCTGGTAGTAATGATGGTGTTGATTATAATAATACTAATAGTAGAGGAACAGGAGAAGGGAGAGCACTGATTATGATGATGTTAGGTTTATGGAATAATGCCAAGTATTGGAGTAAGTTTGGTGAGATGTTAGATATAGGTCTACCTGTAGAGGATAGTCATCAGATGGCTAAAGAATATGTAAGGAGGAGGAGGAAGGGGCATAATGATGATTGTTGTGGTGGTGATGGTGATATTGGTAGATTGATACACTCAATAATCCAAGACGGCATCGGTATCTACCAGGAGAGTTAGAGGAAGGAGGAGGAGGGGCATCTAGTACATCAGTAGAGGTGATGGTATAACTGTAATACCATACTTCTCCCACTTTGTATATTTAGGTCGGTGATTGTCCAGTATGTGGTAAGACTGGTATACCCCTTCCCGATCTCCAACGTCATGTTAATGATTGTTTAACATCATAAGCATCATAAGCATCATCAGTAGCATCATCAGTAGCATCATCAGTAGCATTCACTCCAGCACTGTTATTATTATTATACAACTACCACTACTGCTTATTCCTACTTGCATACCATTGCTCATATCATCATCACCATATTGCTATGTGCTATTTATCATCGTAATAATAATAATCATCATTGTCGTAGTAGTAGTAGTTTCTCCATACCAAATTCCTGTTACTTTACTCGATAAGACGAGGCATGTCGTTAATGATCTCAATGGTGGGGAGTATGGGGCGGTAGTATCCGGAACAAGAAGACATCAACTAGAGGAGCTCAAAGACATGATGATGAAGTAGGCTCATGGTGATGGCTGTCATCCTTGCTTTATGTCTAACATGCTAGGCTTCATCATCATCATAGTACATTATTACTTCAATGCCACTTAGTGCTACTTCAACAGTATCATCAACACCTTCAACACGACAAGCAGCATGCAGCAGACGATTATTCATTCTCGCTATCTTGGGTATAGTTCTATTAGTATCAATGAGTATTATGACAAGCATACATAAAGTAAGTGATGATGATGATAGTGGTGGTATACCTCTATCGTTACCTCTAAGGTTACTACCATACCATACTACTTGAAGGGTAGTGATATCGAAGAATTAGATAGTCTACGAGCCAGGGTTAGAGTATTGGAGGATTTACTACACAGCCAATCGGGGTCCAATCATGATATACACCCAAGTCTTAGAGTAACTACACCTTCTACCACACCTCAGAGGTCGCTGGTGTCGGCGTTGTTGTTATCGAGTAGTAGAGGCAATAGTGATCTTATCCAGTATATACCATCATTGGTACATTACGATCGCCTTGATTATTATACTAGAACTGATAATACTCTTTTACCGGCCTCATTATGCAAGGGCATCACATTACGTGTAGCATCAATAATACCACCAAGGGCTGTGCTGTATAATGAGGTATTATATATTAATACTACTTATACTCATGGTTAATACTACTACACTTTAGGATGGTATATTATTACAACAGAAGATTCCTCGTATTATATGGCAAACATACAAGACATCCCGAATGCCCGATAGGATGGCTCATAATACATTTAATTGGGCTGGGATGAATCCTGAGTAAGACCACCATCAACAACATCATTATGGATATAGTAAATCTTAGATACGCTTATCGATTCTTTGATGATGACTTAGTAAAGGAATATCTCCTTACCACTGATGCATTACCAGTATCAACATCTGATATGAAGGATGCTCTACAACAGCTCCCATCCATGTTCCATAATGGAGCTGGAGTTGCTATGGCAGACATCTGGCGTCTTGCTGTATTATCATCAATAGACTATGGTGATGATGGTATACTGTATTGTTATTAGGTATTATATGAATATGGTGGAGTGTATGCCGATGTAGATTCGATAATAGTAAACCCTTTAAGACGATGGGTAGACTCTAATGCAACGATCATTACCAGTATTGAATCGGGAAGATTTATAGCACAATATGTGATGATGTTCCGTCCGAAGCATCCTGTCACTGAAGTAGTAAACAAGGTAATGCCTGATACACACATGAGCTTGATAATGTAGGAGGCTATACGGTTGGCTGTAAGGAATATCATCAACAAAACACCATCATCATTGGCTAAGTTCCCTAATACTCTCGAGGCTTATACTGGACCTGCTGTTGTTAAAGAGGCTTTCGATACTGTAATAATCATAAGTATTATCATCATAACATCATACTTAGTGGTTATCGGCCCATCATCAACAACTAATGCCCAGTGATAAACCGATTATTATTGGACAAGATATTGTAGCTGTTGTTGCTGTATAGGTGGTATTATGATTATAAGAATACTAGGTACGAGTATTTGAGGATGTGGGCTTCTCTGGTAATGTTAAATTTAAGGATGGTAAATATCATGCCGATCTTAAGAAATGTAACCAAGGTCATTGGTTATATGGATGGTACAGGAGTAGTAGCAGTAATAAGGTGAAAGGATGATTATCATCATCATGCGTAACACGTCTTTTTCGTACCATCATAAGTTGAGTTAATAACATCAATTTCGAAGTAAGAGAGATTACAACAACATTGAAGGTCAACTCGATAATAGTTAATCATGATGTAGAACGACTATTAACACAATATTACTGTAATTGTTAGGAGTGAACAGTTGATGTCCACTACTCTAGTATAATTAGGTAGTAGGAACCATGTAATAATAAAATATTATCGTCATTCCCTGTTACCATCGTTTACTATCCTCCTCCATCAAGACCCACCTCGTGATCTTTCTAGACCATCGCATACTATTACTACACGCGGTCGTTCCTATTGCTGCCTTGCCCCCCTCCATATCCCTTGTAGTTGCTTCAGCAATTCTAGTTGCTGTTGTTGCCGTGGTTGTTGTTGTTGCCGTGGTTGTTGTTCTTGCCGTTGTTGTTGCCGTTGTTGTTGTTGTTGCCGTTGCTGTTGTCGCTGTTGTTGCCGTTGCTGTTGTCGCTGTTGTTGCCGTTGTTGTTGTTGTTGTTGTTGTTGTTGTTGTTGTTGTTGTTGCCGTTGTTGTTGCCGTTGTTGTTGTTGTGCTGCTGGTGCAGTATTCTTCCGTAGATCAGCCTTCATACAACGATCCTCGAAAGGACCTACTATGGGATAGTAGTATGAGGAGCAGCGATATCCTTACCTCCCGGGAAGTGTGAGTAATGATCCGTTTTAGGAAGCCTATCTCCACATATATAACAGAAATAAACTTTATTGCGGCATTGAGGGCTTGAACATGTCATAAAGTTGCAACCCTGATCCTTGCATACCATCACTCCACACTCCGGACATCTACATTAATAATAACTGTGTAGCGAGCGGGCCTATTGTACAATGCGAATTATTGTGTACATACGTAGGGGTTATTCCACCATAACCATAGAGAGTTCGAATACGACGGAAGGAGTAATTAGGAGCTGATTGGACGACGGCTATACCCACAAGAATATGGAAATCTTTATGTAGTCCATCCTTGACAATATATACACTAAAAACATATTATGCATTCGGAAAAATACCCAACCTGGGATTCGAACCGGAGATCTATGTCGCGCAGCAGGGCCGAGCACGACCGACAGCCTAACCCCATCAAGTTTCAGAGTGAAGTCCATCGAACACGTGGCGAGCATGTTCGATCACTTGGTCGAGAAGGTCTAGTAACTCTACTACTATTACCTCTTCCAATTATTCTCCCGAGCCAAGGCATTAGTTGTCTCCTCCTCCTTCTGTCCAGCTGCTACTGCTTCACACGATTGGCCTATATGCCCCTTGAGATGGTAGCATCTGCAATGGTGTCAGATTAAGGGTAAATGAGTATTACTACTACTTAGGGCAGAACTCTTTACCACAACCACGACATTGACAAGATGGATCCATGGCCTGTTTATCGTCAACTTCAAATCCGTAGTCACAACCAGGATGAGGGCATACAATGAAATGACCATCCTAAGGATAGGAACAAGAAGAGGATATGCTGCTAGAAGATAATGATGACGATACTGGCAGGTACCTTATTGGCAGCACTGCTTACAAGATGATCTGCTTGATACACATGCTTGAATCTAAACTCCAGGAACTTCTGCCACAATGCTGTACCATTGTCATCATCATCATCAGCTACTGCTGCTGCTGCAGGTGTTGTTGCTGCAGATGAATCGACTAGGATGTACCTCAGCAACAACAATATGATAATACAATAATAGGAAGAAGGAGTAGCAACTACTACTCTGTTTCGGGAATACCAATTGTTACCCTACACTTCGGCACTGGACAAATAAACTCATCATCACGTACCTGAAGGGAATTATATCCTACCTGGGATTCGAACCCACCATCTCGTATTATTCACCTGACCATGCTGTATCCTATCCTTGATATAAGCTCTAGCGCATGGTAAACACATAAAATGATTACATGATAACCTCATACCATCCTCAATAGGGATGTTATTATCCATACATATTGGACAATCCCCAGTAGTAGGGACCTCAACACCACCTTCCTTATCCTCTTCTATTAGGATGATGGTCACCAATGACAACTCCTCCTTTAACCGTGCCTCCTCTATCCCAACATAACAACCACTACTACTATCATCATCATCCAAATCAATAACCTCCTCTTCCTTATTAGTAGATGTACTCTGTAGAGGACCCCTCAAGTATCATCATCAATATCATGATGATCATACCTCTAATTGAAGTGCCTGTAAGGCCATGGAAAGATACTTCCGCCATGTTGCCACTGCATCATGACTTGGCTGCTGCTGATGTTGTTGTTGACTATGAACACCTGATGATGCGGCCCTCGACTGCTCATCGGATAGCTGTAGTATAACGTATCTACTCGATGCCTATACCCTATAAGAGGAGGTAGTAGTAGTAGGTGGTCATGAACACTACTTAATCTGATCTAAGGTCATAGGTTTAGTGCAGCGAGGGCATGTGATGTGAAATGATGCACTAGTAGTAGGAACCTGGAGTAGGGGCTAGAACACTGAATGTGGCATGAATAAATAGTACTACCTCTAGAGCTATAGTGTTATTGTCTTGTATGGTTGATATTACATAATGATGCATACATCGATTACAAGTGAAATGTCCACAATCAAGAGTAACTCCCTGATCTACTGGTATACCATACGACCCTTTACAGGTCATACAATATTGTAATGACGAAGAGGATTGGCCATGATGTTGAAGATTGAAATATTCTCCTAACACTTCAACTCCCCCACCACCACCACCACCACTTCCACTACTACTACTGCTAGCAGCAGTAGCAGAGCCATGACGTAACTGAATAGATGGTAAGAGTAGCAGCACTCTTCTATTGGTACCCTCTTGGTTGATGTTGATAATGCATGGTCATCACTCCCATCCCTTATCCTCTTCCTATCATCATCATCCTCGCATAATGGCATTATCAAGGACTAAGGAATGAATATTTACAATATACAACACAACAACAAGAACATAAGCTCTCTCATGCAATGACTGAAACATCTACAGAAACCATAGTTACTACAAGCATGATACCTTGGGCAGCCGTCATGATAGACCCGAGTTCAATCCCTGGTCACGCCGTCTTGGCAGTAATTTAACCTCAACTATATCCACCAAGTACGGTGTTAGTTCGCATTCCTCTGCCCATCTTCTTCGTCGTTGGTCATGATGATCACCGAGCCGACGTAGAGTATGACCAACCTCTTCCTGGAATGTAGAGGTACGTGAATCCTCAGGCTCGGCCATTGATGAAGACCCAACTTTAACTACTGTATCGAATAACTCCAAGGCTAATATCGATCTAATATGCTCAATACTCAATGCTCGACTAATACTCTCCTCCTCCTCGTCCTTCATAGGCATCAATAACATACGCATTGTCGCTATAAGCTGCAGCCTAGTAGCATTAGATAGGGACGGTTTAGGTAGTAGTTTATGGATAATACGCAGTAGGACATTGTAAGCAGCTACCTGTGCATAGTGTCTACCACTGAGTAATAGAGCATAGGCTACTATTGAGTATTGACTAAGGCAATTGATCGATGATAAGATATCCTCATCAATGATAATACGCTTATACATATAACTAATACCAGGTTGGTAAGCTAACTTAGCATACCCTACTAGAGCTGTTACTAAGCCTATTGCAGGTATCCTCCTTATTGTAGTAAGCCTATCTACACTCCAATGTAGAAAGGTTTGATCATAGTAGTTAACTCTAGCCATAGATGCTATACCAATTACTATTGCCTGCTCACTTAGACCCCATTCAGGAGCCTTCATACTATATGTTTTGATAATACTCATCTGCAGGCAATCTAATCTCGAGAAACCATCCAATAACATAACATATCCTTGATGTGATACATCCCCTTCCCTTACAACCTCATCAGCTCTATTAGATAGCCCAGTTATCATTTCACCATCCTTACTAGCATTAGGTACACTCCTACCGAGACCATGTACTACACATGCTAACTGCCATCCTGATAGATCTTTAGTTCTATCCCTAACTTGATGTAATAACTCCGGTATAGCACATCCTGGTACTTCACGTTGTAGTTTGGCAACAGCATTTAATAGGGCTGATAGACCCCTCACAGTAAAGGATACGTTACCTCTCGATAAGGCATCAAATGCTGCTGAGAATATAATATCAGAATCACGATCCATCCTTGCCAATGCATTGAGTAATAATGCATAATCCTGCTCCGATAATACGGCCTTAGAAGTAGCCGTTAATTGTCCTACTCTCCTCTCTATAGCCTCTAATAGACCATCATTAGTAGGCTGAGCTCTTACTGTACTAAGGGCTGCCAAACATAAGGATAGGCTCTTACCACTAGTCATGCTTGGTACCATACTCAGCAGTATGCTACGTACCTCCTTATGGAGTAGTACAGATCGAGTATGAGGGCTTTTACCCATAGTATGACAGATGGTAGTGATATCACGTTCAGTGAGGGTATGGGAGGTAAGGGCTTGTAGGAATATAGGAGGATGGAAGGTAGACGAGCCGCCTTTAGTGGTGGTTAGGTATACCATAGCAGGATGGGTTACTGAGTTGAGGAGGACGAGGGATGATCTAGGGTAGGTTAGCATTGGTAAAACGGTTAATAAATGCTATAGTAGTACTAGTAGTAGGGTGGTGGTGGTGGTATGGTCTACACTAACAAAGAACAACAGGAGTGTAGAAACAACAAGACACATCATAAAATGGCAGCAACAGTCATAGCCTCCCTACATTGATCAGCAAGTAGGGTATTCTGAGCACCTAGATGCCGACAGTTCTCACCAGCTAGGAAGGATGCAAATTCTAGGTCTGCTCTACTTGGTATGAAGGTATTATCCTGAGGAAGATAGAAAAGGTAATCCTATCTAGAACTCAGTCAAAGCTCTCATACGTCAGTCTCCTTCTCTTGTTGTTGCATTCTCCTTTTACACATGGAATACACTAAACCGGCTTGGAAGGCGTCACCAGCACCAGTAGTATCAACAACATCATCAACCTAACAATGTACTGAGAATACTACTACGACCTCACTCTCTACCTACCACATGTGGTGGTATCCTCTCCCTCTTCTTCCTATCTTGCCTTAATATCATTTCAGCACCATCCTTACCCATAGTCACTACCATCCACTCTAGATTAGAACATTTATCAAAGAGGTTTACCCCACCATATAGTGTATCCTCTACCTCAGTAAGAGTATGATAACCACTAACAACAATACCAGTACAGAGTACTAATAGTTCATTCAGCTTGTCTCTATCGGCCCGTTCAACATCCATGACTATAGGTACCTTCCTCTGTGACGCCTCAATAGCATATACCTCAGCAACATAGGGGAATCTACCATCAAGGTAGAGGCATGATACTTGTGTTGAATCCCAGTAGTGTTGAAACTTCATCATAGGTATCTCATCGGGCATCATCTGTTCACTCATCCTAGAATGTAATATAGTCCTATTATTATCACTACTTGTTGATATCACATAAGACAGTCCAATATGCCCCTCCTCCTTAGATACTACCATACCACTCCTAAACATACCCAATGTATCCAGTTCATCATATATCCCCTTCTTTCCCAGTATCTTACTAACAAGTTCTACCTCACCCCCCAACTTGTGTATAGCAACAGCAACGTTACATGCATTACCTCCTAGACCCTCCCTATACCCAGTAGTAACTACCTTACTATCAGGTCGAGGATAGGTAGGTACTTCTACAGTTATATCACGACATACCAATCCAACACATAGGATGGTAGGCTCCCATCGAGGGTATGGGGAATCCATTGTGTACTACTAAGACGATGACGATGCCGGCTGGATGAAGGAGCATCTTGCTCATCTTGCATATCTTACGATTCCTTAATTGATCATTGACAAGATCATCAATCTGGATTAGGGAGATGGTAGTATTACGTTGAATTGTCGAAGGCATTCGCCGAGGAGTGGTAGAGCAGGAGGCTAATGGGCGTGTAGATGTGTAGTAGTGAATTGGGTATGCTTAGTATGGTGATGAGTGTTAGTATGAAGTTCTCATGGTCAGAGCCAGTACCATCCCCCTCACCACCACCACCATCATCTCATGATGGGGGGAGGAGCAAGAAGAAGGAGACTTCAAAACCCCTACCTATAAAGGTATTAGATGCTCCACCTAGGCATAGATCACCGAGGACTCCTATGAGGAAGAGGCTGAAGAAAGGAGGAGGAGTAGTAGGGGAGGCAACATCATCACATACATCACCAACTACTACCATACCACAGAGGAGTAGGAGAAGACCATCATCTACTACAGGAGGAGGAGGGTCATCTCCACAACTCTTGTATAAGAAGGATGTTAAGTTGGAGACAGCAGCGATAATGCGTGAATTAGTGTCTGAGAAGAAGTCGTCTAATACTCCTAGAATAGGAGTACCGAATATTAATAACAGTAGAAGTGATATACGTAATCTAGTGACTGCTGCAGCTGGGCGTAGTAAGGAGATAGAGAGGCAACAACAAAGAAGGATGGTAGCTGTACTTGGTGATAAGGGGAGGCGGATGGTACCTTCCTCCTCCTCCTCCTCTCATACTGATGGGGGATTGATCATATCTAAACGAGCTCCAAGGAGCCAAGAGGTAACCTCATCATCAAGGGTAAGGTCTGAATCTGGACACTCTATCACTCGAGGATCCCCTAAGAAGATGCAAAAGGTTACACCTTCCTCCTCCTCTTCCTCCTCTCCTCCCTCTACGAGCTCAGTAGGAGCATTTAGTTGGAAAGCTGTGGTACCAACATCATCCTTACCATTATCTGATCATGATGATGACGACGACGATACCCACTCTACCTCCTCATCATCAGTACGTAATACCAGACATAGATTCCATGGTAAGAGGAAGAAAGGCACTCCACGTGGTGGTGATGATCAAGGATCCAATGCAAGTTGGTCTCTACCCTCTAGTGAAGATGATAGTAGTAGTAATGAAGGCTCTGATGATGATGAATGGCGTACAAAGAAGAAGAAGAAGAGACAGTCTAATGTAATAGTTATTATTATCATAGTCCTACTACCATACAATAGTATACTCAGAGTACATCATCATCATCACGGTCTAATAGTGTACTTGATGGTTATGATAGTTTCCTTAGAGTGTCTAAGGCAAGAAAGAAGGTAGCTACATAGAATAGGGAGTAGTAGTAGTAGGGGATATATCTATCAGGTAGTGTCTGGTAAGGTAGTAGATGAGACAGTATTGAAGAGGTTATGGAGAAGGCTTAGTGATAGTGATAAGGAGGTTTGGAAGAAGGAGGATATACGACAAGTAAGGCGGCGGCGGCATCGACTATCATCATTCCACATCGTTGTTACCTTCTTAGTTAGCTGTACAGCGGCTTAGGCATCGTATGAAGAAGGAGCCATTGACATCGAGTAACTTCACTTCATGGTGTGATGAGATGAGATCTTTAAAAGATCCACATCTAGGGGATAATAAGATAGTCGATGTTACATTGTTGATGACTATGCTACAACGTTTGAGTAAACAACCCCTAGATGGTAAGAGTATTTTTAAACATCATTTAAAGAAGGATATTCTACCTATGCTACAGTCTCGTAGTGGTTGGGGACTTGACCTTAATAAAGTGGCCACTACTGGATGGCTACTACCTATAGCTAGATCTATCAAGACATCATTCAAGAAGCTTATTATGGCTGATGGGGTATCAGGGCCGACTAGTAAGAAGAGGAATCATCATGATGAGGAGGTGGTGGAGGAAGAGAAGGCTTACCTCTCCAGTGTTAAGGAGGTCAAGTCCTTACTAGCGATTGATACTACCACTACTAGGGTATCATCACCTAGGAAGAAGCAGAAGGATGGTACACCAGTGGCAGCTACTACTACTACTACAGCATCTATTGATGAACAGCGTAGTAAGGTTAGAGTAGTATTGCAGACAAAGGCATTGGCTGATGAAGAGGTAGAGGCAGCTACTAAGGCGGCACTTGCCTTAGAGGAGGCACTATGGGATGAATATGCTCGAAATGTGGTTGATGGTCTACACGGTGAAGATGTTCAACAACGGCAACTAGAGTTGAAGGAGTATTACTCTAGGGTGAGAACTCTTACTTTTAACTTGAGACAGAATGGTAGATTAAGGGCACGTCTATTAGGAGGAGAGGATGAGTATAGTAAAGTATTAGCAGTTATGAGTGTAGAAGAGATGGCTACTGAGGAACAGCAAGCCTCTAGGAGGGATGCTGTAGAAAGAGGTCTTAAGGCTGTAGTGAGGCAAGAGAAGGAGACATTAGTTGAAGATAGGCAGAAGATTATGGATTTACATCAAAGGAATGATTCTCCTGACCAACAACAAGAGCATGATAATAATAACAATAGTAAACCGTCTACCATACTACCCCATGATGATAAAGTTGGGGATGGTGTGGTATGATGATGATGGTAAAGGCCCTATCTTTAATATTGAACGTACCACTATTACTATTATTGCCAACATCATCATCCTTTGGATTCCTAAAGTTTTCTCCCCACCCTTTTATTGCGTTAATAAGAGCTTGTTACCCCAACAGCAGTAGATGCCTACTACTACTACTATGAGTAGCCAAGTTGATGAGACAGTCGATGAGATGACCATAACCACACGAGATCCACCCTTTACTGATGACTATCGTATAGGAGTATTGTATAGGTAGGGTTGTTGTTGTTGTTATGGTGGGTAAGAGTAGTATTGTTGTTGGATAGGGATGATGATATACTCATAGTTGACAAGCCATACGACTTGAGGGTTGATGGTAACGACTTTGATTGTACTGTTGAGAAGTTTGTGAGGGATATACCTCATGCAAGGCCAGGGTCATTGAAGATCCCTATGGATAAGTTTAGATTAGCCAATCAACTTGATTTTGCCACTAGTGGTGCTCTAGTATTAACACTGAATAAGACGGCAGATAGGGAGACTAGTGCCCTATTTCAGGTAGTAATAAGAACTACTACTACTACCATTTATCACTACTCATCATCATCATACAGTTCCGATTGACTAAGAAGGTGTATATCGCTGTATGTGAAGGTTGGGTTGGTGATGATGAATTGATGAAACCTAGAATCATAACTACAGGGATATCATCAGTAGAGGGAGAATTCAAGTAGTAATCATTGATAAGCATCATCATAGTAGTAATGTTATAGGATGAAAGTGTGTGAGGAAGGAGGAGGTAAGATGAGTAGTACAATAGCTGTACCCGTATCCACTGGCCACCTCCTTTGTGATGATATTAAGTGTACTGTATACATCCTACGCCTATTGACTGGGAGGAGGCATCAATTACGATTACATCTATCTTATATTGGCCATCCTATATTAGGAGATTATACCTATTCAACTCATTTACCTAAGGGTAGTAGTACTAAAGTGGATGATGATGATGCAGTAGTATCATATTCATTGTAATAGGTGGTAGAGGGCCTACCTTACCAAGAATGCTACTCCATGCTTGGAGGCTTACACTCCCTTTTGGGGATCTATTACATTGTGGGGGCAAGTTGAGGAAAAGAGGTCAACTACGGCATGTTAAAGATGGCACCACTATTCATGTTGAATCAGAGCCTACTCTACTAAAGTAAGAAGGAGTAAGCTCCTGCCCTGTAGTAGTCCCCTTATAGATACGTTACCCCATCACCAGAGATGGCAGTATTAGATCATGCTGCCAGACTAGCTATGGAGATCTCCCTATCACCAGAGGAGATGTCGACACCAAGGCATAGCAAGAAGGCTAGAGGAGGGCCAGCACACGACCACAACTGATGATGGTAGCTTCCTCCTTATCAACGTCTGTATGGTGAGTATTGAGTTGCAGTATAGATAACTAGACTCATCCATCTTATCTGGAGATGTGTAACTCCATAAAACAACAGCAACAGTTGTGGCAATCACAATGTTGCCTCGGAGGGTCTATAACTCGATATGAACACCAATCATACAAGGCGAACAGTGATCATCTGACGTCATAGTCGTCCTTGTTGACCCCTGTTGGAGGTCATCGAAGTGAACACCACCACAACATGGTCCATACTACTACCCATCCTCCATGAGGAGTTGGCCTCATCCCTAACAACGACACAGTAACGGCAATACTAATTCGGGTAGGAGCGGGAGTAGTCGGACACCATTATTATGACCAGCAGCTACTCTCCATAGTCGAGAATCCCTGTAGTACTCAAGGCGACATGATGACAGAAACGATGATCATCGAGAGCACTAGATAGGATAGGATTATTCATTGCTGTCTGATGCTTTCATAGAAGGACCTTTGGTAACATGCCGTAGTACCTGATAATGATGATGATGACGATACACTTGGATAGAGTCGTCAGATACTCACCTCCTGAGCCACCTCATTAGGGCTTTGCATACCATCTATCGATGGTAATACTAGCTTACCCGACCTAGTTAAATATTCTACTACAGACTTCCTTATAGGCCCAAACCATTCATCCAATGCTGTACTTATCTGATATCAAGGATGATACGAGGCTAGTAGCAGCATCATCACCATGGTGGTTGTTGTTGTTATATTACCATGTTCATAGAGGGTTCTTTACCCATAGTGAGAGGCTCATTAGTGAGGTCATCCTCTCCAGACACTTTAGGTTGGCATCCAGGTGTTGATACATTATAAACCCTTCCAGAGGGTTTATGATAGAGTCTACCAGATATCCTAATACCAAGATATGCCACCAGCAGCTGGCCATACTACTACTACTACTACTACCTCTGCAGTAACGTCTTCTTCAACTCTACTGATGCCGTATCGTCCTCCTCCGAGACGATCTTCTTAGGTTCTATGATGACAGCAGTGTCTATTGGGCTCATACCAAAGTGTTCTAACTCCTTATCAATCTTCATAATAGATAATGCCGAGTTATCAGGATGTATATGATGCAATACAAAACCTCTACGGCATTGAGGTGCCTTCATAGCATCTACTACTACAGGCACCCCACCCTCCTCCACTTCCTCCCCTCCTTCTTCTATAAGCTGTTGATGATTGATATCACATATACCCCATGCCCTAGCCAACCTAGCTGCCTGTGTAGCAATACCAACCCCAGCACCCTGCGGTCCAGTAAGGAGGACCCTCCTCTCTGGCCTTGATAATATGGCCTGACGTCGTCTTATCTCCCCTAATAGATCTACAGTAGGGATCTGATCCAATCTATGTCCATCAGGCTTCCCTCGGCCAGTAGTAGGCTCCGTGGTGGCGGCCTCAGTCGTTACACCTTCAGAAGCAGACATAATTCAAGTGGCGGTAGGCCGGAGTCGGTGATGATGATGGACTCATCTTGCATTCTTGTACATCTTGCATCTCCTCAACTGTAATTTGTATCCTCTCATCATCATCTGCGCAAGTTGTTGTTGTTGTTGTTGTTGCTACTGTCTTTGTATGACTACCCTATCTCGTCATCACTCTACCGAGTAAGTCCTTCCACCCTCCTATTGTGCTACTACCTCCCTCTTAGTCGTCGTGGTCGCCTATTCGCCCGTTGCCCAAGCCCTGCTATGCCTTCTTATGACTCCTGGTATGGCCAAGCTAAACGCTTGGAGTTCGATGGCGATCTAAAAGGTGCATTCTCTGCCTTTATGGAGGTAGAGTACTAGTCATTACCCTGGTATGATACTACTTTCATCAGGCCATAGCCCGTGGTGATAGAGTTGACTCATCCCTAAAGGACGTTGCTGGTCTACTCAATATGGTTGGTCATGTCCACGCAGCTGTAAGGTTCCTCGAGGACCACAGGGGTCTTGCTTCTAATGTTATTGGCTATGAGAACCTTCTAGAGAGGCTAAAGGTAGACCTCTAATACAGTACCCTAGATATACCTTCCTTTAGATGGAGGCAGACCGAGCTGATGTCCTAGCTGCTTCTGCTAAGGCTACTGCATCCTCTACACACATGCCTGATAACATTATACCAACAACACTCAGGTTGGTCTATTAGATCATACCCTATCACTTGTTGTATCAGGATCACTGCCTCTGAAGAAGGATGTAATAACGATTCGTCGTCCTCCTCCCATTCGGTTACACCCTATACCTGCGAGAGGCTCTTCCCCAACCCTCACAAGATCCGAGCTATTATCTACCTCAACCCATCCGGCACAGTATGGTATCATCATGTGGAGTGACTGTAGAGCTGCTCTTCATCATCAGGATTGCCTAGTGGACTTTGGTACGAACTCAGCAGCTAGGAAGGCTCTTAACGTCCCCAAGCTGGTCGACCATTACCTCATCGAATGGGCCACTGATGTCTGGCAGGAGTTGTCAAAGTACCACCAGCAGTCCCTCTGGGTAGGATGGTCGTCTCTATAGGCGCCTCGCTGTACGGCTACATCTTGATAAGGAGCATCATAGACTGCTATTGCCTAGTACCACTGGTGAGGGTAATGGAGACCTTCAACAATTGAGTTCGAGGACAAGGCAGAACTACATGGCTGCTTTCAAGAACCTATTCGAAACTCCTACCTTTCAGCGAGGAGATCCTCTTATCGAAGAGGTTATACCCTTATACCAAGAAGGCTTGCATTGATTATCCTACAGATATATGAGCAAGTAGCCAACCTTCGTCGAGTCGACACACAAGAGCCAGTAGATCATCAATCTACTCCTAAGACCTCTGATGATGATCATCATCACCAGCATGGTGGTGGTGGGCTATCTATCAATAAGGGCGAAGTTAGCGCGGGGACGAGCAGTAATAGTAGCAGGAATAGGTCGGGAGGAGAGTCTACATGCGATGGTTGGTGTGGCTGTTACCCTCCGGTGTGGTTTATGATCATATCCTATTAGGTGGTGTGAGTGCTACTGCAACTACGATGATGATGGATACACCGTCTTTCTTAACCAATCCTGCATCTACTGGACATAGCACTCGTGGAGTTCAGACACCTCATCATCATGATGAGGATGAACAGGAGGACCAACAGGAGGAGTCAATACCATCACCTCAGCCACTAAGACTCACTACCCTCCTCCCTGTTGACCAGTGGCATCATCACCATTGTGAGCCTGCATGGATCGATAAAACCCCACAACAACAACAGCAGCAAGGTGGTGGGGATGCTGGTACGCATATGTCGCCTCATGTTCCTATGTACTACTCTCAAGGTGAGCTATCATTATCACACTTGATCATCATTAGACCCTTTTCTAATAGGACATACTCCTATGTGGACACCACCTAATTCATTACCTGCCTACCTGCCCTATGGTATTCCTCCACCTTATGGAGAGGTTCATCTGCCTCCTTTCCCGGCCCATAATGTCCAGCAGCATCTCATCCAAGTGTGTGCTTGTGTCTCCTATCTTGTATTAGTGTTCCTCTATAGATGGCAGCGGCCAACGCTACAATGGCGTTGAGATGTGCTGAAGTCTCAGCAGCTGCTGTCCATGCTGTTATGAATAATCATAACCAATATCCTCATCATCAACAGGAGTAGTCACAAGTCCTAATCCCATCATCTAGTTTCATTATTCAGGATACCTCAACTCGACGAGCTGAATGCTAACCATACTGCCCCACCATGTAAGGTATTCCCATTGCATGTACTACCAAGCATCCTCCTAGCAGGCACTCCGTTGAATCCACGCCGTTTGGTGTTCTCCACTCCAGATTCCCGAGAGCATCGTTATCCGAATACCCCATCCCCTATAGTTGATCGTTCTCGGTTCAGTTGACTCATTTGCCTAGCGTGTTATCTATTCAATCGTATTCCTTTTTATCAGTAATTATGCTGATTTGCCTATAGTGTGCCGTCGCCATCATCACCTAAGTGATTATTGCTCGTACTACTTTTTGGTGTTGCCAATTAGTGTTCTTTGTGTGTCTCTCTGAACTTTCTAATACGCCTATCTCCTCCTCCCACATGCTCATGATATCTTTTGTTCTTCGAAGGAGATTTCTCATATACACTTGTTGTGTTCTTTATAGTGACAACTCAAGTGACAAGACAATCCCTGCCGATATAGTAAAATGATCGGTGGGAATACTGGAGGACAATAACCCTGACCGTGCGTTACTTGTCCATTCAAGCCGCGCGACAACATGGCTAGTTGGTAATCGATAGCTGTTGATCTCGTCCATTATATCTCGTCGCACCATATTAAGTTACAGAATACGCGGCTCGTTTGAGTGAATAGACGCGAAAGGTTTGTACTGGAAGGTAAACCTATCACACCTTTAGAGCCTGAGCACTATTAAGATAGTACACACTAGATAGAGAGTATTGATGAGTGTTCATTAGCTAGGAAATTACTTCTTAGTCACAGCTCTTTTCACCAGGAGGATATTGGGCTCAGGAACATCACGGTTCGTCCATGGTTATTTGTACTTTACAAATCCCGACTTGGTACAACGCAATAATGGTATACGTGAAAAATGATGACTGCCAATCAGTAGTACACTCAGCACATGCTGACTTGACCAGTGGTTGGACGGAGTTAAGATAACTCATGAAAAACTCAAGCGAATGACCTCACCACTGAGGTGTTAATCATGTCAACAAGTAGCAGAACTAACATGGCATGTGGGGCAATACGAGTATAGTAGGTTGGGAAACCCGAGTAAAAGGCTAATGGTCCTTCATCACGGAGGACCTGACAGAAATGTCATGACCAGGAATCGAACCAGGAATCTCCCTTACCTTGGCAAAACAATTGAGAGTACCAGTGTACGGCATGACCCCATTAGCATCCGGTCTCATTTTCTGAATTCTAGTCTTGACAAAATCGAAGGGAAGTGACATGACTGAGGCCCCGAACCCTGAACATGCTGATGCCGTTAATGTTGCGCCCCATCCTGGGCCCATAAGATGCCCAAAATACTCCTTCCCCTGAGGGACCAACAAATTGGATGATACTACTACTATGACCACAACTACCTGATCGAAAGTAGCCAACATGCCAACATTAAGTGCCATGGCTCGAGTAACGGTCGGTAGAGAGCCTTTCCAAAGACCAGTAACCCCCTCGGTTTTGACAATCTGCCTCATAGCGTCGAAAACCCCCTTGTAATTACGTCGCTCGGCTGCAGGCAGAGTTGCATCAGCCTAAACGACGACAACGATGGTGATATTAATCCGCCGATCTGTAGCGACCGTTACTTGTAGACGAACCAGGGAGAGGTCCGCTGGAGTGCCCACGAATGCCCCAACACCACCAGCAAACCTGAGTAGTAGATATGGGGAGCAACGACGTGAGGGCAACCTACAGGCCGGCAACACTCTTCTTCCAAAACGGTAGCGTCTTCTCGTCTGGTGCTTGTAACGACATTGACGCCAGACGGAAGACTCCCAACCTGGTTGTAGTGTATGTGAGTTGACGAACAATACCGGCGTCCAGACCCTGACAACAATAAGAGGAAGAGTTGAGACCAGATGTGGAAGGGTGACCCTTCTGGTCCTACTACTTTATAGAGACCAGAGAAACCCTCATCAGCTATGATCTTACGACCGATGGCCACTGGACTGTGAGTTGTACCCGCCTCTGCTATCTGGATCCGCACCTGATACATCAGAAATGAGGCCTTCCTCCTTCCTCTCTGTCGGCATTATGGTTGATCTCACTTTAACCATGTCAACGGGTTGAATGACACAGGTTGCCAATGATCCAGCTAAACCTCCTGCCACAAAGGGTTGGGTTATCTTCAACCATTGTGGACGATTATCTTTGAACCCAGGAGGTAGAGTCATGATGATCACAAGGATGTGGACAACACTACAGTATAGTATTAACCACAACAACGACAACACTCCACTGTTGATAATACGACTTCTTAATAGAAGTAATACACCTCAGTGGTAATCAACCAACTGCCTCTTATTATTGTTAGGGCAAGGATGCTCTTCATAACATTGGGCCTCCCGCTTCAAGCCCTGAGAAGGGGCGGCCTCATCATATGGATATGATGATGGTAGTGGCCTGGCACAGCGCTCAGGGAGGAGTCGTATCTGATGACATATCAGGTAAAAGGGATGATATAATAGAGGTCGTCTACATCAGTGAGCCTTGGATACATCTTCAACGTTTGTAATTGTACTTCAGCAGTGCCATCTGGTCTAACCCCCATAAGGACCCCTACACCGAAGGAGGTGCGGACGAGGGGCCCAACCTTATCGTGTATGAAGGCATTCTGGTAACTGAGTGGCGACGTCTAGAGCATAAACAATGATGACACCACAACGACCACCACCTTAGCAGGTCAGTTTGGGCCGTGCTCTCCCTCATTAATTTACTTGCCTCATACAAGAACTCCCTGGCTTCTTGATAGCGACTATCATCATAATCATCATCACCAGGAGTAGTCAGTGAGGAGTAAGTCATTATAATATACTGACATACAGGTAAGTTACATCGAGCAAGTGATGGACAAAATGAGAGGAAAAAACCGAATACTTGAAATTTGTGAAATCGTAAAACCCATCTCGAAAGGTTTCGGTTGTAAGCCGATAACCGTGCAAGCAGATCCCCGAACCGTTAAAGAGTTGGAAAGTGATATACAACCACCCAGCCAGAACCCTAAATCCATTTTCATCACGCAACGTAATTCACCCTAGGAAGATAGATGATTATGATGAGCGAGGCACCAGGTTTCTCCAACTCGGCGAAACCTGCAACCGAATGCTCAAATGACTAGTTGGCAAAATCCTTTATAACCCCCTCACATTATGAGCTGTTTGTAAACCGCGCACGCCCACATCGGGCGAGCGAGATTACACAAGCTCGTCGTCCTATACGGACAGCTCCCTAGTGGGCGGACTTTTTGTATGCTGACCAAACCTCAGGGTCGATCCTGGAATCGATTATTATTATTCTGATCGAGGTATGTTAAAGGCGCAGGAAGAGTAGTGCAGTTGACGTCATGGTAACTATGCACTGTGCGCATGGAGAAACTGTTGTGCAGGAATGTCCGCGACGGCCCACAACTCTATATTGTCCCCAATCCATCCTCTCTGAAAGCTTTCCTCAACACTAGTTGATTCCACCAGTCATACAGCCTTCCCTAGCGTCCCTGAGAATCTCGGCTTCTTGACTTAACATGCACAGACTATTAAATCCTCATCGACTGGCCTGATAGGTTCCTACTCCCCCTCCCCTCAGCTCAACAGTAGTATAGACTAGAAACATAACAGAAACATGGCCCATCATCTCCGCAACCATCTTGCTTCCTTCTTAGCCCGTTCAGCGGCAACATCGACAATCTTCCCTGATCGTTGTCCTGGTCTCCTATTCTGAGTACCTCTCGGACGCTCTGTTGTCTGTAGCTCTATACCAGCCAAACGCTGTGTGTTGAGTTGATTCTTTACTACCTAACCACCAACAACAAGAGTGCAGCAGAGTGATGGAGATCAACCCTCTTACTATATCTAATAGGCCGGCCAGGAAGTCACAATTAGCATCAGATGCTGCACCTCCATGATTATCAGGGAATTGATCATCACCAATACCAAACACAGCATACCCGCTACAACGACGACAAGTATTAATAATACGTAACTATGCTCTACCACCCTACTTGGCATTCCAAATACGATGCCTCAATTTCGCCGAGCCTGTCGTCAAACCGCTGTAGTGATGCACAATCTGGGACTTCTTCAATTTAGCGTCAATCACACAGCTCAGTTCAGACATCACAATGGGCGCCTCCCATAGAGGCCACTTCTTGCCAACAACCTCCACCTTCATCCGGTGGGATATATCCAACTGAACAGGTAGCGCTCGCCCTGATGATCGATTGAGTGTAATCCTCACCTTATTGAGAATGTCCTCCCACTGCATCCGACTGGGGGGATCTTCCTTATCCTGTGAGCCTAAACGTTGAAGAAATGCAAGATGTGCAAGATTCTTAACCTACTCTGCCAAGCCAATTTCCACTTCTCCATACCAGCCACGACTGACGGCTCATCAATCACAAACCACTTCAAAGTGGCTGCACTAGCCAACGCCTCGTATCTATACTTGGAACATGCACACAAGGCCGCCGATCGTTCATAAACCTACAGTATTGCGGCTTGATGTGGATCCCCCTTCACACACATTCCATTATCATCATATTCAACATCATCACCAACTGCTCTAGAGGGGTCTTGTACGATCCTCGAGCCTGTGATACCATCATAACCAACAGCAGAGTTACACTAAAGGCTTACATAGGACACTCCAAGGTAGTGGACGGCTGAAGTTAGATACGACTAAGGACCAGGCTAGAGAAGGCAGGGCTGATACTGGCGCTTGACGTATAATCTACCAAGAGGTTGGAGACGATGGAGATACACAACAGGAGGTTACTTTCTCGATATCAACCTTCTCTACCAAGGCATCATCGTTCACTAACCCAGCCAGACTCATCGAGTAAAAGGCGTCTATGAAACTGATAGAGAGAACATCGAACTAACATACAATGCAGCGACGTAGACCAGCAGGAGTAGTGGTAGTAAGCATATTCGAGCTGGTACTTCAGTGGCAATGTTAGACCCAGGATTGCCTTACTCTTCCGATTCGAATTTCCTGGCCCTATCCAAACACTCACCATATGAGGCTACCAATGCTTCCTTATCTCGCACTAAGATGATATCAACAATGAAGTATCATTCCCTGTGCGCACAAGATTCCTACTTCCTCCAGCGGCTGCTGCCAGGCAGAGCTTAGCAACGCCTTTTGGTTCCAGTTCTCGTAGCTTAGCCATCGCTGATACCTCCAGTTCATGCATCGGTTGCTGAGGGAAGATCTCTGAGCAAACTCCCCCCCCTAGGATGACCCCATACCCCTTCTGCAGTGTACAGTAGCAGTAGTTGTGGTATAACTTCCTTATCGAGGACGTTGGCCGACATGCGGATCATCTGCCAAGGGAGTATTCGTGGCGCAGTGACGCTCATGGCCCACTTCAGCAGACTCATCAAGGATTCCGGCGGCTATAGTGGGGATCTTGGCGAGCTCGACTACAAGATGGGCGACATCATTACGATTTATCTGAGGTGTGGTATGCACGCATGGACACACTTTAATCTTACGCTTTCATCAGCAACGATAGCGCACAGTCGCCTCCTGGCGTAGTCGGCTACAGCCGACATGTCGGGGCTGGACGGATCGGTCGAGCTGAAAAGTGCAGGTCGTGGGGTTCGAACCGGGGACCTCAGAACTACTCTAAGAACTGTGCTAATGCAGGCAGACTGCTGTCAGGTATCCTCCCAGGATTTGCAGCTAACCTCTGCAGAGCTCTGTTGACGATAGATTTCTGATGACATTGTGCATGCGTGCAGATTTAGTGACACTTCCATTCCTCACCTGCGCCTCATACTTCCCCAAGGCTCTGACCATATCTACAACTTGATGGATTTCCAATCGATCAACCATACCCTCCATACGTGTGAATACCTAAGATAACCTCAACCACCCTTCGATACGGGCAGCCGCCGCCGCCGCCGCCGTCGGTACCCCACCTTAGGTTTAGCCAAGACCTTATGGCTGCGCTTACGCATACTAGGCTCACAGAGGAGATACCTGCCGGAGCATCATCATCGTGACCTCGCTTTTCCAATAACGATATTTCCTACAACGCTGGTAACACGGCAGCATCATCAACCTCCGGAGAATCGATCCATGCGTCAATCGATTGGTGCAGGGCCCAATGAGTGTAATCATCAAGACGGAGTCCCATCCACTGAAAAAAACCAATAAAAAAATCGCTCCGCTCCGCTAGACGTTATAAAATAGCCTTGAAATGTCCGATAGAGATCTCTTCCCAACTGACTGTAGTAATAACGTAGATGGTACGGATCCTCTCTACAGGTGACAGCTCATGGAGACGTTCACATATTTGGAACTGATGACAACAAGCTCAGAGGATGCTCCTCGATCGATCTCGATTTACACTCAATCGCTTGGCCATCTGCCGTGACGGGTTGGTGAGCCCGGGGGCTCCGAGTATCTTCAAGACGATACAACAACTATCGGTATTCATCTATTCTGCATCCTACACGAAAGTATTCCGCAATCTCGGATATTTCGTGGCCGGAGAATCTTGCAAGATCCAAAGCAGCGCCCATATCATCCAATAGACGTTGGTATCTACAACAACAACAACGATCAGTTATAAAGCTTTGGGCATGCGTGCATGTGAACTCACTCAGGTAGGCTCTCCAAGCCTTCGATCTCCTCAGCATTCTGATGATGGCCCGCCAGCTGCTTTAAGGCTATGACGATCCTTCCGGGCTGCCAAGGACCCCGGTTCGATCCCCGCACCCGTCATTTTAACAATACCTCGCTCTTGCCCGATACGTATACTTTGAGTATCTCCACCGCAACTGGCGTGACCTCACTCTCCACCTCCCTGGTCGACTTCGGCACTGATAACGTCGTCGGTTGGTTTTGCTCACCTACAGTGCAACAACCCCTTCTCAACAACGTCGCTACGCCATAACAGCTACTACGACTACAACCCCCGCCCCACTCACTGCCTTCCACTGGAGTGATCATAACCCCACCAGACATGCTGGGTCGTTGGACTACCGGTATAGTTCCATGGTAGACCTGGGATTGCTGAATCGAATCCCCCGATTCGCGAATCGCTTCGCTCCGCCTTTCAAATGAAATATTATCCAACTTTTCCTTCCTCACTGGAGCCTCTGAGATTCTCTTGAGCCCCTGTGGCAGCTCCGTCGTCTGCACATCCATACCAAATTTCTCTGAATTTATCGGTGTAACACCCCTCGGCAATCCCCGTTCAGCTCTCTTCTCCTCCTCCCCCACCTTTAGTAACCCTTTCGGCAACCTCATCTTTGGACCCTCCTCGACCATAGACGGACGACGCAGGTTCACATTGGGAGTTTCCTTACCCACTCTGGCCAAGCCTTTAGGCAGCTCCCTCAAAGGTACATCCTCGTCCTCCACCACCACCTTCCTTCTCCTATTACCCTCCCCTGGCCATACCTGCCCACCTCCAGTACTGACCCTGGATATCCCAGTCGGCAGCTGATCACCGCCTCCTCCACCCCCAGCAGCAGTAGGAGAGGTATTCTTCTCAAAGGAACGGTAAACCCCACGAGGCAGTTCCTCTCTAGTACTTGCTGCAAAGGCACGTCGACTAGTAGAGGTAAGGATACGGAGACGGGAAGTCATCAAATCTAGATCACCACCCAAGAGCAAAATCATCCCCCAGTGAATTGAATGTAACTCGACACCACTTCTACTACGCACCATTCGTACCTCCTCGACCATCTGGTAGTATTGCTACTTCAACAGCAGCATCATCATCATCGGCATCATTCAACCTACTACGACACCACATGGGTCCATATCTTCTACTTCCAATCTCACCGTATATTCTGATGAGCCAAACCATCGTTCGACGAAGCCTTGGACCGTCTCAATTCCCTCAACTTCTCCTCCAGCTCGGATATTCGTTGCTAACATTATCAATCTAGTGATCTTGCCCCCACTACCTTTTCCCTACCTCGACCACCATCAACCTCCCACTGATCTCCAATGGCTTTAACTGATCACTACCCACCCTCATACAGGAACTATTAGTGTGGAGTTCGCATGCCAACCGCCACAGTTTCCGGCAGGCTCTCAGGGCGTCTAGGGTGTAGACCTAAGATCACCACATAGCAGGATGTAGCTACGACGCTCAAGCCACCTGTAGTTTTAGGTCACTACTCGTGGTCTCCAACGCCGTCATTTTAGCAGGCATTTGGGCTGCCGTGACCAAATGCTGAGGATACCTACATGCAAAGCATGCCTCAACAGAGCCTTATCGAACACTACGCCCTACGCCGACAGGACCGCTAACTGCTCGTCTATAACTCTCTTCGTGATCGTAGCCGCAGTAGTGAGGGCATCATTAGAGCCCATCGTCAGCCCAGCCTGCTCTGCCATTATAAACTAGTCCTGGTAAATCTAAAACCTCCAACAAGATGCAACCCTTTCCCTATGCGATGTTTCCAGCGTTCGCTCTCGAGGTAAGAAGATTTTCAGCGGAGCGAAAGTGGCGGTTTCGGGAGTCTGTTGCACAAAAATGAGTATTGGAGTGAATCACTACTGTGTGAAGATATTGAGTTACTGCAACAGCAATAGAGCGAATCGATTGATGCTAAAGGATGACATCACTGGGAAACAGTCCCAATTTCCTCTATTCCCACACTAACAACTCACCAAGTCAGGCAGCAGTGAGGGGAATGCCATACTCTACTTTAGGAAAGGCGAGCCGGTAGTATCCCAGAGGTACAAGGCGTTCGAAGTCTTCACTATTCCAACAATGCAATTAAATTCCGTGCAAGGTCTCCGCTGGGAAGCTACATAGAATCCAAGTTGACATGTATCAGGAACAATCGCCACAAAGACGGACCCTTGTCTATGGGGATTACGACAGAGCGCCGAATGACTAACAATAGATCATAATACTGCTAAACACCTGCTCCGGACTTGCAGGTTGTTGGAAAAAAATGCCATCTATAGCAATTTCTCAGCGTGTGTAAATATTAGTGTAAGGCAGACGACGAGGATAGGCCATTTTGAATGCTAGTTGAGTGCCTCCCATACTCTACCTATCCGCTGAGTCATAATAATATGGAGAGAAGCATACATAGTGGGAGGGATGGCAGATACACACATGCGCTGAGTAATTACAATGGACCTTTTCTAAAACACCCTGCATATACGAGCACACATATATAAATGATCGCCTCACTGCTTACAGCCAGATCAATCAGGATGAACCCGCAAAGCTCGGAAGTGACTCATCTTCCAGTAGCCCCCGAAAAGGGAAAGATCTACCTGATAATTGAGGATCAAAAATGTCACTAATGAACTGTTTCGCTCCGCTCTATCGTTCACATCCCCTTGATGCGAAGGGAAGTAGATAGCAGAATGGCACTTCCCTCCAAGATCACCACTGACAATAATACCTATGTTGATTGGCACCTTCAACGCAATAACGCTACAAAGTGAACATCATTAATCAATCCATGACCATCATCCCACTACGACAACGTTTTCCATCACCACTTGTAAAATCGATCGGGCGATCGATTCCACATCAGTATCAACTTCCTCCAGATTTTTCGAATTCTCTTCCACAATAACCTCTGAAATATCCTCCACCGACACGTCAACCGCCAACATCAATACGTCAATTTTTGGTTTTTGATTACTAAAACTGATCGTCTCGATTTCTGATATCTTATCTATCAACTCTAACCCCTCTACTACCCTCCCAATAGCCACCCCACGCCCGTCCAAATGCTCCAGTGCTCTAGTCGTAATGTAAAACTCCTTCCCGTACAATTCATGCTCCGCTCCGCTAGAGCATAAACCAACTATTCCAGCATTATCATGGCGCACCGCGTAGGATTCCCTTACGATCCCTTCCTCCTCAGTCGCTCGACTATTGCTGCCCAATTGGATCCATCCATCCTTCACCGATCGAGTCACCGCTAACTCCGATAATTTCTTTTTCATAAATGCACAACTTTTAGGGCAAATATCATCAAAAAATTCTATCAAAACGGGACCGCTATAATCATTGTCGCGCGCCACAAAATTCACCCAAACGTACGACCTCTCAGGGTTCATCAATCCACGTAAGTCCCTCTTTGCATTGACCATTAGATTCGCCTCGAAATCACCACACTGCCAATCGTCGGGAGAAAATGCGTAATTTATTCCGGCCCAACCCTCGAACGTTCTTACCCCAAATTGCACTATCTTATCTTTCCCCTCTTCCTCCATGATGATCAGCACTCCCTCTGAATGTGAGATATACGACTGCACGGTGGCGCGAATTCTGTCGAAATCGGTTTCGAAAAAACCTCGCACTTCAAAATTGTCTTTCGAGCTCTTCTTGAGGAATTCCGCCAGACTCTTGGCCCTTTGATAATCGCCACAATTGACGTTACCGACGATGGTGATGCTGAGCGACATTTACAAAGGCAACTCTGAACAGGTCACACGGTTACCCGATGCGAACTCAAAAGTATACTAAATATACAGTGAGTAATACTATAGAACAATTTGTTAAATTATTCAATTCCTAACATTTCATACATGTATGGACACACATTTCCGTGGTCCTGAATGCCGGTTGGATGATCCTCTCCTAAGAACCCCATACACCCCGGGGCACGGATACACTAAAGGCATTCCACCACTCGAAGAGTCAATGAATGACCGACACAGACTTACTCAATCCTACCAGGTGATGGGGAAGCAATCAATACATATGCCCACAACAAGCTGCTAATGGTACTATCTCTGGGCCATCGTAACCGATCAGGTGAACCCCCCGAATTCGAGAACAACAAAATAACGACCGGAAATAACATCATTATGGTGAGTCACCAAATGGTAGTAGCCTGCACTCAGTAATATACAACGTATATTATACATATCCTACACTCGCTGCTGTTGCAAAAGCGCGCGCCATTGTGATCGATATTCACGCAGACAACAACGCTTGATTGAGAGTAGGATTGTCTATACGAACTTCCTCTTGCTGATGACGGCTGATGTTATCGCCTTTAACAGACAAATCGAGGCACTCCCTCAACACTCGCTCCAAGATGAGGCCACCAAGACAACACAGCACTACCAGAGTGTTGCTCGGATCTGACAACAACAACAATAATGCATAACATGTTGCTGCGGTTATTACAGATACGTCTACTATACAAACAGTCTTGCACAGCAGCAGAAAGGTGGAAATTTGGCCAGTGCAATTCCTCCCCAAGCCGAATCGAAGGTTCATATATATTCCTACCCCACGCTCACCCGTAATATAACAAATCGCCAGAAAGAGGACGTTTTCCCAACCCCATAATTGCGACAGGAATCCCAACAGAGAAGATGAGGCTTCCCACTCCTCGGCATCGAAGGCATTCACAGCTCGCCAACCTGTAAGAGAGGAAAAAACCTTCCCTGTGCGGCATAGGAAGATACGAGAGAGAGACCTCAGTTCGATCGATAGGACTCCTATTTCACAGTGAAATAGGAGTTCACTGTAAGCGATTTTCAATTTTCCGCGCGGAAAATGGTATACTTTGTCATCGAGGTGAAAACGGAAAATCCCTACCCCGTGATGAGATCGCGGAATATTAGAATGTGTTCGTTTATGGGGTTGACTCTGTTATGTATTTAATGTGGCTCACCGTTGATGCTAGTGGGACTCGTGATTGACAACGAGAGAAATATTCAGGGGAAAACTTTTATTCCGACAGGCGGGGCCTTCGCCACGGAGATACCTTGACACCGCTGACGACCAAAAAAAGGATGCTGAGTCAGCGGCGCTGGGTGTTCGCACACCTCGGATCGCGTTCACATGCTAAGACCCAAGGCTTGATTATCGAGCCCGAGGCTTGGGCTTGAAGCCCCTCAAACAATATAAATAGCTCACTTACTCCCCGTCGCTTTCCTCCAAAACGAGATACCCAGATTGCAGCATAAGGTTATATTCATGCTCCTCGTCAATAGGGTCACATTCCTCGTCGGTGTTCCCTTCGAAAAGTACATCGTCGTACACGAAGTCTTCCTCATCCGAGGAGCTAGCGACTGGTATACCGTCCCTATCCCTTTTGGTGGCCCTTTTAGCAGCTACCTTCTTACGACGAGGCTTGATTGTTGACCACACTTTCACCACCTCCTCGCAGGCAGGGGTCGCGTTTATGGATAGCGACATAGCGGCATCGAGGTTGACACCCTGCAGTCTATTTCTAGTTTTTGAGCGGATGCGCTGCAAAGCGCTGAACACACGTTCAGCTTCACAGGAGTCAACCGCCACGGAGGACTCGATTTCCAATACCAGTCTGTAGATCTTCAGCTGCCTGTCGTCAGGCTTCTCTTTGAGCTCTATATCAAGGAGCCGCTCATTATAAATCCTTCTCACATGGGCCTGCCTAGAGAGACGACGGTTGGTCTTCTTGAATGCTGTGACGAAATCCTCCTCGGAGCAGCCATAGTGCCTCGAATGGATAGACCAGTGACTATGCGCGGCCCTGGTGATCAGCTTTTTCGAAAAAACGCTACCAACCAGAGGGTTACCAGCAGCCTCAGAATCCGGATTCAAGAGCCTGAAGTCGTGTACCTGACATGTGAAGCCATGTCAGCCGCCCAAGAGACACAGGTAGTACCTGTGCCTCTTGGGCGGTTGACATGGCTGGGATGCGTGCGCGCAAGCGCTTGCGCATGAACACGGCGAATTTTCTGGCATCATCAGACTCCATGTCGTCGATCAAGTCGCCTAGCGCAGCATCCGCACGTTGGTAAAACGTGCGGGGTAATTGTGCGAGTAACTACAAAGGTTCATATTGGCTTTCTGTAGCCTAATCGAGAGTAAGTAAACTATTCGCATGGTATCCAACACTCCCTCGAAGTCGTTTGACTGCTCACCGAGCATTCGAAGAATAACAGCAGCTTCATTGGAGAACCGACGTGACAAATTCGATGTGAGAAATTCCAGGACTGCGGGTCTTCCGAGCCACAGAGATTTCATGGCCGAATATCGAGAGAGCCACCTTGTCTCGCACCACGATCTCGGCATATGCAATCGCTCGTACTGTTTGGAAATATTAATCAGCTCCTCGCGATTCGAAGTTGATCTGTTGAAAATGGATATCTGTTCCTTACGCAAGCTTCCACGTCTGCTGCTATACGTAGGACATCACCATCTGTACAGGTCTTGGCGTCGAATACGTCGCCCGTGGTGAGGTTTACCCTATGCACTATACAGTGCTCTTTTTTCAAAGGGCCCCCGCACCAGTTTTCCAGTAAGACACCCGCACCAGACTTAGCTCCCACCATAGCTGATGCCCATCCGATGTGACCGAGATAAGATCCTCCTTCGGCAACTGTAAAGCTTCTAGCAAGCCCACAGCAGCATTCTTTATGGCTTCACCTGATCCATCACCGTGCATATCTCGGAGACCGACATATCGTGTCTGACCCCTCGATTTGATGTAGAGAATGATTTGTTTGGTGACCGAGATATCGGTTGATTCGTCTACTATTATGCCAAATTTATGGCCACTAAGCCAGACCTTAATATCCGCCAACTGTATGGAATGTGCCGCTTGGATGAACTGCCAACCATAATTAACAGAGCGCCAGTGCTTGGTGACCTTGAGCCCATGTTTCTCAGCCCATTGTAAGAAAGCTTCGGATTTGAGGAGCGCGACCTCTTCGATAGCCAAAGTGAGTGCTAGGTCGGCCAAGGGATTAACAAGGAGGAGTTCTTCGGCCATGCGACTAGCCTCAGTAGCCTCATTTTTTGCAATGATCTGCTTGAAGGCTACGTGTACAGGGAGCTGCTTGAACTTATGCTTGCCATTCTGGATGGCCTTCTCATGGTCGGTCAGATCAGATTTCTTGAACCTCGATGCATCACAAGTCCTCCAAGCTGCCCATTTGCCGGAGGCTTCATGGTCCAAGCACTCCCCACAACAATACTCCACCCTACCATCGACCTTGCGTATACGGAGCCAGCTGAATTTCGAAGCGTAGTTACTGACGCAGGGCATTTCAAAATTTTCTGAGTATAGTGGGATATGATACTTGGGTGATACCTTTCAAGAGTTTGGACGCAGTGTTGCTAATGACGCTACCTCGGACCGAGGTCCTTGGCCTTTCGCATATCGGCGGTTCCGTTTAATCAAGAGTGACATTGTTTGCGCGCGCGTACGTGAAAAATAGTGCACGCGTGCATTCTAGGGTTGACAGTGTGCGGATAATAATGAACCTTGCCGGCGGAGCGGGCGGTTTCCTTCCTGCTCGCGGCAGAGCCGCGAGTGGGGATCGGAGAATTACAGTGAACCCTCCTATCATAGGAGACCAAAACTCGCTGCTACTGCCGAACAGGTCCCGGGTTCTACCCCCGGGAGCGTCGTTTTTAAAACAGTCCTCCATGCATGCCTCTCTAAGAAATTAGTTATATCGTAAGATTCAAACATTGATCAGAGTTATCAGTGATTCCAATTATGCAGAATCCTTCGCTGTGCGCAAAGATACTTACTGGTCCACCAGCAACCCAAAGCAACCAAACCAGAGATTGCTACGCCAGATTGAGACCGAGCCCTTGAGAATGAGAGCGCCTGAAAGGGAGCAATAGGGCGGCAGATAGGGCACTCCGAGGAACAAATAATACGGTGCTTGCTCTTGTCCCCCCCTCTTCCTTACACATAATACAACAGCGACACACATGCTGAGGAGCACGCTATAGCTGTTCCAAGGAGCGATCCGACGAGAGGGACCCGACGAAAGGAATAGCACTATGAGAGTCGTCCTCGCACATGTACAACAGGAATAATACCTACCACCAGATGACAAACTGCCTACCACATCCGCGCTCGCCCTGATGATCGATTTGATAATAACTTACAGTAGAGATATCAGCTGCATTACCAAAGACTCAGGGACGACGGATTTGTCCGATTGCGAGCGGGTGAGCAGCAGACCCATAAAGATACCGGTGAGGATAATACCCCATATCGACACCTTCCTGAACACAAGAAGACGTATCATCAAATGGGATGCGAAGAATAGCACACTCGCACTGATGATGACTACCGCGCGCCACGAAAATAGTCCTACCTTAGAGGCTCCTCATCGAGTACAAGTTGCGGATCAACTCGATACTGCATCCATTCAGCCGACCACGAGCCTAACGGGCCCGGCAACTGAGGATAAACGAGAGTAAACTCTGTTGATATGATCACCAGTACTACAGAATAGTATCGGAATCCACTGTCCCGTATATTGGCATAAGGCGTCTCTACAGCAACAAGGATGCTGGCGAACAGTGCTAGACTCGGCATTATCCCTATTGCTGCTTGTATGGCTTGGACCTCCTCGAATTTGGGAGTATCCTGAGAAGAACAAGTCGGCCCCAACGATTGCTGTTGATATGAGATCCTCCACTAGACCTTCGGGACAAATAAACGGCGTTCAAATTGTTAGAAATGGCTGCGGGTTCGATTCTCGGCACGGTCTCTTTCCGAGCATTTTCCACATTTTGATCAACATACGACAGAGGATCAGAGCATTCTCATATTTTTTGTAGGATATATAAACGACGCCCTTCCGAATGGTATGGGTCTCGAGAGATCAACTAGCCAGTAGTTCCACCGAACCCATGGACAAGGCACACAGTGGCAGTATACGCACTCCACTACTCAGCAGATTTTCAACTATTTTTCTCCGATGAAATAACAACTCCAGCATGGATATGCAATGCACTTCCCCCCTACTACCTACCTTACACCGAGATAAAGACTTCAGACCCAAAAAAAGCGGGTAGAGGCCCAAGGCTGCCGACAGAGCCTTCGAGTAACTCCTAACACATCTAAGAGAGACCACATGAACGATTTGGCACTCACAAGAACTCACCCCAATTGGATCGTAAAGTAGGCACAGGGGAGGGTAGGGATGAGTGCTAGGGGCCAGACGAACTGATGAAAGTCTTTATTCGGACACGTCACAGCCGTCCACGCCGCATAACCATGCAAGGCAATCCAGGATAAGTAACTGAGGGGTAATACCACACTGAGGCAATTACTTGTCTGGGGGAATAGCTACTCAGCTTTAAAGTCATTTTCTATCATCGATGTATCACTACGACGATGTTACAAGTCACTCTCATAATTTGTGTATTCTACGATGGGATACAAAACCTTCCTCAGTCCTTTCTATGTATTTAAACTATTCGAAACGATGTGATACTGAAAATCCCCTTGCGGGGGATCGAACCCGCGCCCATGAGTCTAGTCGTTATATCATCACATCGCAAACAGCTTATCACCACAGTGGAAAGGTCAAACATCAACATCCTCCCGACTGAATCTCATCGAAAGAAGGTAGTGATCATCTAGACTGGCCCCTCCTCTACCCCTGTGGCCTACATTAAAGCTAATATCCCAGCCCAGGGCTTCCTAGACACATAGCGTTTGGCGATGATGCCCTCAGTAGTGCTACTATGAGACGACACAGCCCCCAATGGCAACGTCAACTGACGTGAGCGTATGGAGGTATGGTGTAGATAAGAGGGCGGCGGCCTTTGCTCTCTAGCTGGGGGTTGGAAACTACGATGGGGCATAATCAGCTGATAGAAAACATAATAGCAATACTGAGCATATCAATCACCCTCCACCAAGATACGACACAAACCTATAATAACAGACTATTTCAGACGAAAGTGTGAAACCAAGGCTAACCTCACTTTCCCTGCATGATTGAAACCACGAGAGCGAGGCGTAGTGGCCTCTTACCCCTCCTGAGGCCGGGCATTGAAGATAACCAAAGTCATAGAGGTATTGAGAGTATCGAAACGGTTACTATTTAGTGTTTACACATAAAGGGATAGGAGTCACTCCGGGGAATCGAACCAGGGACCTATTGGATAGCAACCACGAACTAGTCCTGCTCCATCTGTGCATCCTCTTCCTCTTCAATCGCCTTCTTGGCCCGCTCTTGAAGTTGATGGACCTCCTCTTGAGAAATCTGCACACATCCCAATAGTCAGTGAATTCAGCGAGTTCCCAATGTTACCATTTTATGCGACTTTCCGCTAGCATCACATAGCACAGCCATCTCCAACTCGTAATCCTTATCCTGAAATAGAATACATATACCAACCTATTGCGTATCTTGTTCGATCAACCTCAGGATTCCCTCACCTTGTCATCATGACATTTCTGAATGATTTTAGCCGCGTAGAACTTGGCCTCCTCACAAGTAAGATTCACATAAGGGATCGAAGCATCGACGGGCAGGAGCTTTTCGACTTCAGTACGCCCAGCTTGACGACCCTTACCTAACCACCACGATAGGAATTGATATCGTCTTCAACAGGATTAGAGTTACTCCTATTACCAACAGCGATCCCCTTGAACTTAATAGCGGTCCCGCTGGGGTCGATGCCGTACAGCTGAGGGCCCTCGACTTCGTCGTAGATACCCAACAGGACAGTACTGCCAAAGGGCCGGACTGAGACAAAAGAACCATCCTCATATTTGAACGTGATACCTCCCGTATAGAGGCCTAACATTCTAACCCATTCCACTATTACCACTCCAATAAAGCGTGTACATATGCATGAACATAGCTACACGGTCTGCCAATACTGGTCCAGGTATAGGAGTCGAGTAAACTTGCTTATACTGGGAGCACTCTTCTCTCGCTGAAAACCACAAGCAGTCCCATGGGGAATGGACAAGCCCGAGGGATAGAGCAATTAGCTCGCCATCTCTAGGGCACTTCATACCCTATAGGATGGTGGATGATAAGCGACTCCACCGGCTCAACTCTCGATACAAGAGCTTCCCCGAAAATGATATGCATTGGAAAAGTTGTCATCCGCATGAGCTCCCTTTACTACCCCTTTCAACGATCTGTTTAGCATCGGCCACAAGCCCAGAGATGGCCAGAGTGGCATGACGATCGACTGGGAAAATCCTTTTATTTGTGCCCGGAACCAACATCTTCGACAAGAGGAACTTCTCATTAGCGAAGACGACCTAAAACGAGTTAAGTAATACAGCGGATACAAGCCGCGTAGTACCCCATCCTTGCAACACAGAGCGAGAGCAGTGCCGCCGTTGTCAACAGCTTTCTGGGCGTATTCAATCTAAGAGGATACGTTTTATGACCTAGTTTATATGATGCAAAGATATGACCTGGAAGACCCTCCCATCTGGAGAGTACGTCGTCGCCGAAAGATCATATCCCGAGCCAGTTCCCGACATAATTCCGCAAAATTATTCAAAACACTGCCACAAACATATAAACTGCCATTTGATCAGCCCAGGAAGATTCTTGTGGCTGGGGGTGGAAGATTCAACGAAGGTTAAGGTAAGTGCCACGAGCCCTCTACTGCGACCCTAAGCAGTGACTATTAGTAAAGTATGTAATGACTGGAAGCCCTACCCTCCTGTAACTCCCCTACGCACAGCAAAGAGACGCTCGACACTGCCGAGAATCATTATCGATCACTTTGGCGAGCGCTGCGTTTAACAGCGCAGTAACGCCGATAAGATTCACATCACGAATTCATCTTTAGCCTTCTCCTCATTCCCGAGTATGGACTTACCTGAAGGCTTCATTGATCCGGCAGATGGTAGCACTCGACCTTTTGAACTGGACTATTTACTCATCCTCAGGGAAGAACCCGAACGCCTATACATACAACGCCGAACGAGTGATAGGTAATCCTCTACTATAACCTCTTCCTCTACCTTTGTTGCAGGTAACGGCTCCTTTGGCATAGTGTATCAAGCCACTGTGGTGGACACGAATGAGAGTGTTGCCATCAAGAAGGTCTTCCAGGATAGACGATATAAGAATCGAGAACTACACATAATGAGGGAACTCAAGCATCCCAATATAGTAAGTCTTAGCTGCTGCCGTTATCAGTCCACTCTACCTCATCAGGTCACTCTAAGGCATGCTTTCTATACCAATGGTGAGCGACCTGATGAACTCTTCCTTAACGTCGTCATGGACTATATGTCGGACACGGTGTATCGAGTGGTGAAGTATTACAGTAAACAGAAGCGTCAAGTGCCTCTACTCCTCTGCAAGCTGTATGGCTATCAAGTCTGTCGAGCTCTATCCTATCTACATAATCTCGGTATCTGCCATCGAGATATCAAACCACAGAACCTTCTGGTTTGTGGTGAAACACATCGAGTGAAGATATGCGACTTCGGCTCGGCGAAGCGGCTCATCCCAGGCGAAGCAAACGTCTCCTATATCTGCAGTCGTTACTACCGCGCCCCCGAGCTCATATTCGGTGCCAGTGAGTATACTTGTGTCATCGACACGTGGAGTACTGGTGAGTCACGATAGGTTACCACGTTCGAGTGTATAGTCATCTGCTCAGGTTGTGTGCTGGCCGAGATGATACTCGGCACGCCTCTGTTTCCTGGCGAAAGTGGCGTAGACCAGCTTGTAGAAGTTATTAAAGTTCTTGGTAGGTTTCTTGATGACTAGTAAGCTTTCCTGGTATTGTTTGCTGTAGGTACCCCCACGAAGGAACAGCTATTGGCGATGAATCCAAACTACACTGAATTTAAGTTCCCTCACATCAGAGCTCATACGTGGCATAAAGTGTTTCGATCAAAAACGGCGCCGGACGCCATTGACTTCGTAAGTTGTTTTTCGTTTTTATGTTGTTTTTCGTTGATTTTGTATTTTTAGATTGGCTGCACTCTGAAATACGACCCAGCCGAGCGCATCACAACAACGCAGGCTCTGACCCAAGTGTTTTTCGACGAGTTACGATTGAAGTCCACTACGCTGCCTCCAGGAGTGTTCGGCAGAGAGGCTCCGGAAAAGCCTCTGCCGCCTCTGTTTGATTTTAGCCAAGAAGAATTAGTAGCCTTCAGCCGAATACCCGACGGCGAGAAGTTGGTCCCACAATGGTACACTAAATGCAGTAGTTTAGAAGCGCCTCCAGTGGTGGCTGGAAACAGCAGTAGCTCCTCCTCGAGTTCTGCCCCCGTCTAAGTTGGAACATCATCATGCATGACTATAATTTATTTAGTGCCGTCGGGTCCACCCCATCGGGGTAACGTAGGGACAGCAGAGGTTGAGTATTTGTTTTTTATAACGTGACATTTTTGCGTGTTATTTGATGACAATCGTGTCATGTACATATCTCGTCTACTGTCTTGCGTTGTCAGTTCAACAAAGGTAACTGCAGATTGCTAGTACCCGCACTACTGGAACTGTTGACGGAGGGCGTGCATGCGAGTGTGATGAATTCGATGATTCATCAAGCGATATAAGAGAGAGGTTCTTGTCCATCTCGGAGACGAAGACAGCTGACCAACGATCAAGACGGAGGGTATAAACAAGCAAATGAAGTGACAGTCAAGGTTGATGTTGCGTTCCCTATGGTATTTCTATTCGGTTACGATGCGTTTGACATGACGGCTAATATGTCTAAGGGCTAACGCATAACTTACTAGTCTCGCAAGGAAAATTCGTGATGCACGCTTGTGTCTCTAGCGTATGGGTCTGGCAGCGCATACCTAGAGATGGGTTTAGACAGGTTTTTAAGACAAGTAGAAGTTTGATGCGCATAGAGCATCTGATGGGCCTAAGGTAGTCGCAGCGGTTTCCGTAGACGTGAGATTTGAGCAGCAGTAAGTATGGTAGTCATCCGAACATTCTGCATGATTACAAGATAACAAGCCATAATGGTGAGATTGCATGCATGCACACAGGCACGCAAGTGATATTTTCGGTTCGAAACGTAGCTCCAACCTCATGTGCTATCCAACATACTGCTCGGACTAAGAACGTAGAATAACGCTAGAAAATATTAGCACCAGCTCTGGTGGCTCAATCGGATAGAGCGTTGGACTTCTAATCCAAAGGTTGCGGGTTCAAGTCCCGCCCAGAGTATTCAACCATAGTATCATTGTTGCTATGAGGCCAATGTACGACCCTAATTTTATTTCACCTAGAACATGCATCATACAGCACCGCTCGTTATCCCCCGCCAAGGGTCCTGAGACTGAACCGCGCCAGAACTAGCGCGAAACGATCCCCTTACGCATGTTCATCGAAATCGTGCTTTATGTTCGAACTAGACTAAACCCAACACCTCTATAATGGAAACATGACATTCATGCTCCACCCGACCACAGACTCATGATGTGCTTGGAGGGTTGCTTCTAAGTCTCCCAAATTTCCCTCTGAGAGAGAGTGCGGTGCGCGTTTTTGAGAAACTGATCATCAAGTGAGCCAACTAGGGAGTATCGTGGAATATATGGCGATGGAGGACTGGTTACAGGTTGTGAATGCTCCAGAGTCAAGAGCCGCTTTAAAGTCTGTTCCATGGATTGAATGAGCTCTCAATAACTCGCGTACCTCCTCTCCCTGGAAGAGAATTAATAAACCAAAAGAATCCCTGTTGGAACCTACTGTCCATTTCGAGCTCCTCAAACCTACTGACGCTCCGGATTCGGATTCCAGTCCCTGAGGAGGTTCACGAAGGAGAGAATTTCAAAGAAGAAAGTCCCTGCGATTCAGCAATCCTACTGAGCGGCTATCTTCGTGACTTTCAGCGTCGACGGTGTCTGATGCAGGATTTACGTTACGCTGTTTTATGCGTTGGCTGGAATCTTCGTCGCTGAGACTTTCTTTCAGCTCTACACCATCGGTCTCTGTTGATCTACAACCAGTGCACACAAATGTATCCGTGAGCCCTCTTTACTGAATGGCTTCAGGTTCTTGTTCATCACTGACAGAGAATGCAGTGGGGCCACTCGGACGCTGCAAGAATACCGATCCCTCAGAAAAAAAACGGTATTCCTTCCAACCTCGGGCATCTCTGCATTCAGTCTCCATTCCCATAGCGCACAGTGCGTTTCGTCGCTAATTTGAAGGTTATCGCTAATCTGCCCTGCTGCGCGATATTCTCGAATTTTTTCCTCGATAAAGCGGATGATAGGCGTGCCTACAGCTGACGTGAGTAGGAGAAGGGCTCATGTTAACCAACCATGCTGTCCCGACTCCTCCGTTCGCGGGCGTTTATTTCGCGGACCCTCCTTGCAACCAGAAGATCTACAATTCGATACTCTCGGCTCAGACCGGTGATCATACTCTTGTGCGAGGCGCCATTCCAGTTGTATGACTTGCATGATCTCGGAAGGTGTTAGAAACGCGTATCTGCGGAGCTCCACAACGCGGACATCAACATAAGACTTGAAGTGGCCTGAGAGATCTCCAGGCAGGGTCGAGCAAACACTCCGACCTGTGTTAGTTTTCGTGTTCTGGGAACCAATGGGATGAAGGTTCGTCGGGGACATTAGGCAGTCTGAGGGGTCAATCCTATCTTGATTTTTGCCCTCTCGGATGAGCCCTCTGTTAGCCATCTCTCAAAGGCTGCATTCGTGAACTACATAGGCCTTGTGAAAAGGAAGCAACATGGAACATGTCAAGGCGACGGTGATGACGAGTCATCAGTGATATCCCGAGAGGGTCTCGAAGCGTGTCTTCATCTCTCTGAATAGTTTGTTGGGCGGAGGCGAAGCTCCTTCACCGAACTGCTAGGGGCGCTTAAAGCTTCCCTGTGGAAGGACTCCACAACCTAGCGATTTATGGAGCCGACCCATATATTACTGATGCGAACCTGGAGCGTTCTCCGGGAAGGGTGTTGCTAGTTGCAGTCTGCCATCGGAAGCATCTCAATGCGCTTCGACGATGGAGTAATCCCACAATCCTCCACTGGAGAACCTCCTGGCAGCTGAGCTGATATGAACACGTCTCGTAGCGCACGCACGGCAAGCGTCCAATACTGATACATATTTCTCTATAAGGCCATTGCTAATCTACCCGAAGACTTCAAGCCAAAGTAGGTATCATTCTCCATCGGCCTCCTGAGAGAGGCAACTTGATACTATGACCTTTAAGGTATCGTTCATTCTCTCCTCTTATCCCCCGTATGATTCATTAATCCTCAGGAATGACGGGATAAATGCTATCATTACGTTCAAGTAGGCTGAATGACTTGCTGTCATTGATTACCATTCCAATCTTTCACAGCGATGTGGCAGCGACCAGGTTCGGCTGTAACTCGAGCGCTCAGAATAACTTTGACGTGAAGTCAGCACAACTTAGCAGATCATGTCGGTTATACTAACATTTCACACCAGCCCTCGAATGTTCCACGCGTGAACACCACACAAACAGTTCGTAGAAGGAGCAATGATAACTGGAAGCTCTGGCCGATAGGCCCAAACCTTTTCAAATGTAATACCTGAAATAAGGAGAGGGTCAGAAGAAGGCAGGGTAAGCAAAGACTCACCATCGTCGCCCAAGACAAACTGCTCGTCCTCCACGCCCGGCCGGGAGGCCGGGCAAAATACTCGTCTTGAAAGTTGCTACCAATGAAGTAGACGCAGTGGGTAGCTTTTGTGATGACGAACTGAAAACTCTCTATCTCATTGGATAGAAATAACTAAAAGATGAAAACTAGTTCTGGAGCACAAAGCAGCTTTGTGAATGCCGTCGAATCCTATAGATTTGGAACAGTGTGTAGCGACACGGTTTCCTCCCCTGCAGACTCTCGATTAGAAGCTATCGACGACGGACTCGCGTGCAACCCAACATCGCTTTCTCTACTAGAACTCGTATCCATATCGGAGTAATAGTGACGGAATAGACCGAAGATTAAGATCCAAATAAGAACCCCTGAAGTACGTAAGATACTCGAAATGTAACGAGCTGCAAAATTACGGACTTCCCGATTTACGTCACAGATCAGAAGTTCTGATTCAGAACCGAATATCGGACGCGTCACAGACATATCTTGTAATCTCATAAGTTCTTGACTATTTCTCAATAAGTCTGATAATGAGTATACGAGAGAGAAAAGTAGACAGGATCAATCACGAATCCTCGTCTGAATAAGCGACAACTATAGCAGAGTTGTCAAGCCTCGAGAAATCATCATCACACAGTGGGCGAATTATTGGGCGCACGCTTCTTGCATCCACGAATCTTTTGTACTGCAACGATTCTCGATCAAAGCGTGAGTAGATCGAAGAGATACTTGGGCATCTCAGTGTTCCCTTAGTTGCTGTACTGCTTCACTGTAACGTTTGCAGTGCAGCCTTCACAGTGTAGTCCCGTCTGAACTTAGCATCATGGCGACGTCCGAGTCGCAGTCTTATTTCGATCAAACTGAACATCGACAAGAATACGCCGAGGATGACATGACACCAGCAGATCTGAAAATCATATTACTCGGTAAGTAAAGATCTGTGATGATCACAAAACTCCTCGACTTTAACTTCAAATTCAAGCCGCTTGCTCCTGGATCAGCTTCTTCTCCCTGATACCGTTAACTCCACCACCAACGTAATTCGAATTTTCTAGCGGATGAGCATGGCATAACGCATGCTAGATTCTACTACGTGTGTTTGTGAGCAGAGACAGGAATCTTCAGGTGACTCTGCGTCCGGGAAAAGCAAGCTTGTGGAACGTTTCCTGTTGGACGACTACAACCCACGGCAACTATCCACTTACGCGGTCAACCTCTTCCGCTACACCACTGCCACTGAAGGTAGTGTTATTTCGTGGCGCAGTGGAGGTGTGTTGGCCACCATTCTACAGATGGACGGCAATGGAAGGTAGACTTGTGGGATACAGCGGGACAGGAACAGTTTAACAAGCTTCATCCAAGTTATTATTACAAGGCTAATGCGGCTATACTGGTCTTCGATATCACCAGGAAGATAACTTACAAACATCTGTAGGTGGAAACCCTGTCAGAGATCTCTGGCATTTGTATGTGGGAATTTCCCTGGGAAAGCGTTGTTCCACCCGATCCTTCCACGGAGGCTTCTCGAGTCATTCTGTCATGAATTTGATCATATTGAGATTTCCCAATCGATGGCTTTTCGAGTCTTCCAATAGAATCCAAGCCCATAGGCATGGTTTCATGCTCCTTTTGTGGCATCTCTCGCTCGGGCTCGAGCGAGGGAGGGACGTATCCGTTAAGAGTGTATGGATCGTCGATTTGCACTCCTATACTATAGAATAGAAGAGAATGGAATAGAATAGAATAGAACTCAGAGAAAACCTATAGAATCTATGGGCTGGGTCTGAGTTTTCGCGTGCTCCATTACACAACGTTAATAACTGCCCATCCGATCGAGCCTCACAGTCCCTCATATCCGCCTCAATTGAAAACAGTACCTGAGTTGATTCCCTCCGTTGTCAGTCAGGATTGGTTCGGTGAACTCCGTCAACACGTTGAGGATGTTCCAGCGATTTGTGTCGCAAATAAAATCGATATCGACATGACCGTAACGGAGGTGCGATCACTGACCTCTGATCGGTCCAGAGTGTCCCTCAGCGTAACTTCGCTTTCCCGGCGCGTCACAAGCTACCCTTCTACTTCGTCAGCGCCAGCAGTGGTATCAACGTAGTTAAGGTAATGGGTATTCTACATACAGTCATGAGAGGCTGCTCTCCCCTTTCTGGACCTCAAGACGTGTAGGTTTTCAGAGAAGCCCTCAAGTTGGCTGTGGCGAATGAGGAATGTCCACCAGATGAGGTACTCCGCATAGAAGAAGCCGACGATCCACGGGACGTATCTTCTGACATTGTTCAGGTTCTTGATGAGATCTATAGACTGTTGAAATCAGACGATAATAAATGTGCATGATATCGCGTTATCTCCTTTCCCTTGTATTCTCGGTCATGTTGAGTTTTGTACGTTCTCCTATTCACCGTTGTTCCAGCTAGTTTTTGTCCACAATGAGCCGTCTTCTATCTGGTCTGCTCCTGGCCACTGTCGTCATCCAACCATCATTAGCCTTCCTGGAGGACATCTTAAACGAAGCCTTCGGTGGTGGTAGGGGAGGGCAGCGAGGAGGTGGCGGTGGTGGCAGTTTTCAATTCCAATTTGGAGGTAGTAAACGCTTACCTTCCTGTCGTGGAATAGCGGTGGATAATCATTACTTCTTGCATCGCTCCGCTGTCCTCAGGCGGCGGCTTTCAACAGCAGCAACAATATAAGCCGATCAAGTTTCCTAAAGGCGTTACTTCTAAGATACATAAATCTATGGATTGGTTGAAGGGAACTGAGTGGATGTGGAACAAGTAGGCACATCTCTGCGGACGGGTTGCCTAAATCGTTCGAGGGGAAGTCTAGAAAATCGAGAATGATAAAATGAAGGGCCTCAGTCGTCGTTGAGATGATTTCTATGAGTTTCAGTTGGGAGAGGGTCCGCTTCCAATCGGACGGAATGTTCGTAGCGCCAACGGATGAGTGTCTGCAGCCACAGACTAAACAGTGTAGATGGAGTGCTGATAAGAATGGGAATATCTACATCATGTGGGGAAAGTAAGTTGAAGATGGCGTGGTATGGCCAGGTTGAGATTATTGTCACTGCAGGAGAGCTGGCCTACACGAGATTAAGGCTGATCATCTTCCGGACATGAACGATGATGATTTCGAATTGGAACTTCCCAATGTACGGAGGGTTGGTGTAGTAGTTAGGCTTCGTGTTTGGTATTCAGGAGGATTGAGGTTCGACTCCTAGAAGTGGTATTTTTAGATAACTTTGACCGGAAAGAGGAAGGAGGATGGTGAACCCGTCCACGCGGAATTCGCGCAGGTTTTTGACACAGAAATACAGGATGCTCGGAGGGACCTGTAAGATAGTTGAGGGTTGAGATGGCGCGCGCTACTAGTAATATTCTAAGGTACGCGGATCTTGGCTTGGAGCCTGGGGCCGATGTCAGCTCTGTGAAGAAAGCGTTCAGGAAAATGTCTATAAAATATCATCCTGATAAGACTGGAAACGGTGAGGAATCGTTCGCTAGGATCGAACCTGGCACCTCACAGTCAGAGAACTGCTACTTTAGATCCGACAGCGCATCGCAAATTTACACGCATCGGTGAGGCCAATGAGATATTGTCAGATCCGGTAATAGTTTCCAAATCGATCATTTGGGCGCGCGCGATTGCCCTGTTCTCATAGGCCAAGAAATTTCTGTATGATATGGGCGGCATGGAATCAGTGAGAGCGATGGAAAAAGGAGACATACCGCGAGGCGAGGATGGTCATGTGGTTTACCAAGTCTCTTTGGAGAAGCTGTGAGGAGTCGACGAAATTGGCGTTGAGGAATTGCAAGAGGGCAAGATTTATAGGTACACTGGTTCTAAGGAACATATTAGGGTCAATCGTCGTGTTGTGTGCACTGGATGTCGACAGAAACCTAATCTTGAGAAGTGTCGGGGTTGTGGGAAGTGTCCCGATGAAATCAAAATGGTCCAGCAGCAAGTGAGTCGGCGTCTCTGCTGTGGGTGAGCTACGATGTGGGCATCAGGTTGGTCCGGGGTTTTTCGTTCAACAACAGCAGCAAGTGCCGAGTCGGGAGAGATGTAAGAATGAGGACACTGAGCTCGAGGTGAACATAGAGAAAGGAATGGTGGATGGCGAACAGGTAATGATGAACATACGTCTACGAAGAGGTGTCGACTCAACACGTTCTTGCCACCTGCAAAATAACCCTCTTATTTGTCCACACATAATCACGATTGTGCTTCCTGGACAAAATTATCTTATCGGAGTCAGCATAGCGCTTGACTGCTTCCCTCAGAAGGTTGCAGATTCCTGTGTCGCTCGGTTTAATAGTGAAATTATTCCGCTGTATTGACTTCCGCGGCGTATTCGTGATGATGGATTACCGTGTCTTGTCAGATCGTCTTCGAAGGGATGAGTGACCAGCGACCGGGGCAGATCCCCGGTAATTTAGTTTTAACCGTTAAACAAGCCAACGATCGGAGGTTTATACGGGAGAATGGATATGACCTGCGGACGGCAACGCAGATATCCTTGAAGGAGGCCCTTCTTGGCTTCGACAGGAGTATGTCGCATTTGGATGGACATCAGGTAAAGCAGGGGATCGTGGGGGATGGGGAGTCAAGTCTTCAGGTCCGCTTGGTGAAACAACCTGGGGAGATCTGCCAACCTTTCGAAATTATGAAGATCTCTGGAGAAGGGATGCCTCATAAAGTGGAGGGTGGTGGCCACAGTGACTATGGCGACTTATATGTAAGGACAGTCGCGGATCGTCGGGTTGGGTCTTATCGTGCTCTCTGCAGATTAAAATGGATATCAAGTTTCCGGAATCGTTGACAGACTCTCAACGTGAGGCCGTGGATAAGCTTTTCCCTGCAGGGGAAACTCAATAGACTTCTTTTCACAAATGTTTAAGGGCACCTTGGCCTCTGTGACTTAGTGGAAATTGCGTTATGCAGTTGGGGTGGAAGAGCTTCGATAACACCATTGGAGATGAAAACTAATCTTCGCCTAACGAGACGATGTAATGAACCTCTGAGGCAGCAGTTTGATTGAAAATGAGTCCAGTAGAAGTATCATTTGTGGGCGGAGTTAATGATGTGGAAGAGGCCACGCAGAAGCCAACGGCTGAGTATGTGCGGACACTGAATGCCCCGATGGTCTTCAGAGGTTTGGCTGATGAAATTAAATATGACTTCAGTGGGGATAGTCTCGTGAAGGAATTCGGCGATTCGAGGTTAGCGTTGAGTCTGTCGATTGAAGAGCGCAGCGACGCCTACGAGTAAATCATCGACAAGTATGCGAGAGTATGTCGAAGGAGATGTGAAGGGGTATATAAAGCAACTGTCGGTGCCTCACAGTTTGGCTGATAAATTCTCACCAATCTTGGAGAAGGTGTTTTCCGGGCACCATAAGAATACTCTCTACATGTGGGTTGGAAGAGCCTCAGCTGTGACGGCCACAGGTGTTCATTCTGATGATGAAGACAACATATTAGTCCAATTACAAGGTGTCAAGAGAGTCATTTTATTCCCCCCCTGATGCGGGGGAGTCAGTCTATGTGAATGGTAAATATGATGACGGTACGCGTTGCTGTGATGTGGATATTTACTCGATGGATTGGAGAAAAGAATGGCCCAAGTTGGCTGACGTTCAGAAAGAGGCGTTGAAGGTCGTCTTACGAGAAGGTGATTCGATGATGCGGTTGGTGGTCAAGTTTGTTTCAGGTGATGTATTGTACTTCCCCCGGAATTGGTTTCATGATGTGAGGATTCTACCGGAAGACAACATCCACCCAAAGAGTGGTCGTATCGGCCTCTCAGTCAGCGTTAACGTTTTCTCGACGTGGTGGCCGAGATACGCCGCAGAAGAGGTACCTAGTAGCTGCTTCGACAATCAATTGCTTTTGGTGTTCAGATGGTGCGATCGACCCTACGGAGTCTCCATAACGCTGGTTGGTACAAGGCGAACAACTGTGTATGTCATCGCTCCGTTTGAAAGAAGCCACCATTTACTGCTTGTTTTCGTGGAGTGATACGGAGTTGTGTTCGAAGATAGTGCGGCTTGGGTGTGCTTGTCACGCAAGCCGAGTTTCAAACCGTGGCTGGGCGTCGATAGTAATCTAAGAAGCGCCGCTCCGTGTACTCCGTGTGGGGCTGAAGTTTCGAGATTGCTGTGATTGCTATTTGGAATACAATGACAATGTGGTGTGTACATTATCATTCAACTTCTATAGGCGCGTGAGGCAATAACGCGTAGCAAAGTATTCCCATCTCGATGTTGAACGGTAAAGTCGGAATTGCTGCCGGCTTCTTGCCCACGACCGTCTAACGTCTAATACTACATAGTACTGGTAGTTGGTGTGCATGTTGTTATCGCAAGGCTCAAGGGTTCTTCCCCTGCCTCATCAAAGCCTTCCATTGTTCCTTATGCGAAGACGTATAATGTGTTGCCCCCATAGAATAGGAATAATCAGTGTTGATCTCAGAATGGTAGAAACATTGTTGCCGAAGTATCTATGAACGGAGTGGTCGGAATAGCGTCAATTCCCGACATCCTGCGACGACCTATGACTGCGACTCAATAATACGTCGAAGACAATTGCTACCCTATGGGGTCAGTACAAGAAAAAACCGGCCAACTCTTTGGAGCATATTATCAATTCCACACCGGAGCCCATCAAAAAAATGTGTGGACCCAGAGAGCGTCTAGGGAGATGAGATCTCCACCATAGAGGGAAGGCTCTCTCTTAGTCCTCATATGTTCGGCCGAGTGAACTTTACACGACACTCTAACAGTAGAAATCAGCTTATTACCGCTTTAAATTATACCAAAAACATTGTGCATTTATCAAAACCACAACTGTGGTGGCACTCGTGATAATTGTGGATATATATAATCGACTTGCACTACTTGAATGACTGTATACTTTAAAATGGGACTTAGACCAATCATGCATCAACGAGTGGTTGGATCATCGCAGACCTCTGCGCCACAAGGCTGATCACCTCCTTTGCAAACGGGGATATCCTTCCACCATTTACAGTAGGACCCAGGACCGTTCAACTCACTGCAGTATGCATCGCATTTAGCATTAGGCATCGAATGGGCTCCAGAAGCAACAGGTACGACAGGGGCATCAGTGACAGCTCTCGGAGGCGGAGGAGGAGGAGCTTGAGTAGTAATGACGACAACCTCAGTTGGCATCGAGTATGGTAGCCGAGTCGATACCACAGCGACTCCATTGCAGCTACCAGGGCCACAGGGCTGATCTCCGCCGTGACACACCGGCACTGATCTCCACCATTTGCAGTAAGAACTATCATCATTCAACTCCTTACACATAGTGTCACACTCAGCAGACGCCTCGGAATGGGCACCAGGGGGCAGTTGAGGGGCCGGGGGAGAAGGCCACGTCTCGGACTGGCAAACGGAGGCATCACCACAAGGCTGATCACCGTGTTGACAGACAGGAGTATTCATCCACCATTTGCAGTAAGAAGTGGCATCGTTCAGGCTCTGGCACATCTTGTCACACTCGGCATAATGTTGACCATCTCCACTGGGTAAGACAGCAGGGGCTCGACTCACGTCAACACTGACACCATTCACAGGCTCACCGCAAAGGTCCAGAGTACCACAAGGTTGATTACCGTGTTGGCATACAGGATTGGTGTGCCACATTTTGCAGAAGGAGTTCTCTCCATTGAGTTGAGCGCAGAATACATCACAAGTCTGCTGTACAGCATCGCCTGGAGCTGTCGGGTCTGACGACCCATCCGAGTTGTCCACAGGAGGCACAGCGTCAACCAACGGCACGTCATCGAATGGGGGAACGTACTCAACGGGAGGGAGAGTATCAACAGGAGGGACAGTGTCGACTGGGGGTATGGTGTCAACCGGTGGGAGAGTTTCAACAGGAAGCATGGTGTCGATAGAAGAGATGGTGTCCACTGGAGGAACAGGGTCGACTTGGGCAGCCATAGGAACACCCTCGGAGTTACAGGTTTGTGCATCGGCACAAGGCTGATCACCAAACTGGCACACCGGATCCATAAACCACCACTTGCAGAATGAGGTCTCGCCGTTTAGTCTTTTGCAATAGTCATCACATCCAACGATGACTTTACTCCCAGGGATAACATCAGGAGCTCGGGGAGACATTACAGTAGTAACAACAGGTGGAGCCACAGTAGTGACCTCGAGAGAGGGGATCTGACCAGAGCCACAGGGCTGACCGCCACTAGTACAAGTACCATCACAACGACTACTAGGACCATTCAACGCCTTACAGTAATCGTGCCACTCAGATGAATAATCACCAACGGGCCGATCAAACTGGGGAGGAGCACCACAGATCTCCATGGTACCACAGGGATGATCACCGTACTGGCAGACAGGAGACTCGAACCACCATTTACAAAAGGAAGCGGCACCGTTCAAAACTTGACAGTAACTGTCACAAGCCCTTCGGACTTCATCAGCGTCACCGACCTCAGGACCAACAGTAGTCGTCAAGGGAGGTCCATCACCACAAGCCTGCCCACCCTGGGTGCAACTCGACCCGGCGCAGGCACTGGCGGGACCATTGAGATACTGACAGTACTCATCCCACATCGTAGCAGACTCCTGGGCCCGCCTGATGAATGATACAGTTAGAATAGGAAGGAGAGATAAGAGGATACCGATCATGAATAGAAATAACAAAGAACCCTGCGAACACGTGTCGATGGGAAACCATATCAGAACAGATCGCTTGAGATTACTCGGTGAATAACAGAGCTCGACAAATGCTGAAACCACTACCGTTTCAAAATGACAAAACGACATCTCGCTCGCCTATCAGGGCAACTACAAAACGGTCGGCGCCCTTCCATCAATTGACAACAGACACTACGATAATGGCACAGTGAGAATGGTATCGTGAATGATAATGAACGTTTAGTTGAAGCAGCTTCATAAGAAGAAATTCAGGCCTTGTAACTTATCAGTCAATCCGTCCTCCTGAGAACATAAGCCACTAAGAACAACACAATAGGAGTATATTCCACCCACCAGCAAGAGAGCATTTGCCGCTGCAACCGTTCGAGCTTCATCGTTATTTGCCTCAAGGTAACAATCAACTCGCTTGGCCAACGCCTAAGGAAAGATGACAGGACCCCCCACCTGCAATATGATCCTTACCTCAGCATAGACCAGTGGAGCTGGTCTGCTGGTCGTTCGAGTACACCTAGCACTGAGATGGCACAAACTCCACACTATCTGCTGCAGCTCCTCAGCTCGTAAGCTCGGATCGGAGTAGTTATCATCGTGCAAACACATGTAGTGGGTCGGTCTTGCAGTCCCGGTGTGACACTAAAAGTAATAGAACTATAGTCTAGGACGTCGACGACGCTCACCTGTTGAGAGACCAGATAGAAGTTGAGGATGTTGGGTTGCGTAACCGTTCCATCAACGATCATCCCTGCAGGCACGTTCCCGGTCTTCCTGTCGCAGTCCTGCGGCTTCTCGCACCAAAGCGTGAGACTTTGCGATGACCCATGAGACACCGACATAAGTGTGAAACTCGGGCTGAAGACCCAGTATGAGAGTAGACACCAACGGTCCCACCTACCAGTATTTCTCCCTCGCCAAACGATCGCGCATTTTCTCGGAGCACCTTCCGAACGCGCCCGACTTCAGCAGAATAGCTTGCGTCACTCGATCGCTGATAGCGTTCGCTATGTCTCGAAACTCCGCCGTTTGGAGCGTTAAAAACTAATAAGTTGACAAAATGAATCTCTTTCGAACAAAGAGATCATTTTACCCGTCCACTAGGGAATGCATTTCGGAAGGCGATGATCCGCTGAGGCAAGCGTGAGTTGATTATGTAGAACCGTTCGAGGAGACGAAAAGTGAGAGTTTCGATATCCAGGATCCGCGTTCCGGTGTCTTGAACGGACGAGGCTGTAGCATAGAGGTTAACCTACCACAAGCAAGTCTAGTGATCGCAAAACGATGCAAAAAGCTCACATCATTGTCTACACTGCCAACAGCAGAGGCAATCCAAAAGCCTCCAACTGCTTCGCTCCGCTCAAGCGTGAATGCCATAACCATACACCCTCTAGGTACCAACGATCGGTCCTCACCTCCCCCACCACGACCATTAGGCATCGCGAATAGACTGATGAAACACAGCTCGGAACAACTACAATCACTTCACTCGAGTATTAGTTCTCTTACCTGGTCTGCTGTGTCATTCTGGGTACCCCTGCAACAACGCCACCATGAAGAGGGGCTCTAGGAGGACTCTTGGGTAGAACTCCAGGGCTCGGCGGGGGCAGGGACGGTTCATCTCCATCCATATCTAGAAACGCCATAGACTTTATAGTTGTGCTAAGACCGGACACTACCTTCATCAGGGCTCTCAGCTTGGGGCTCCTTCAAGCACACCTTACAGCACAGCTCACACATAATACTTTGCCACTGATTGATGGTCCTCTTAGACGATGGTGACACTATAACCTGCCAGTGTCACATTTGCCACGCCCAGAGGAAGAGGAGGCAACCCACCTGGCTCGGAATACCAGCAATACGGTCGACCAAATCCTTCACTATGCAGTACGGCCGTCTACTCTTCTTAGGAAGGAAGATCAATAGGATCTTGAAGACTCTAAGACTCATTATTCGTCACCAAGACCTACCGCTGGACTCGAATCGGCGAGCTGACCTCTACACCACTCCCTTAATCGATTCACATCTCCTTCCTCAGTGAACCCTGGATGATCCAGCTTCAATTGAACTTTCTAAAAAAGGCCAACGTCCGAGTAATCATGTCAATGATTCTCACCGGTTCATCCTGGAACTTCAACCCGTGCCCGTCAGCAACAGCACGAAGAGCTTCACAGAAGGGAGCCACGCCCCCGCACTCCCCGACTTCCAAAACCCCATATGGTATTCTATACTTCGCACACTGCTTGAATTCTTGCCCAGTGATGACCCAGGACCCTTGGGAGCATGGCATCTGAGTATCGCGCTCGCCCTGATGATCGATTAAGATCCCGCCACTCACCGGTTTCTGTTTATCTCTGAATTCTAGAGTCACCTCAGGCAAGAGCCTCCCCTTAACTGCAAGAGGCCGGCGCTGTACATCGACCTGAAATTCCCTGCGTAGCTGACCAACAAGAGTGATCAATCCCACCTCGAGATCGGGTTCCAGCGCGGCATTCTGAGAGGCCGCATTGGACGGACTTGCCCGTTGTTGCTTACCGCGTGGTAGCAACGGCAGAGACGAGGCCAGACGCCTGAAATCGATATCCCTCAGACTACTGCTGTGGTACTCACTCTCTCAATAACCACACAGATGACAAAGAGGTTTTCGGGGGCTCCGACGTCAACACTGTCAAGGGCTTCATACTGAGCAGTTGCTTGGCCTCTACTTGGCATAACTGGAAGGCACCTCTTCCTGACCCTTCGGTGACTCATCTGTTTACCTCAATAGGAATAACCCTCCCTTTCCAGTCCTCCGCTACTATCAATCCCTCCCCCTCCTGTTGCTTTAATACGCATGTCCAATCCTTCTTTCCCTCCATGCGATACGTCTCGTAGTACTCCCTTAAGGGCATCTCTCGTCCATCGATCGTTAGCTCCTCAGAGCATCGTCGTATCCGCAGGATTGTGTAGTACATCTTCTTCCCAGTGTGGTCACAGCTGACGACCAACCCTCTTGGGCGTCGTCGGTCAGAGGCCCTCTCCTTCCCATGAACGACTCTCACCTCCGTACTGAAGAGATTCACACTACCATCGTCCCCAGAGTAACCGCCTTTATTACTCTAGAAACCGGTTGAAATCGGCGATTTCCTCTCCACAAGGCAACCACTCTCCCCCAGGTGCATCAGATGGGAAGCCTCGCTGGGCCCGACGGAGCTCAACAACCGTCCGAATGAAGTCCAATAGAGGACAAGAGGACTGAGGCAAGCGATTACGAACGGAAGCACATGTAAGAGAGTAATACACTGAGCTGCATCCGTGCATTCCTCAATGTAACCGTCAACTTGGCAGCCCCTCCCTCCGCCGTGCCTTCCACAACCCTCTGCTGTGCCCTAACCCCCGGCACGTCAATGAATGACGAGGAGCTCTGAGTGACACTACACCCCGCACCCCCTCCCCAGTGTGCAGATGTCGACTCCACAGGGACGAACAACAGCCCCGAGCGGCTGGCATTAGATAGCCTCGGAGTAGCTGTCAACGGTGGGTTTGACCGCAATAGTGTTTGCCCTAGAAAGAGTTCCACGACTCTACTAAGGTTTGAGGTCACATGCAGCTGAAGTAAGGAAAGGGTCCTCCAACCCGACAGCACCGCAGTCACCTACCGGTGGCCTGGACTCTATCCGGAGGAGACCTTCCCCTTGTGATTGCTCATCAACAGTAGGAGAGGTAACAGCAGGCGTAGTGAAGACGGAGTTGCTACTCAAGTCGATAAGCCACCTACAAATGGGTACCTAACTCGACAGCATCACCTCTTCCCCCTGCCCCCTCCACGAACCTTATCGCCAGCAGCTCCCAGTGCCTCCCCAAGCGGAGGACCGAATATTCGCGTGGCCATCCGGAGCCGCTTGGTGTGGGATAGGCTAACGCCTTCCTCAAACACGAGGTTCCATCCAGCAAGGCTATCCACCCGAGCCGCCGTGCCAACGTTGATAAGGAAGTCGTTCGTTAGTAACTGCGGTCCACAATGGGTAGAGCTCTCACTCTAGCTGGATCTACTGGTATATCCCTCCGACGAGCCGCCTGCCCTTTCGACTGCTGAGGTCTGATCATCACTACCAACGGAGACCCTCGACTCCGACTCGACAAAGGCGGAGTAGAAGCTGACCAGGACAGGGGTAATCCTCACTGCTATTAAAAATAAGCTTACTTCCACCACCTCGCCTGAGCACGCTCGGTGTTGGGGATCTCGAACGAGATGGCGAGTGCAGCATTAAATTCAACAATCTAATTGTACCCCGTGTACCACCACCGAGCCTCTTTTGCATCGTCCACGTCGCAACATTGGATGCGCATTTACAACTCGCCAACACAGCAACGAACACGTTCACCATGACCATGTTAATCAAACATAAAAACTATAAGGCAGTCTAGAGACAGAGACCTTCGCACAATGAAGACCCCCTCTCTAACCTTCCTGTTGCTTTAGCGAACCGCCCTTACTCTCAATAACAATATTTATGTCAACGAGAGTTACACAAATGGCCGCATATCATCCTCTACTCTACTGAGAACACAACAACTAGGCAGAAACATGACAATAACATATCCATCAATACTTCTATTATCAGTTTTCTATATCATCACGACGACTTGGGTTGACCAAGGAAAAGAAGTAATAAGGTGAATCGTTCCTTAACATAATATTCATAATAACGACCAGTTATCGCCTAACAGTTACCGTCAACCTTACTCATATACACGACTAGATCTACCAAACGATTCGAGTAACCCCACTCGTTGTCATACCACGACACCAGCTTGACAAAGGTGTCGTTGAGAGCAATGCCAGCCTTCACATCGAAGATCGAGGAATGACTGTCATGAGTGAAATCGCTAGAAACGACCTCATCATGAGTGATACCCATAATTCCCTTCATAGGGCCCTTAGAGGCAGCATCAACAGCAGCAGTGATCTGATCATAGGTGGCAGACTTGGCTAGACGGCAGGTGAGGTCCACCACAGAGACATCAGCAGTTGGAATACGGAAGGACATTCCAGTGAGCTTCCCGTTGAGCTCAGGAATAACCTTGCCGACGGCTTTGGCAGCACCAGTGGAGGAAGGGATGATATTCTGACTAGCACAGCGACCACCCCTCCAATCCTTGCCACCCTTAGCAGGACCATCGACGGTGAGCTGAGTGGAGGTAGTAGCATGGACGGTGGTCATGAGGCCCTCGACGATACCGAAGTTATCGTGGACGATCTTAGCTAGAGGGGCGAGGCAGTTGGTGGTACAAGAGGCGTTGGAGACGATCTTCAAGTCAGAGGTATACTTCTCGTTATTGACTCCCATGACGAACATAGGAGTACTGTCCTTAGGAGGAGCCGAGATGACGACCTTCTTGCAGCCACCACCAAGATGTCCACCAGCCTTTTCGGAAGTGGTGAAGACACCGGTAGACTCACAGACGTAATCAGCACCAGCCTGACCCCATGGGATCTCAGCAGGGTCCCTCGACTTGAAGAAGTGAATAGTCTGACCATTGACAATAAGATTACCGTTAGCACTGGAGACCTCCCCCTTGAACCTGCCATGAACCGTATCGTACTTGAGCAAATACTGCATATATTCGATGTCCATGAAGGGATCGTTAACCGCGACCACCGTCACATTGGGATTCTCCATAGCGGCCCTGAAGACCAGACGCCCAATACGACCGAAACCGTTGATACCAAGCTTAGCAGGCATGATGAGACAGAGATTTGCTGTAAGAGTTTGCGTGTACAGCGGTCTCTCCTTAGCTGCAAACAGCGCGCGCCATTCTAATCGACAGTACTCTGCGTACAGCGCACTTCCATCTCACGTTTCTCCCGGCACCCCATAACACTATAAACCTTGATACAGTGAGCGTGGTCATTTTATGGTTCCATACTGTGGGGGAGTCATTTCTGTGGTGGGCGTCGCTGTCCGTAACGCCGTGTAATACAGTTCACTGCTGCGGGGACTAGCGATGCTGATTATTATTATAACATTAGTAATTTATTCATGACGAGCACTGAAGCCGTCCCCCCTTCCAGTGCTGCTGCCTCGGCTGAGATGGCCAAGAAAAGCTCAGGCGCTCGTAACAGGAATCTCCACCGTGCGTGAATATCTTTGTGGTCCTCTCCACTCGTTAGTCCGACTCCGATACGAAGTAGTATACGTATCTTCCGAAGATGGTGCCCATCCTGCTAGCGAGCTCATGGTACCCGAGACCACCGGAGTCGGAATGACCAGCGGCCAAGGGTGGATATCTAAAAGGTTCCCCGCATACCCGCAGGTTAATCTGTCTTCTACCACACATCGCTCTAATAGTATCATCCCAGATACTCATACTTGAGCTAGAGCGACGGAGCACCATCAATCAAATGCAATTTCTTAGCCATCAAAGCGCCATTTCAACCAAGTTAGAATTGGTAAAAATGTGGTATGCTGCCCTTGAGGGCCATCTTACTCCTCAGTACGTGTCTGTGGAGGGCCCTCGGACGCCCTATGACCCTCTTCGGGATCCCGATGGTTACGACTTTATCGAGTCGATACCTTTCAAACGATTGGGTTACCTCTCCCTGGACTCCAATGAGAAAAGTCGTGAACTGTAGATGGCACGGTGGGACCTTCCATCAGGTCAATGGTTAGCTCGTGAACTCAAGTCCGTCTTTGTCGACTGCGAGGCGAAGTTCATACAAATCAAACTCCACAAATGTCATATCAACGAACTTAATGTCCATTCCCAAGTGGTAAGCAGTAGCAGCAGCAGTGGTAGTAGCAGAGGGGAAGATGTCACCTCAGGGGTTGATAGCTGTAAATATTTTGGGTACCTACATCGACCCGCCACCCTCGCCTAATCATAGTAATTATTATCCATACACTCTAATACCACTCCTTTGTCAGTTCCTCCACCAATGATACCGGTACCGGTTGTTCACAGTATGGAGGCGGCGGAGATGGGGATGGGTCAAGGCATAGACTGGCCGCCTATGGTGGTAATATCGGGCTCTGGACGGGCAGCTATTAGCGCTCGGGATTTTTAGAGACCGGAAGGTGTAGGGTTCGATCCCTGTGCTCAGCATTTTTCTGAGGATGCAGTGTATCGTCCTCCTCCGTCCGCCGGGGATTTCTCCCCTCTGGGGCCCGCGGGGGCGTTCGATATGGAGGCCGACCCAGAGACCCAAAAACAGATAAATCAGCTGCTGGCTTTGAAGCAGCGGGCAGTAGAGGTTATATTGCCTACCCTGGGATTCGAACCTCCGACCTTTACTATGACAGGTGGAGGACTATGACGAAGCGATGAGATTGAAGGATGAGATAATTCGCCTGCAAGGAGTATCTCGGGCGTTGGCCGAGCTCGAGAGGAGCAAACGTATGGCAGTCGAAGAGGAAGACTACCCCCGAGCGAAGGCTCTCAAGGAGGAAATACACCGTCTTAGGTCCCCCACCCCCGCCCAACAATTCTGTCGCTATCGCCCACTCAGGACCAATGGGGCCACTCAATCGATCCGTCAGCCTCCCTATCGGCAGTCTCAGACTGCCCATCAGGCCCGTCAAGAGTACTACCATCAGAATGCCCTTCAGACCCCCCTATCTGGGGTCTCTGGTCGCAGTACCCCCCTCGATAGCAGCAGTGGTGGGTCCATCTCTTCTGCCTTCTCCTCCTCCACCCTTCTACTCAGCTTATAATGGGAGTAACTACGCTGGAGGGTCGAGTGCTGCTCGACTCAACGTCAACGTGCACGATGAGCTACCAGCAGTCGCAGGTTAATCTACCATCACAATGCAGGGCGAGCGATACCCTTCAGGCGTCGGTGGAGGTGGTGGTAGCAGTCAACACCGGTCCATTCTAGAGGCTGGTCCGAATTCCCTTCCCGTAGTAACCTCCTCGGCCCTAGTCGTCACCTCCCTGCTTCAGTCGGAATATCTCGGGCAAGACCCCTACTATGCGGTGGCAACAGCCAATACTACTACCCCACCGATGGTCGCGGCTCCTATGGAGGCTGGAGGGACTCCTAAGACTCCACCACCCTTGGGAGGAGACAGAGGACCTCATCCTGACTTGCCCGACGTACCAAATTCGGAGGCTCTCCCTGCTGCTGGTACTGCAAGGCCGAGGGGGGAGGGGTGATGACGATCTCAGAAATACTACCACCTGCTGTTGCTCACGAGGCTCAGGGGGCTCCATTGGCACTGCTAGGGGAGTACATCATACGGTGTATAGTCAGCAAGGTGAGTTGGGCAAGGTATGGTATCGACATAGCACGCATGCACAGGACTGGAGGGTCCGCGAGGCAGGATTCATCCAAGCCGAGCACGACCTGGAGAAGGGCGTCTGGGCGGACAAGGGGGATGCAGTCTCGGGAGCCCAAGCTGCTATCTATGCCGTTCGAAAATGCGTGACGGACAAAATTGCCAATGTAAAATAAAGTCGCCACCCTACTCTGGTACATCATCGTAGGTCTTCCTACCATGCATGAGGCTTCTCCAAGCAGCTGCAAATAGTGTCTTCAACGAGGTATTAACCATCACTATGTGAGGCATTTATCTCCCACCAGATGGTTTCCACCATGCCTCGAGGCTCGCGTGACCTCCATACTATGTTGGAACCTCTCATGCCGGCCCTCACTGATCGCCTGTCGGACCCCAACAAGCGCTGTCAGGAAGCTACCAGGAATGCCATCCTGGCTATTGCTGTCAACGTCGGCCCCTCTTTCGCCACTCATCATGTACGGCGGGATTATATCGTGTGGAGGAAGAAAGATTCCAAGCAGGTGTTAAAGATTACTTCTCGTCGCGGTGGTACCAGAGCTGCTACGGCTTCCTCGCTCCTACCCAATAAGGCGCTCTCAGCCCGTTGTGACGTCCTGCAGGCTGTTATTGATACCTGTGGTCTCATGGGCACAGATGGAGGAGCGTCTGACCACGCAGTAGGGCTCTGTTGCTGCTGCTCCCATTGTTGCTCTTCTCAGCATGGAAACAGCAGCTTTACTGCACCCGTGCTTTTGAGTATGGCATTTGATCTCCTCAAGCAGTGCCCGGCTTCAGAGGTTCGCTCGTCTGCTGTCTCTTTGGCAGCTAAGGTGGGCACTGATAGTTGTGTTATTCCTTCTGGATTGATGTGCAGGTTTGCAGCCTCGTTGGCCGAGATGCGATAAAGCCGTTCATAAAGAGTATTGAGAGGCAGTCACAACGGGAGGTGAGGTGACGATGGGGCCTACGAGGGGCCTACGACCTCATCAGGCTATCGAGTCGGAAATAGATCGGATACTCCACGGCCGACGGGCGAGCAATAGCAAGAGTGTCGGCAGGACCTCAGGAGCACAGCGGAGACTTCAAACCAATGATAGTCAGGTTGGTGCTATTCAGCGCATCTCGGGATGGATTTTTACTGATAAGTAGCCCGACTCTGCCAAGGAGCCCCCAGCGGCCGTCGTATGTCAATTCTGTGGATACTCGGACCCCGAGTTCGCCCTCCAGAGTGACCTTCTGGATTTCCACTATTGGCGGGATTGTCCCAGCCTGACACAATGCTACGGCTGCGGACAGGTGGTGGAGCTCGCTGGCCTTGCAGAGCATCGAGCGGTCGAATGTGAAGCCTCGGCTCAGACATGATAATTAGGCATTACCATAAATGCAATTATCATTTCAATAACGACAGTGATGTTGTGTAACTCAGGTGGACTTGGTGCAGGTACAGCAGGGGCACATCGAGGATCATCTTCAACGGCATCAGACTCACCAACCTACTCATAGGGCTTGTTCGTACGTACCGTACTCCTAATCTCCTTTCCTGCCCCAATGGGGGATGGGATTTTGCTATTCTTCGATGTCTTCGAGGCAACCACGAAAGCGATAATAAATGGGAAAAATGGCACTATCTTTCCCACAGATGGAGCAACGTTGCGTGAGAAGTGGGTCTACAACATACGCATGAGGCCACGTGGCGGTGAGCCGTTACGCATCGGCGTCCATGTACTCGTTAGGGCCCGCCAAACGGGGCCCATCCAATAGTTGAAGATCTCGACCGCCGGCTCGTCTGTCAACTATCGGTTGGAATGGCTCTCCGTGGTCTTGTGTTCTGCTCCCTGTCGCAGAGAAATAGACTAGGATTTCTCGGAGGGGAAATACTCAGCTGAGGTACCTTTCAGACGACATAGTCGCACTTTCGTGTGTTCAAGGGCATGTGCGAATTGATTGTGAGTGAGGTTTGGCTAGCAGGCTAATCGCAGCGTAAATGGGAGGTGATGGTCTCCTAGTGTGAGGCGTTTGAGCGTCTTCTCTCCCGGCCATTTCCCGGATATTACATTTGGGGGTTTAATCATTAAACTTTAATCCTGTTTAACTTATATCCTGTAGTTGTAAACACGCTCGGGTCTGCATACGTGAATCTGGCCTCGCAGTGAATATTCGTTTTTGCGGGCGTCTGTTTGTCGTATGCCTCCTCCAACCTCAGCGTCGGTGGGTTTCCTGCTGAGCGAGAAGGAAGGGATGCGTCCAGCATGGATGGCTTTTGGGACTCAGGTTGTGTAAGACGCTCCAAGCGTCTTATGGAATACACTCATAGGAGTTATCACAGAGGATCTACACTGTAGATTCTACAGGGTATAGCTCGTTAAAGCATGGGGATTACGCTTGTGCTTCGGCGTAGGCTCGAACGAGTTCTTCTCGGATAGTTTTTTCATACTTCCGTAGCCGCCAGGATAGCCCCTTCATCGTCCAGAGGAAGTATAATCTCGATAATCTCACGGATCGCTGATAACCGGTCGTTCACGCGTCCGACGAGCTCACTTGTGGACCAGTTGTAGAACTCGCCGGCGGAATCACAGTCGTGATAGAGTTAGCGACAGCAGCTGCAGTGCGGCTGGGGTGTGGTACATTCCCTGAGCCCTAGCTGATCCACAGTGGTGTCTTTCTCTCACTTCTCATTCCATCTAGGTTAGATGATCTAGAAGGGTAACACACTTATACAGTATACATCTACTCCATGGCAGCGAGCTCGGCTCGAATGCAGTTCATTGAAAGCAAGACTTGCTCAAGTAAATTACTCGGGGTAATCGACTATCTCTACGCACGATTACCGTTCTTGAAGTTCACCAATTTGTTCCTGGTCTCCGAGACTTTCGAGTTGAGTGTTCGGGTGGCGCGAAGTGATTCCTCGCGTCTTGATAATTTTCTTGATAGATCCAGTAGTGATTCTCCGGAGCTACTCTGGCCGACAGTGTCGGCCCGACACGGTCGACTCGACCGGCTCGATTCAAGCCCTATGTGTCACAAGCTAGGGGTCACAAGTTGTGCGTGTGATGCCGAGAGGTTCTAGGTCATCTGAAAGTTCCAGACTGGAACTATAGGTGACCTCCCACTATATTCGGTAAATCCACATCGAGAATCTTGCGAGGCTGGGGCGCAGTCCAACTGCCACTCGTGCATCACTCCCGCTTTCTCTGTATGCCCTCAAGACTCTCAGTATCATCTTATATTATAAGATGATACTGAGAGTCTTGAGGGCATTATAAGACTTATAAGTTCTGACATCACACGCAGTGTATCACACTCGCTCGCTGGTTCATCACACGATACCGGAGATGTTGACGGTTGCGCTTGAGTCTGATGGTTAGATGCGCTCACCACCTAGTACTGAGAAGTTTAAGACCTAGTGTAAATCCGAGTTAAATCAGAGAGTCAGGAAGGTGCGCCACAGAGACGGGTTACTAACTCGTCTCTGTAGTGCACTCTTCTGATTTTCTGGTGAGTTCGGGATCCTGTGAAGCTTCCACAGTGGAGGTACATCTCAGACTGAGATTCTCAGTGATGTTCACAAGTGTGAAGAAAACTAGTATGATACAGCTGAGGAGCTCTGTTAGAGGTGCATAGCAAAATCTCAAGCTGGATGCTCGCGTAGCCATTAATGTTGCCATCAACTGTCCAGCCATGATCATAGTGAGGATAATAATGACCACCAATATTGCATTCAGGGTGCCATTTAGAGTCCATGAGCAGTCCATATTGTAGACTCCATAAGTCTTCTCAGGGAACTTGATGGGTTGATCTGAAGAATCGCTCTGAATAGATGCACTTCAGCTACAGCACCTTAGGTACTTAGTGTCCGGTGGCAAGAACCATCCGCGCTCGCCAGGCGAGCATCGCCTTAGAGTCTAAGGCGAGGCTCGCCTGGGTCTAATGAGATTGATGGGGCCCCGCAAGGATCTAAAACTTAGACCCTTGCGGGTGGGCCCCATCTCACGCACCACTTCAGCAAGCTCTTCCCGGATCCGCCTACAGGCCACACGCAATACTATGATCAGGATCATACTCCATAACTGTTGCATCACACCTTCGACGTTCGAATCGAGTAGAGGACAGACGGCTATTATGTCCTTAGTCCTTATGTCCTATAGTCTGTTTATACTGACACTCAGTACCTGAGTATTCTTTTTTATCTCCTCGCCAAGCAACAGCACTGAGATGAGTCACTGAATTGATCCAAGTGCGCGGGCGATTGCGACTGATGTTTTACTTGAGCTAAACGTGTCAAGTCCGAAATCAAAAGCTGGTGTCTGTGGGCCACGCAACCAAGAGCCGGAGGGTGAACTGGCATATTTTTGTTTGAGCTGTCCGAGCGCTCTGCTCGTAGCTGCCCTTCGATGTCATACGCTCTGCCATCTTTAATCTTCTCGCCTTTGGGAACTTTTATTACTATTTTACTTCCTCAATGGCTAAGCATACAAGGGAAAACACTCCTATGAGAGCTGGATGAGTATTCTTCAAACAGCTCATCAAGCGAACTCAGAAAAGGAGGGTTAACAATACTCGCTGAGCTCCAGCAATTCACCATCATAGATATCGCAAGCTTAACATTGAAGCGCTTCAAAGCTAGCTCATCTGGAACTTGTTCGAATTCTTCGGTCGAGCTCCTATAGGGCTTGGTCCTTCGATCCCTAGGTCAGATGCGTGGTAGCTGTTAGTAGGAAAGTACGAAGAACGATCTCTCGCTGAGCTGCTTAAGCAGGGAACATTGTTCACGGCGTTTCCCAGAGTGGTAATATTGTCGCATATTTGGAGCATGGTGCTCCCGCAATGTTTACATACCCATCGAGATTAACTATTCCCCGATATAACGAGCGTTTTCTTCTCAAAATGGCATCGCAGATTGTGGCGGAAAAGTATTGAAATCAAAGAGCCCGCTTTTATGCCCTATTGGTAGTCTATTATCCACAACCAAGAGGGAACCTGCACCATAAGTGCTACTGTAGAACTTCTGAAGCATATCGATTTCTAGGGCCTGCGTGATGTTAACTCAACGAGGTCCTCGTTGCGCCTAGTCTCGCGCCCCCTGAGGAGTACCGTACTAATATAAATACAACCCAGAGAATGCATAGAAACGATAATCATTGTCGCTTACACATGACACACATACAAAATGTATCCGTCATTCGTTGAGCGACTTCGCGATGGATCTCTCACAGGAATGACCAAAGAGCTGTGCTTTGGGGCATTTTGGATTTTTTTCTTGGAAATTCTGAACCCCCTCGGAAATTTCCAGAAATTTCTTGGGCTACAGCCACCCCTGGAATGCACTCAATTTATGGTTACTGGCATTAACCATAAATCAAGTGCATTAACTCACCGATTATGATGACAACTGAAAAACTAAACGCACCAATCCAGATAATAGTCATGTGGGGCGATTGAGGAAACTGATGATAGTGGGAAAAATTGCGCCAATGTAAATTTTCGTGGAGGTGTCCTTTCTCTTGTAATCGAAAACTTCAGGAAGGGCCTAATTGATGACATGCGTTCCACCGAACATTATCCACCCACCTTATCCATTCGTTCCATCGACTTCCACAGTCATTTCGAGCCAAACGCGTCCATCTCCGACCATACCTTGACCACCGTTCACGGCAAGAGCGTCGCCATTAGTCATCCGCCACGGATCGCCCCTGTATTTACGGCCCTATTGGTCGTAAATAACCAGATTGATATTGATTCCTCTCAACTCAGGCCAGGCTAAATAAGCACGTTTAGTAATACCCTCCCGGTTCCTCATCATGGATTCATTATCATACCATGTCAAAGTCACGAACTCTCGGACGTGTATTATCTTACTTATGAAGTAGGTCATTAGGCGTAAAAGACTTATTGCAAACTATCAACATGGAAGCATCGAGCTCTACCGTTGGTTCAACCAATTAAGATTCCAAACATTCCAAATCTACGAATGCAATAATTTGCTCGAGTTTCTTTTCTGTCTTTCTTCTCCCCTTCACGCCCTCCCGACTGATAATTCATCACGGAACAGTCTCGAATCGGCTCACCAGTGCGACCACAACGGATAACTCAACCAATTTCGAATCAGACAGATGAGCATGATACATGTCCTTATGTCGATACTTCCTTCTTGAGGAGGGAGAGGCAAAGGTCAGGTTGGAGAGAGTTAGCAGCTGCCGTATCAACCTCCGCTTCGAATGCGCTCCCACCCGCCATGGACGCCTGACCATCATCATCACCGTCATGGGTTCCACGCAATCTCCTCCTCACCTTCCTCAAAGTAGCATACACGGCTTTAGATAGCTGCATATTACTGTCGTCCAAGTGGACGAATAAAGCACGCACGATGTACCCTAAAGAGCCTCTTCAGTGGTAGTCGTAGCAATAGGGTCATCTACCAAAGACGCTGTTCGACAGAGCCTTCATGGTACCCGGCCTGCTGGCCAAAATCCCCATCAGAACCTCCAATGCTCGACACGATAATATCCTACAAAACACGAAAGAGTCCTCCAATGCCGCACCCATTGGATTCCCCACCGGATCTCGTCCACACTGTCATCCAAGCGTTTGAGCATATCGGGATAGCATTCTCTGAGGACCTCCGCATCGAACTCATCACAATGCTGGTCACCGTCCACGAGCATCTTCTCAAATATATCAATAACAACAGTGGTGGCGAGATGACGATTATCAGGGGTGAAGGAATCATCTAGACAGCTCTTCACGAGAGGTAACTGCGGGGGCTTCCACAGAGGGAGGAGGATCCTCAACAGGCCATACCAACTCTTCCGCGATTAATCTCATCCAACAGCTGTCGACAGCCGGGAATAGTGCATGAAGGGCCACCAGAGTCGCCTTTCGTATTCTCGTATTCGCCTAAAACACCCAAGAGGTCATTAACCCTCGACTATAGGAAACCCACCTGGCCTGGTCGCCAAATCAAGTTGGGGAGAATAACTCCTCTGAGGAGAGTGACAACAGGAGGGGATGCTATAGGCAAGTCGAGGGTGACCGATACACCTGAGTGGTGGGAGAGTCGACTTCAGCAACCACGATCGACCTACACCCGATAGCAACATTGTGAGGCTCCGTAATAGTAGCAATGCCGTGAGCCTTCAAAGCATCCAGTAGGGGCCTGATATTAATGATGATGGAGTGGCGACTGGTCGGCTCACCCGCGGTTTTCAGCGGCTCTTTTGGCGATGTCGTAAATGATCTCAATGACATCCACACGGCAGCTCGGTGTGCACTGTTCTGGATTCGACTGGTAGCACAGCATCTAACCTAATCCGTATCATATGAGCTTGAACCTAAGATTCACCTTCATGAGCTGTCCTCCCAAACCCTCCTCCTCCTTCCCATCATTTAAACACTTCGCTAGGCTCTCTTCAGAGCTGCGGATCAATAGCTCATGCAGCATCTTCCGAGTGGGGTCGGAGTCGGCCCAGTTATCATGCATACTTTCGGATAATATCCCCGACTGAACGGGTAAGGGAATTGAACCCGACGAAGCCTCGCCTACCAGTTGAACATCAAAATACATATCATAGACAGCTGCTGGGGAAGTTCCCTCTCGAAGAGCTAATAAGGATATGCACTCCTCGACCTGATGTAGCGAATGAGTGGTATGTACAGAGAACGCTACTATGGCGACCTCGGAAGATTCCAAAGAGGCCAAGCACTGCAATAGGAGGCTGAATACACGAGTAACGAGAGCATCTGTTAGACCTGGAAAAAGGATACGATACTGATCGAGGCCAACTCCATGTAGACTCGACTAGACCCCACCTGTCGTGCCCTTCTCCTTCCGGGACTCAGCCTCGAGATAGAGCATCCCTTTAAGCACTCGAGGGATCCCACTGATGGTATCGACCGAAATAGTGAGGCAGGTGTGAATGATGTCGAGAATGGTAGAGAGAACGTCAGTGCGGATACTATGGCCCGCATGGACTTCGATACCATCGCCCAATAGGAGAAGGAGGTCCTGATGTGGATAAACGGATACTCACTCCTGCGGATCACGCCGTTCCGTCGGTCGCTATCAACACTCCATAGGAGGCTTCCTTGTACTAATGGCGCGCGCCCCAGTGAGTGCTGTATCAGCACTAGGCTGAACATTGCTTCACTTTGTTCTCCGATTGTCGAAACTATCATCGAGTTATATCCAGATCACACGTCTATGCTCGATTGCTTCCAAGATATTAGCTAGGTTAAGTGGAACTCCATACGGACGACGTTCGATGAAGTTCAATACCACTCCTCCCCTACTTCCTCAACTATACCCCAACTGCAGTGTGGTGCTATCCCATCATCATAAAGTTATCGCATAAACCAGACTCTCACCTGAGCTCCCTCACGAGTAGTCACTCTGTAATGACTCATCGTCCTCGCTGTCCCCACCACTCGACTCGTCACTCGCCCCAACTTCTCCTCATCCCAGAAGTTACCATCCTCTAAAAACACCACGATGTGGCCATGTGATGGTATGGCAATCTGCACGCACGCGCAACTTCTCTCTTCGCATCCAACACACATCCAACATGCTGAGCCATCGTGTTCACTATCTTGTCGAAGCACTCACCACCAAGTCGATTCACAACCACTCCAAACAGGATGCCTAATAGGTACAAGACGACTGATCCGAAACGCTGTCTTCAGTGTGAGGGGGGAAATATGCACATGGTCAACTACATGTGTTGGTGATGACAATATGGAAATTCTGAGGAAATTATGAGCACTTCTACCCGAATTCGTATGTGCTCTTCTATGATTAGTGAAGTTGAAGGAAGTGAACGAAAATTCCAATACTGTGCTCCGAGTGCTCTCCCATGAGGAATAAATAGAGGACCTACGGCAAGCGTGGGTGACTCTCTTCTCAGCATCAACATCGTCGTCCCTGATGGCTTTGTATAGATGGATGATGAGCTCTTCGACGAACGGGATGGTCTGCTGGATGTCAATCATCATCATCACTGCCTGCCACAGAAGAGGTCGTAGGATCGATTCCCAGAACCGTCATTTTTCCACTCACTATGCACATGTTTATCGTTTGCTCTCTGATACCAGTGGAGGCTGTCCACTCGATCATGCCATTCAAAGCAAAGCGGATCAACGACTCAGCGAAAATAGATGCGTACCTGAGGTCGCCACATACAAGATACAAAACAGGTCCAATCCCTGCCCATACCATCGTGATTCCTCCGACTTGCACACCTCCTCTCGCTGCATCGGTCGGATCCCATCGAAGCGACCACCCTCTGGCAGGTCACTGGGGCGAGGAGGGATCGTCAAGAAGTTTCTCAACGCAGTACAAGCGCCACTCTCGAACCCTTTCGTTAGATCCAGCAACCCCTCACGCTTACGGACTGCTACTCTATGTAGAGCATCGAATGCTCGAGCCGACACTGCAAGACCAACATATTTTACGCATATCATCATGATACTCCTTACATTTCTCATCACCAGCCATAACCATCAACTGGGCCAGAGTCCGCTTCTCCCAGTCAGGCGTCAGCGTTGCTATCAACTCCTCCTCAGCCTCAACGGACGTTTCCCCTGCGATGCCCACTATCATCGCCTTCACACTGCATGATATACAGAATCTTCGCTGTGCGAAAGATACGCCTTCTCCCCCTACTTCTCACAATCAATCTCCACACCATTTACCAAAATCTTCTCCAACATGTCCACAACAGCAGCTCGCACCTACCACCAGCGTTGAGGAAATGCAAGATAGCAAGATTCCAAGATTTCACCTTGTCATTCCTATCTCTCACTAGTCCATCGTGCGCTGTACCCCCTGTAACCGAGTTGATGACCTCCTCTGTGTGAGCAAAGAACAACAACTGCGGCACTGACGGGCCTGCTGATATCAAACAATCTGGACCTGGGAGTATCTTCGCATCGCACAGCGAAGGTTCCTCCTACCCTTACCTCGATTCAGCTTAAACGTTGCTTTGACCAACATGAGATCCGTGATGGCCATGACCGCTCGGTGACGGACCTTTCAACGGGTGCTCTCTTGAGGACCCCCTCCTTCCCCCACCTTCCACTGCTGATGCTTAGTTATGTGAACCAACGCCGTAACGAGGTCGTTTCGAGCTGATGAGCATCCCAGTACCTATAAGAGCATATCGTCTCAAGCCACTATTATCGGTATACCTTATCCCCTGGTATTGCATTGACGACGACCCTGACTAGCTCACAGGCTTCCTTCTTTACATCAGGACAACGATCCTCTACTGCCTTACCACACGTATCGATTATCTAAACGTCAACTCGACAAAGTTGGCAGTAGTAGTAGACCACAGATCTACACAAGTAAGATCTTCCTCTTCGCATGAGGTTCGTGTTGGGAATTCCTCTAAGAAGCTCCAATCGGTGCCACAACACACCACTGCATTCGCGACTTGTAATTGTTAACGATTCGCTCAGCTGTTCCAACTCTCGGATCAGCGTTTACAGCAGGGTGATTGTTTCCCACACTCACATCGTTGGAAAGCTTATGAATCTCTGGCGACCTGGGAGCCCGCCTGATGATGGTCCTCAGCAGTGATATCAGCTCACAGCGGAGCTCCTCGGAAGACTCTTGACCGTTGCGTATACGATTGCATATGCCGGTAACGACCAGCTGCTACACAGGATGAAACGAAGGTGTGGTATGAGATAAAATGTACCGTTGAGGTCTCCTCGATCGTCTCAACGTTTAAAAAGTTCGCCAATTCCGTCATCACTTCAACAGCCACAGTGCGAACCTACCGAGAGTGCTTTCAATTCCCAGGAAGGATCCTTCCGGCGCCCATCAACTATAGCCTCTACACTGTAGCTGATAACCATTTTTAGAAGCAAGTTGAAGTCGCTCTCAACATTCCTCTAGCACTGTACAGCTAGGCTGCAAAGTGCGACTGAATTAATGAATTCCTCTACTATGGTAGTCTTGAGATATTAATGAGAATATTCACCGGTTGATATCCTCTGTGGTGTCACCATAGGAAGGCAACACACCACAGAGGATGTCGGAACAGTATGGAGGGATATGCATATGGTCAACTAGATATGTCATTGCGAGAAAATTTAGAGAATTTTTCATTGGTTTCTGTAAACTTCTACCCGAATATCTTCCGCACTCAGCTGAGGAAAGCAAGTACATATTCCTACACGACAGAGACATATCCCTTCAGTCGCATGTTATCGACGTCCCCACCTTCTCAACAGAGTCCGTCAATAGCCTCATCAATGGCTTATAGAGGTCCTCATAGTACAACCGCGATACAGCTGGTAGCGCATCTTGGCCTGATCATAAGTCAAACCCTCCTTATCGATTTCTGCAATGTGTGCAAATTCGATATGCGAACTAAGAGAATGTACGTTGTTTTTCGAGATTAATGAGAATCGATCAGAAACTAAGTCGCATAAACAATGTAAACATTGCTATGAAAATGTGATGTGATAAGAGTAGCCTTTCGAGACTATGATAGCGACAACTTGTTCACTATCATTATTACGCACATTCTTCACATCTGCATATCAAGTTGGCACGCACGAGTTGGTTGTCCGCTATACTCATCGTAACGACATGTGCACTATTCTACTCAACGACTACAGGAGGGTGAGATTGCTATATACAAAAGAGTTGATAACAATACGGTAGCTACGAGACAAGGCCATGTAGCTAGTCCGGATGATTGCGACCCACCTTGATAAACAGCCGTCTCTATGCCCTTTTTTATCGTTATGATCCCCTCCGTCCTCAGTCGCCTGTCCCCATCTACTAAGCAGTTAATGCTCCTCCTCAAGGATTGGGATAAAGACTCGTATGTGGGAGCCATATCGGCAGAAAATGAGAAGAAAAAAAGTTGCTTCGCTCCGCTGTGAATCCTACATCGACATCCCGCTACGCCTTTAGAAATGCTGCCAAGTTCCATAAAATTGACTACACTACTACAATGCTAGTAGAGGGAAACATATGATGATGATGATTATGATTAATTACATACCCCCTACAGACACTGAGTCAGGATGAGGAGGTGGTGGTGGCCCACCCATGCGGAGGGACGAAGTGCTGTTGTCGACGACTGTAGTGCTGCTACCACCACCACCCTAAACAAGAGCATATCTTAGGTTCAAGTCTAGAAGATACAGAATAAGCCTAGATCAACGAACATCCACGTTTCACAAAATCAGATAAAATAGAAATTTAAAGTGGTGCAAACCGATACCACTCCTTCATCTCATCTCAACGCTCCCCTCGTGTGGCCTCACCTCAGCTGAGGTCTGATTCATGAACCCACCAGTAATGTAATCATCCTTCTCAGCAGCGCGATATCTGAGTAGATAATTTCGTGGCGCGTGACGGTTCCCCAGCGTACTCAGCCGACAGCTGAGCCACAGTCTCTCTGGCATGGTCGAACTCTTCCAAGTCATCAGCAAATATCGATTCCTAAGACCAGTCCTTTCTGAATCGATCGACCCGGGTTCTATCCCCGGACCTGACGATATTGCTCCAAGAAAGCCCCTCTACTCCTCAGCTTATCGTATTGCTTCAGACACCTGACGATGCAAACACTGCATATCTGAACTTACTCCAGGGAGTAGAATTGGCAAGATATACAAAACCGAATTCCGAGGAGAGCGCGCAGCAATCTACCACTATATATAAAGTATTGTTAGTGACAAAGTAATTGTATTATTGTTTGGAATTGTCGACACAGAGGTCCCGGGTTCGATCCCTGGTGAGCGCACCTATCAAATAATGTATTAATTGAAGTATGATTAGCCAGCATGAGTCCAGAGACTTTATGAGCGTGTTGAACATAAGGTGATTGCCTCGCCAACGCCACTTGAATGCTGGCAGGACCCCACCTAAAAATAACTCTACCAGGGATCGAACCCGGGACCTGCCTACTGTATGAATCTAGCCAACCTCCTCTCCCTGATGCGCTGCAAGCTCTTATGAACAGACGCCGGATCAACTTCACCCTGTAAATAACAAAATCGATCACGTGATCGATTATCTCGATCGTTCAACCTGAATAATATTCAGCACAGATATATAAGCTCCCCTCCGTGTCGACGCGCTAACCATCAGATTCTTCTGCTGGAGGAGTCTGAAAATGCACTAAAATTGAGCGGAGCGAAGCAGTAAGTGAAATCCTTCCTGCCTACCGCCTCATAACGTCCATCACGGTTGTCTTACGTACGGTTGAATGAGCTTGATGAACGATGGACGTATTGGCCGTTAGAGGAGTGTAACTGCACCAGAAAATACTCTAGCCAGGGATCGAACCTGCGCCCTTTCCAGCAGAAGCAAAGATAACTAACCCTCTTAACTACTAGTGCAGTGCACATATGAACACGGATGCAACCGGACTCTCACCCTGTCATTAGGAAGTGGCATCTTGGTGTTGGTATCAGACTAGCAACTATCGACACCATATCGTTATTCATATATCCGGGATATCTAAAGTCGAAGCTGGCAAGATACAAAACAGGTCCGAATGGCACCTCAAAGTGGTTGTGCTCGCTGACATCACTGTTGATACCAATTGATTCGTTTGAGCGAAACTTGGCGTGGCTAAGGAGATAAAGAAAAGCGACTATCCCATAGAACAAGTCATGGGTATTAATATCCAAGGTTGCTCACAACTTGATACGGATCAGGCCCGAAAAAGCCAACATAACGATAAAACACATTACTCGATTTCAATAGAAGCAAGGTGTCTCGAAGCCCCTTACTGAGTTTAAGTCGATCTGCTGCGATCCTATTCAAAGCAGTGTTGTCCAATACCACTACCGCATCAGCATTTAATGCCAACCTGAATAACAACAAGTCTCCATACCACACCTTCGCCATATCCTAACCTCTTCAACGTCAATACCGAGTTGTACGGCTGTACCACAACATCAGAAGTCTCAGTGAGCATCGGGAAGACACTATACGTCTGCAACAGCTTCTTCGGATACCGATCGGATAGCGTCTCCAACAAATAGCTACCCATGCCCGATCCCGTACCTACCAAACATCTTCGACAACACATCTCCACTATCATGCTATGAATAAATCCACAGTCTAGTGTCCATTCAGCGTTGAGGAAATGCAAGAGTGCAAGATTCCCCCTCACTACCCCCTGCAATAGAGTGTAACAACATAAACCCTTCCAACGAGTCGCTGCCATCAGCCTCTCTATCAATCATCTCGCAGATCTCCTCCTGCACTGCTTCTGCTTGTGAGTAACCCTTAGCCCAGTTGTTGCCTAAGCTCACATGTCCAAATCGATCATCCGGGCGCGCGCTACCTGCTCCTCCTCCTTCCTTCGACATGTATATATTCTCTGGGTTGTACAGGTTCTTGAATTCGGAGGTTTGTATTTGATTGATAACCCTGGGCTCCAGATCGATCAAAAGAGCCCTGGAGAGAAAGAATTTGAATATGTTTTCAAAACGAGTACAAGAGTTGGCTTTGCCAACACCAACAGCAGTAGTTGACGAGTTTGTTATTGAGTTACCAACAACTGCAGTGTCGGAATATACTACGTTTGGTTTCCTCAGCTGAGCTCAAGAGCTTCCACAGCTACATTATGAGAATTTATACTCTCAGGGTAGAAGTATACAAAAATCAACAATAATTTCCCAAAATCTCCTCAAAATTCTTATATCATCACCAACACACGTGCGCATATTTTCCACACTGTTCAACTGTAAATAGGGAAAACAAATTGTTGTCGGATTCAGCGCTCTATCTCGATCACGAATTACACCCAAGGGTTTGAGAACCTCAGAATTTCCCCAGCTCTCAAGTTCATTACGACAGAAAGCAACAGATCCCACAGAGGCGCCGGTACCAGGGTTCGAACCAGGGACCTCCTCACCTAGGAATATAATGTTCATCATCTGCTTGATAGAAGAACACATCCTTACGGTCCTCGGCAGGAGGTTGGTTGGCTGGAGGTGGCTTTAGGATACCATCGGGGTCGATACCTGACGAACATATCTTAGGTTCAAGCGGGTAAGATACGGAATAGGTCCCCATCTAGCCTACCATGCTCAGCGCACAACTGTTGCCAAAACTCGCTGCCAACTTGATTTCCGCATTGTCCTACTTGAAGAGTAACAATCTCACGAGGCATCTTCGTCGAAGATTCTTCGAGCTAAAGCTATCAAGAAAATCGCCCTTTTAGCCCCTTCCAGTTAACGACTCAACTCAAGAACCAACCGTACGGAAGGAAGATTCCCACTATGGGAAACTGCGACATCAGATGTTAATTTGATACATGGAAAAGTTTCCATCGGGTAACGACGTGAGCCAATACATTCAGGTAATCCGACAATAACCATTCTCAGCATCACCAGCAACTGTTACTAAAAGTCTCCTCAGAAGGTGGGTGGAAGAAACCAGATGGGAAGAACTATACTCGATATCGAATTATCCACAGGGAATCTACTATACACAATTCTCACTACATAATCCAAATACTCGATAACGATGCAACAGGGAGGACTCAGTGTTGGTTTAGGATAACATCAAATGCTCAGTTGCCTTCATCGGTTTCGAAAACTCCTATAAAAGATACGCGCGACCGATGCATATAGGATGCGAAGATTCCTCGCTCTACTCAAGTGTATCATCGATCATCCAGGCCTGTCGGTGCAATTTTACTCTCGCAGCGTTTTCGACATTTTCTCGAAAACATTTTTATCGTCCTCATCCGACTTCACCTCTTTTCTTCCCCCACATCCCTCATCAGCAATCGTCAGGAGTCATCAAGATGTCCATCGGTTCTGATTCGGATTCTGACGGCGTAGGTTATACAGTAAGCTATCTGCAAGTAAAAAGTAGAGGGTGAGATAATAGAACCCATCACCTATCATCATTGCAACCATCAATCGGATTCACTGAATGCTACCACTACACCAGATATTCCATAAAATACCATATCTCTATCAGATTTAGCCTCTCAGATTGGCGCCAATATGAGACTAACCAGAGTCCCTGATAGTGACTGCCACCATCAAGCCAACTTCGTCTTAACCTCATTGCGACGTCCTCGAAATCAGTTCACAGTAAGAAATAACTACAATGATACTCCCCCTCCCCCGCCTCGCTGTCACCACCATTCTTCGTAATTCTTTGACAACTAAGCCTCACCTGCCCATCAACGATCCCATCCTTCTACTAGGGCCGCTACTTTTCGACCACTACTACTACTACTACTACTACTACTACTACTACTACTACTACTACTACTACTACTACTACTACCTCCTCTTCCGTGTGGGGCAAAATGGTCCTGTTGGGGTGTATTAAGACTACCACTCTTCGAAGCAGCCCATTTGCCTCACTGAAAGACCCAACACCTGAGCGATCACCCTGACGATCAACTAACCCATCGCCGCAGCAGTAAACGACCGAGGAGCAGGAACTGGACAATAGCGACAGGGGACAATGCTTCGGGCTTTGGTATCCGGAACCACTACCATCTATTCGGGGCTGGCCCCATATAGAGCCAACGACCATCTGCTGTCAAAGCCGACGATCCTTAATGACATATGAGAGAAGGCCGAGTTGATGCACTACCTAGGCACAGGGGAGTCCGTATTCCACCTGGCCAACACTAGATTGGCGTCAGCTTATAGCGCCTATGTGGTGATAGTGACGGTGAGTGAAACCAGGCAGGGGGCTGCCTGGTGATTGGGAGAAGCCTGTCGGCTTGTCTCGGCAACCTCTGATGAGCCAGTTACCGAAAGATCCGCGATTGAGTGATATGGCAGCGTGCCGACGATTACATGCTGAGCGAGAAATTCCATCGGAGAAAATTACTCATAATCAGCGCAGAACGATTGAACATGTGTTGCTGTTACTTTCACGATGGATTCCTTTGAACTCGACCATCCGCTACTCGGAAGGCGCTATGGTGAAAGATGGGTACCTTCCTATGGCGATGCTCAGCCCGACCAATTGGGCGTTTGGGTCTCTGATCTGCCGAGATTCAAGAAGAAAGACCAGTGGGGACAAGAGGCTCATCATTCACTTGGCGTGTGAGGCTACATCAGCGTGACCCCCTACGAAATTGGAATATATTTCGTACTGTTTCTAGGCCTACTCAGCTGATCTCATCTGCACTCGATCGCAGTGGGGCATCCTGGTCTAGAGGATCTAGAAGGTTAGTTAGAGCTGCTAGAGGATACTCTCAATTGGAAGATACTCGCGATTGGCTCAGTATCACTGGTGACAGACCGATCCCACTCGATTCGGCCGATTTATGCTCGGTAGATAATTCACATCGCCCTACTATCGATCGCCTAGGCGTCGTCATAAACCGCGAGCCGCGGTTCAGGGATATCAACCCTATATTGGAACAGGGCTGTCGAAGGCCTCCGCTCGGCACGTAAGGTCCGCTACTCATTGATCCATCTTCAATGCAACTCACATCCTTGATGTGATATCCATCTTCACACGTTCCTCTCAATATTCTCATAGGGTCTGCAGCGACCTCTGGGGGGAGGCTATCGTATCGTCTGGGTCATCCGTAGTCTGCAGATTTTTCGGTGGAGAAACCCTTTATAGAATTTGGCAGGTACGATGTGGACGTGAGCGCTGGTGTCAATGACGCTGGGGCTTGCTGGAATCGAGAGCCTCTAAGTCGATTGGTCGATGAAAAGAGCACTCGGCAGCGACATCGGCAAACTTTCTCCAGTAGCTCAAAGACAGCTGTTGTTGAATATATAAATACCGCCATGTTGAAAGGTATATAATGTTCGTGGTTTATCTCGTTGAGTTTGATGAGTCTGATGAGAATGTCGTACGGATGCATGGCATAGCTCAACGTGACGGCTATGGTGCGAGATAGCAACTGAGATATTATAGCTTAGCTATGATGTCGGGGTTTCAGTATCCTCACTGAGGATTCCTTAGTACTACAGAATGTGTAGTACAGATGCCTCCATCTGGCTATCGGCAGTATTGGTATTGGACATTCAGGATGTCATATGTAACCTACATAATGTAGGAGGAAGCCTTCCTCAGGAAGGTGTCGGATCGCGCACAAGGCTCTCACGAGAGAGAAACGCTTCACCCCATCATGGGGTTCGCATGGCATTTCTTTGAAACATCCAAATTTGGGTCCCGACACATGCGCCTCTCCCTGAACTCGACGCGTTCCTACATGCCGATGACAGCTGTCACATTGGCTATTTGAAGTGCATGTCCTTCATATCAGGAATAATGATAGGTGAATCCGGAAAAGCTATACCCAGGATGCGATGTTTCGCTCGGTTTGACCGCCCGGTCAATAGACAAGGCTGTGTAGATGCTGGAATCGATTCTCAAACTTTGAGGAACGATTCCGGAATCTCCTCTGACTTGCTCTTCAAAAACCTGGCAGGTCTTATGGTCAAACCTGCAGCGCTTAAGGTCCTCAACAGCATTTCCTGGTCACGTATCCGGAAATGACACCGTTTATCCGGAATAAAATGCTTCCAATATAGTATATTGGATAAACTAAGAATCCATGAAATGTCCGGTTGCCCGCTTTCGGATCTTCTCGGTGA